TTCAGACCATGTGTTGCTGTCTCCTTCTGGTCCTTTTGAAACAAATATATAGAGTCTTTTATTCTTTCGAATTAGAACAATTGATATTGATCCAGACGCAAATACTGTTCGAGCAGGGTTATGAGAAAGAAAGGTTGAAATCAACACTACACAAGTTTTATGGTGGTCGTTCACAAATTGTGCTTGTAACTCAACCCGGGATTATAACTTGTCTGGTCTTAGATCTCCACAGATACTACTTGCTAAATTATTGCATGTGTCTTATTTCCTTATTGACATTTTTACTAATCAAGCTGTATCTAGTATGAGGTCATAAGATTCCCTATGTTTTACCACTGTTTGTATGTTCAGTATGGTCTTACTAGTTATGTAAATTGGTGTTGAAAGCAAGAGTCTCTAATAAAAAGATGTTATTCAAACTAGGAAACTATGAATAAATGCAACAGTAGTGTACCGCTGTTCAAAAGTCATAAATCGATTGGGAGAAAACAAATCCGGATTACGTACGTGTATTCAATTGAAACAACCAAATAACTTCACATATATGTATTATTTGTTATGATATTCTAAAGCTTGTATTTCATAGAAGGGTATCGATGGTAGGAGAAATCTCTTAAACAATTAATAAAGGTATATCAGTGCTTTCGAAGTAAACTCCTTATTCAATTAACTATAGAAATGAAAGAATATTGAGAAATATATCAACGAGACTGCAACTCTCCAATGTTAATAAGATATATAGAGGACAACATACAGTCGTCAATAGTATACAATCTACAATATACTGTCAGGCTATAAATCGGTCCGTGTATATGTTCCGGACCATATGAATATTTGGACCATACATGTATGGTCATGACCAAATGAGTATACGCAAATGGTAATGACCATACGCGTATGGTCCAAATACTCATATGGTCCGGAATATATACAAATACAACTGCTGTCGAAGTTTCAAACCTGGGACAGGCATATGAAAAAAAAAAGGAATCACGGGTCAACAGTCAAAGATCACTATGCTAAGCGTACCCGAGCTATGAGATTTATTTTATTTATTTACTTTAACATATTTTACAAACCAAATATTAGTCGAGAATTTTGTAGATAGCAAATTGATTCATGCATGTTATCAGTGGCAGGATATGCGGAGGGGGTGCTTCATTTCTTTAACGTTTAATCCATTCTTTTCTATTTTTTATTATTTATGTTGACTCTTTTTTTCCGTAAATCCTATCCAGACCCTCGATTATAATATAACAAACGATAATCAAATTCATCTATGAAAAAAATATGCAAAAACATGATTTTAATAAATAAACAACCTCCCGTCTGGTAAATCAACTTAGTTGAGTGTTGTGCCATATACGTTAATCTTCAATCACAAGGTATCCTTTTGTGGCCTGACCTGCTTCAATTATCGTCCTCATTATGTTGTCAAAACACCTGTTGATACTATTGAACAAACTACATAATAGGTTTTGTCTAATGTTAGGGGTTTCAACTTGTTGTAAAGATTATGTAATAACAAATATTATTCATTGTTTCATTCATGCACACAAGATTGAAGATTGGCAACGTGACTTTTACAGTTCAATAGCGGATTGAAATAATATGGCATTTTAACTGCATTATATAAATAGTACCATTGAATGAAATGAAATACGTTTTCCAATGAAATTTTTTTTTTCTAAATTGTTTGTACTTATCTGTTTATTAAACTTCAAGTATTTATCGAGCAGATGCAACCCGAAAAATGGCACATAAACTAAAGAGTGCGTGACTAGAAATGGAGAAGTAATTAGCCAGACTGAATCGAAATGAATACCAAATATTACCACACACAGTATAATGGAAGGTTGATGTCAAATATCACCAGATATTACACACAGACAATATGACGGGTGATATCAATTATTACCAGCTGCCACAAACAGACAATATGACGAATGAAACCAATCATTGCCAGATGTAACAAGCATTCTGAGAGTATTGCATGGCAATACATAATCCCCTACCGGGTAAAAATTCATTATACTGGAACAAAATGCTAACTTGTTCTATAACTTGTCATGGTGTGAACAAAAAGAAAATATCATGTCAATATCTTCAAGCATGACTAAAACAGTGTGGAAAACTGATTATATGAGTGAATTTTTCAAGTCCAAGGACCATAACTCTGCACAAAATTATTAGACCGAAACAAAAATTTGAACTTGATCTGTAACTTGTCACATGTGGAGCAGGATCTGCTTACCCTTCCGGAGCACCTGAGATCACCCCCAGTTTTTGGTGGGGTTCGTGTTGCTTAGTCTTTAGTTTTCTATGTTGTGTCATCTGTACTATTATTTGTCTGTTTGTCTTTTTATTTTTGGCCATGACGTTGTCAGTTTGTTTTTGAGTTTGACTGTCCCTCTGGTATCTTTCGTCCCTCTTTTGTCATGATAAAACTATAGACTAATTATTAATCAATATCTTATAAGCATGATGAAAAAAGCATTAGATATTATTAATAGTTCTCTAAAATTAGATATGATGTAATACAGTGTATATCTATTTTCAAATTATAATCAGATATAATTAATAGTTCCAAATATGTTTTTCTTTCATTTGTCACAAATTTATATAGATTTGTAACTTGTCTATAAAATGTCAACAACTTTTATCTACACAATGTAATGTATTGAAATATATACATTAATTAAAATAGATTATTTATTTAAAGGATTTCTCTGCATAATTTTTTTTATATATATAGCATTCAGAAAATTAGTTAATAACAAACAAACCTGTTAAAAAATTCTTCAAATAATTTAACAAAGAATGTCTTTTTAAAAATGAGTTATCTCCCTTTGTACAGAAATATGGTTTAACATAGTACTCTAACATTAGATATGGTCCAGAGTTATGGTCCATAACTCTGGACTAAATCATCAGACCGGAACAAAATTCGAACTTGATCTATAACTTGTCATGATAAAACTATATACCAAATATCAAATCATTGTCTTCAAGAACGAAGAAAAAAGTGCGGAAAGCTGATTTGCAGTACTGACGGATGGACAGACAGACAGATGGACAGACGGACGGAGTGCAAACCTAAAGTCCCCTTCGACTTCGTCGGTAGGGGACTAATAAACAGCAGGCAATATGAGAGATAATATCATCAGCAGCTGCAACAAGCAAGCAATATGGCGGGTAATACCAATCATCGCCAACTGTCACAATCATACAATATGACAGGTGATAACATCAATCGTTACCAGCTGCTATGAACAAGCAATATGAGTGATACCAATCCCTATCAGCTGCCACAAACTGGCAACATGACGGATGTTACCAATCACTACCAGCTGTAACAAACAGGCAACATGATAGATGGTACAAATCATTACCAGCTGCCATCAACAGGAAGATTTGATGGACGATACCAATCATTACAATCTGCCACAAACAGGCAATATGACGTGTGATACAATCATTACAATCTGCCATAAACAGGTAATATGGCAGATCTTACTAATCATTACAAGCTGACATGAAGACAATATGACGGATGATACCCATCATTACCAGCTGACATAAACAGACAATTTGACCCATGATATCAATCATTACCAGCTGCAACAAAGAGGCAATATGATGGATAATAAACAGACAATTTGACGGGTGATACCAATCGCTACCAGCTGACACAAACAGGCAATATGACGGATGATTCTAATCATTACCAGCTAACATAAACAGGCAATTTGATGGATGAAATCAATCATTACCATCTGCCACAAACAGGCAATTTGACGGATGATAACAACCATTACCAGCTGACATAAACACGCAATATGACGGATGATAACAACCATTACCAGCTGACATAAATAGGTAATATGACGGATGATACTTAACATTACCAGCTGCCATAAACAAACAATTTGACAGATGATTCCAATCACTACCAGCTGCCACAAATAAGCAATATGACAGATGATACTAAGCATTAATAGCTGCAACAAACAGGCAATATGACGGATGATACAAATCATTACCAGCTGACACAAACAGGCAATACGACGGGTGATACCAATCATTACCAGCTGCCATAAACAGGCAATATGACGGGTGATACCAATCATTACCAGCTGCCATAAACAGGCAATATGACGGATGATAACAACCATTACCAGCTGCCATAAACAGGCAATATGACGGGTGATAACAATCATTACCAGCTGCCATAAACAGGCAATATGACGGGTGATACCAATCATTACCAGCTGCCATAAACAGGCAATATGACGGGTGATACCAATCATTACCAGCTGCCATAAACAGGCAATATGACGGGTGATACCAATCATTACTAGCTGCCATAAACAGGCAATATGACGGGTGATACCAATCATTACCAGCTGCCATAAACAGGCAATATGACGGGTGATACCAATCATTACTAGCTGCCATAAACAGGCAATATGACGGGTGATACCAATCATTACTAGCTGCCATAAACAGGCAATATGACGGATGATACAATTCATTACCAGCTGCAACAAACAGACAATATGACAGTTGATACCAGTCATCAATAGTTGCAAAAACAGACAATTTGACGGATGATACCAACATATATTGTATGTCTTAGGATTTTTATCAAGCACTATGATTTGCCTGAAACATGCCAAGAGCCTGATATATTGCTCAGATAAAGATTTAACAACAGCTATCAAACAACACAAATGTAATGAGAGATGGACAAAATGTTATGTTCAAACAAAAAAAATTGGATAATAGAGCATTGTGAAGTTTAAAACCTGAACCAGTAAATTTGTGTAACTCCTTTATACAGATTTTTGTGGGCCATTGTTTTATTGGCACTTTTTGTGAATTTGTACAAATGATGACCAGCGTTCCAAAAAATCAGGTGAAAAACCATTGTTAACAATAGAGACAATAGTTTTTTTTATTAAGACAAAAGCGTTAAAAATAAACTGTTAACACAGAGATATATCTCACCTATTTATTATTTTGATAATGCAACTGTTGAAATTAAAACAGCAATACTTTAACATGTAAGTTATGCAAATATTCAAGGTCAATGAACCATGACTGAAGGCACAGGGCTAAACAATCTCCATGGAAATGAGATGTGCCAATGCTAATACAACTGCATACCAATACCATTGACTTTTCACTATGTAAAAGTTTCAAAGTCAATGAACCATAATGAGGGGGTGGGGTTATATAATCTCCATGGAAATGAAACTTGCAAATGCCAATACATTTGCATACAAAATATCATTGACTTGACATTAGTGGTTCATCTTAAACGGACCTAATCACAAACTAATACATATATAAACTAAGCAAAAGTTTTAAAGTCAATAGACCATGACTGAGGGGGCGGGGCCAAATAATCTCCATGGAAATGAGATATTCCAATGCTTATACAACTGCATACCAAATATCATTGCCCTACCACTAATGGTTCCCCATAAACTGACCTAATCACAAACTAATACATGTAAACTAAGCAAAGTTTCAAAGTCAATAGACCATGACTGAGCGGGCGGGGCCAAATATTCTCCATGGAAATGAGATGTGCTAATGCTTATACAACTGCATACCAAATATCATTGACCTACCACTAGTAGTTCCCGATAAACTGACCTTATCACAAACTAATACATGTAAACTAAGCAAAGTTTAGAAGTCAATAGACCATGACTGAGGGGGTAGGGCCAAATAATCTCCATGGTAATGAAATGTGCCAATGCTAATACAACTGCATACCAAATATCATTGACCTACCACTAGTGGTTCACCATAAACTAGACCTAATCACAAACTAATACATTGTTACACATGTATTAGTTTGTGATTAGGTCAGTTTATGGGGAACCACTAGTGGTAGGTCAGTGATATTTGGTATGCAGCTTTTTGACTCCGTCAAGGCGAGACAAAAATCAAGTGTAGCAAAATTTGTTTAAGTAGTATATTTGCTTCTTTTATGAACACTTGCAATCACCACAAGATTTAATATTAAGTTATAGTAAGGCCTCCAAAAGAGAATGCTTGAAGATCAAACACCTGATATCACTACTAGAAAGTAAAATAACAAAATTCCCACTCCAAGGAAAATTCAAAACGGAAAGTCCTTTGTAAAATAGCAAAATCAAAAGCTCAAACACATCTAACGAATTGAAAACAACTGTCATATTCCTGACTTGATGCAGGCATTTCTTTATGTAGAAAATGGTGGACTAAACCTGGTTTTATAGCTAGCTAAACTTCTCACTTGTATGACAGTCGCATAGAATTCCATTATAATTATAACAATGTGTGAATAAAACAAACAGACATTATAGGTGAACACGTCAAAAATGGGGGTACAGCAGTCAAAACAAATAACTGCTTCAGCAAAGAAACACAAAATGGCATATAGACGAAGTACATAAGCAAAAATGGAAGACAAGACCTATCATATACAAGTCACAGTGAGGCCTTTAGCAGGCTATGCTTTAAATTTATGCACCATATCAAAAGTCAAAAAGTAGGGCATTCAGCAGGACATGCTTTATTTCCATGCACCCGCTACAGTGAGGCCTTCAGCAGGCTATGTTTTACATTCAAGCACCAGCTTTTACTCCTTGGTTTTATATCCAAGTCACAATGAGGCATTTGTCAGGATATGCTTTATTCCAAGCTCCTGCTATCACCCTTGAATTTCATACTAAAGTCACAGTAAGGCCCTTCTATATTTTTGTTGTATTTCCCAAAAACCTAGTAATAATAAAATAATTAACAAATACTCCCATTTTAATTCCTATACATATTCAGTAATAAAACAGGAACATGACTTAACAGTAAACATCAACAATAAATCAAGTGTGTACTGGTTTATAGTCCATATACCCAAGATTGCTCCTATATCTGACAGCCCTATAGGGAACTTTCTGTGGCTTTTGGTCCAGTGACCCAGCAGTTCCTAAAACGGATATCAGACATCAGAGTCATCTTGGATTATATCGCACATTATCAAACGTAATACAGATATCTTCCTAATATTCATTTCAAACATAATAAATCAACTATCTGTTGTAATTTAAATTAACAATGTATGACAAAGGTACATTAATATGGGCTAGATGTATTCCTCTTTCCTTATCATTTATTTGTCTCAATGCTATTTAGTAACACTCGCATATCAGTATTTTTTGCAATTCCTAATAAAAGTTGTAACAAAATTATGTGATTTTTGCATTATACAGACTAAAAGACATTTCAAAATTTTAATATTTAAAAAAAAATCTAATATAACCCCTTTTTCATAGTTCAAAAAATTGGATAGGTTTTGAAACATGTAGTAGAATCAAACTAAAAAAAAATATGTTAATGTCATCTAAGATTTATACTACACTTACAAAAATCTGCATGTCACATTATTGAAAGAGTTGAAAGAATAAAAAGAAATTATTAAAAAGAAATACAAACTCACAAGCAGTGGTCTAATTTTACACTAAAGTAGTTTTAACAGTAGATAACAAGATTACATTGTAATTTTAACAATAGATAACAAGATTACATTATCAAACAATTTAACTGGTCACCGATTGATAAATAATTATTTATTAACAATTTACTGACAAATTTTACTGTTAAATGACAGTTTTGAATTACCATGGTTTTACTCACTGAGGTACAGATCCTGTGTACATATATAGCTTCTAATGATCCAACAACCATAGCAACTTATTGATTGACTGCTGTTTTCTAAATCTACTATGGTAATAATATCATGTAAATTCAGGAAAACAGGTGCATAAAATCCACATGAAGTCTGAGTGATAGTTTTGGAGTAAGGTTGGATGTTGTTGAAGGCATAACCCACTTTTAACTAATCAATATCTCAAACGAAACTTAAATGCATTATAAAGACTGAACTAGTATACATTATTGTTTAGGGGCTAGCTGAAGCCTGCCTCCAGGTGCATGATTTTTTGCTGTGTTGAAGACCCATTGGTGGCTGTTTTCTACTCTTTGGTCTGGTTGTTTTCCATTTGACACATTCTACTTTTCCATTCTCAATTGTATTAGCTGTTTGTGCTGTTATGAAGTGCAGAGGAACATATAAGAAAGATGTTTAAATCATGGACTTATTAAATGTTTGCAAGAACAGAATCTCATTTTGTGAAAATAGGAATAATAATAACAAACAATGAAAACTCACAAAATAATCTATAAAACTAATAACCAAAGGTATTGGCTCAAAAAATAACAAGATCAATTATTATTTTCCTGTACTTGAGGGATTCCTTAATACATGTACAAAAGTAAATTCAACTGTTTTCCTTACATAGGACATATTTATGATGAAACAATGATTTTTCAAAATCAAATGGGCTATTAAGCAAACAACAATCAATCAATCAAAATTACATGAAACTTTACATAAAGTTTGTTTTAACACAAAAACACTATGGCTACCTTTCATGTTGTCTGCAAAACTTATGGCACATACAATAAAATGAATATAAAGCAGATGATGTAGCAGAAATTTAAACACTTATAAAATATATCTTCCGTTACCATCAATAAACATGCACTCCCAACCCTCATGTTTTAGTTAAGTCTTAAGTTATGAAGATAATAGTTCAAGCATATTTTTTAAAACCTCCATCTTAAGTGTCTAGCCTTTTAAAGAGAACAAACTAAATATACTGGGTTTTTTTCGTTTGCTGACTACGAGAATAATAATTTTTGCTGATTTTCTAATCCTGAGCAGCACCAGTCACCATAGTGAAAATTGAATTTGACCTGCATAATGCCCATAACACTATATCTTACTGTATGAATGCCAAAAAAAAAAGGATATTAAACAAGAAGTGTTCAATAAGCAATAACAAACCACTAGTTGAAAAGTGAGTTGTATATCAGACAAATAAAGTTGCAAATGTCTGCTCCATGAAAAAAAAATGATGAGCATAAGTTAACAGTACAAACTTTCACTACAAACCAGTAAAAGTCTGAAATGGCCTATATCTGTACTCGACTGTACTGATTTTTACTCAACCAGTCTGAATTGGTCTGAATTTTACTCGACATTACCCAAGTCAAAGTGGACAGCAGTTCTTTAGCAGTTTATTAGCATTCACAGTTCTTACTCGACAGCTGTTCTTTAGCAGTTCATTAGCATTTACAGTTGCCAAATTCAAGGCAATATTTAATTTGCATATAGGCATTCCAATAGCATTCCATATAGGCATTCCAATAGCATTCCATAGCAGTTTATTTAGCCTTCACAGTTATTTAGCAGTTATTTTTGACGAAAAATTTAAATTAGATACTCAAAAACTGCTATCTTCTCTGAATATTCATGAGAACTGCTATAATAACAGCTATCAATAATGAATATTCATAGAAACTGCTAAGTTGTACATCCTAATATGGCTTTCTAAACTACTAATAACTGCTATGGAATGCTATCAGATCTGTCAAAAGTTGGAATACAAAGGTACACTTGAATATACAGTGTACAAGATATGAATGCAAAAATAAAATTCTAATATTTTACTGCAAGTCTTGTTGAAATTTCAAAATGTTGCACCAACTTATATTTGTGATTTGAGCAGTAACTGCAATCAAATGACTCTATTTTAATCCAATAACAGACTTGTTAAGGGGTGTAAACATGCTTTGTGAGTACTGTACCTGGCCTTTTATCCCTTATTAATTATGTCAGTGGCAAAATAATACGAACAGTTAAGAATTATAATGCACTTTAAATATCAGTGCTTATAAAAAGCAACTTATTCAATAAGAGTGGTTACTTAACATTGCTTAAGAGACTATTTATTACCTTGACTAAGTGATTTTCAGATTAAAAGTTATTTTATTTTTATTATTATTTAATTACCAAATGTACTACTAATTTCTCTTCTACTATATATATTTTGTGTGGACCAAAAGAAAACAGTTATCTCCTCTTTCTCTTTTGGAATTAAACAAAATAATTCTTAATACATGTAATATATTATGTTTTCCACTTTCTGAAAAAAAAATTAAGTAACATATATTAACTTCATTAAATGGATTGTTTGGTCAATATTAAAACTATATGTGACCTAGGTTTCCCTAATATTCCCTCCCCCTTTTTCAACTCTTGAATATGATTTATTTTTGTTTTTTTTACAAAATTATATTAAAATATTCATATTTTTATTTTCAAATAACAACTTGCACTGTTAGTATATGCTAGTATTTCATTACAATCCTATCATCATCAGATATTCTATTTGAATAAACAACTATCCCCCCTTTTTTTGGGCTTTCTGTATTATTTCGTTTTCCCTACGAAGTTATGTCAGAAAATACACATGCATTATCTGTAATTTCAACTTACTGTACTGCAGGTGTGAGAAATTATTTCATTTAGCCCAAATTAAACTTCATAAATGACAAAAATACAGTTTTTCACTAGCAAGTATTTACACACAGCTTGGAGCCAAAATGCACATTTGAAAATGATCAAATAACCTTCAAATAAAGGTTTACTATCAAGCTAAAAACACAGCCAGATCCAAGCATTTTTATAACAAAGATTAAAACCAAAACTGCTATCAAACTGCTATTGAACTGCTGTCATAACTGTTGTCCAATTGACAAATTGACAACAGTTTAGAAGGTAGATCCAGACTGCTAAGATGAATGCTAAGAGGAATGCTAAGAAATGGTGAAATAAGGCAGTTTCTCAAACTGCTATTAGATGGAATGCTATGAACAGCTGAAAGACTGCTAAAAATGTGAAGAACTGGTAAATAACAGCTAATAAACTGCTAATGATAGCAGTTCAGTTTGACTTGGGTACTCGACCCCAGTCTTAACCATACTCGACTGTACTGATTTGTACTTGACCCTTATCTTTGCCATTGAAAATAGTCTGAACTATTGCTCGACCAGTCTGAAACAGTCTTAACCCATTCTCGACCTGTACTCGACCTATATTTTCAGTCTAAACCATACTCGACCAAAGGTCTGAACAATACTCGACCAGTCTGAACCATACTTGCCCAAATAACTTATACTTTTTATTTTAACTGTTAAAATAAATTTCTTTTTAACTGACATGACAACAGCCACAATAAAATAAAGATACATATAAAAACAGATTTTTACATCCTTACATGATTATCAGATTTATCAAATAGAGATAGTTAAATCAAACTATCTAATATAATAATTAAATTATATTAATTTTAAAGTTTAAGAGTTTTGTTAAAAATAGATTTTCTTTTACCTAAAAACCACAACTATACTGAGGGTAATTAAACCTTATTAAGGTGCTTCTTGTTTGGTGTGTGTGTTTATTTTCTTTAAACTTAATTTTCCTAAATTCCTAATTAAAAACTAGATAGGTTTCATGGTTACACACAATAGTTATATAATTATCTTTTTAATGAGGTAACAACAGCCAACAAAATCACTGAAATTGTTTAACCTTATATTAGAATTATATCTATTATTATAATTTGGGATATATTATAGTATAATATATATCAAAAAAGGGATAAAAAATTAAAGAAATTAATAAAATTGTTCTTCTGATAGGTGGTAAAGTATAAAGTAATACCTCCTGCTTGGGGCAAACTCATTAAAAAGATCACACCTGGTCAGAGAGTATTAAATTCTAAATAACATTCATTCAAAATTGCAACATCCTGTTTAACTTAAATCGCAAGGCCTTTTGAATTCACTAGATAAGTAATACACAAGTTTAAGAAAAATAGGGCTTTCTTTTTACCTGTAAAGCACACATTTACTGAGCTAATTAAACCTTATTATATGCCATGTCTTTAATTTTGACAAAAATTATTTAAATTTAATTGAAAATTTTTTTACTGAAACTTTGGAACACATTTCCTTTTTTAAAAGGTTCTCAAGACTGGCTATGGAAGTTCTATTATCATGGTTATATTGAATTCTTGGTTTTACAAACAAAGGTGTCATTTTTCAAATTTATTATTAAAGTTGCTTTATTTACTATTTTATATATATTTTAATAAAAAAAAAATTCACTGCATTATTAACTAAACTCAACTGACACCATAAATCTATACTAGGCTTAAGTTAATTGTGAAAATTGTCCAATAACCATAAAATATATCTGAAACTTTAAAAAAAATTTGAATAATATTGAAAATATTAGTCACAATTCAGTTTTGAGATTATTTGATCGGCTTGTTTTATTTTTATTTTAAACGTGATATATATATGTAAGTGTTGATGAATATGGTGTTGAAGTTATATAATGTTTATTGTGAAATTTTGGTTTCAATGCTATATTGAATACATTTTTAATTTCAAATTGTTGTTCAAATTTCTAGCCAGGGGAAATAGCTGTTGTTAAAAACAGTTTCTACATTGATGATATACAATAGATAGATACAAAAAATAGGTCTAGGTTGGTGAAGACTTGGTCGAGTATGGTTCAGACTAGGACAAGTATGGTTCAGACTAAGTTGAGATGGTTCAGACTAGGTCGATCATGGTTCAGTCTAGGTCGAGCATGGTCCAGACGCGTATAAAATGGTTAAGTACTAGTCGAGTAAAGGTCGAGTACAAGTTCAGACTGTTAAGTATGGTTCAGACTACAGTCGAGTATTATCAAGTAAATTTCAGACCAATTCAGACTGGTCGAGTAAAAATCAGTACAGTCGAGTACAGATATAGGCCATTTCAGACTTTTACTGGTTTGTAGTGTTTTGACACAATTAGTACAAATAATTATCAAGTTTTGTTCCATTCCAGTGTAAATAAATAAATATCTTGCATTCACAAGGTTTAGATATAGAAACAGACAGACTGGATGAGAAACGATTTCACCCCTGGAAAGGGGATTGATGTAACAATGTGTAAAAGTTTGCTATATTAAGCCAGGTAGTTACTTTTCATTATTACATTGGTTGCAATGAATTACTGTGATTTCTCAGTGAAATAAAAACTGATAATTTCACATGTGAAATAAATTTGATAATTTCACTCCTCTGACATCATACAACAATAGGTGTTGTCAAGACATTGTCGATGACGTAGCATAAAAGCAAATTGTGAATGCATAGAAAAAGATATAGTTCCTTGCATTTTCTTCTTTATTTCCATTAAAAAGCTCATTGTCAATGTAATAAAAAGAATAACTAATCGAGGAATTCAAATATCGAAAAATATTCAACTTGTGACCGAAAAACACTGATAATTAACTCATACGTTCATGAATTAATGGGTTGTTCGGTCACTCGTTGAATATTTTTCTATACATGTATTTGAATTCTTTGATTAGTTATTCTATAAATAACATCAGTTGATGATGTTCAAATGATTTGTCAGGAACATTATTCTATCGCATGTTTATATACTGGAAGTTCCAACTCTGCTTTTACAATCTCTTTCTTTTCTAAAGAAAAGAATCTTTAAGTACCCTACACTATTGTCTTGATAAATCTGACAAAGGACACTGCGTATTCATTAATTTTTGTGGATAATAATTTTCTTGGATTTATATAAAAAATTATATTTTTGGTGGCTATTTGATTTTGTGGTTATGCCAATGTATGCATTCAAACCTATAGAAAATTTGTACTACACTGAATATTTAAATTCAAGGTTTTGCTATACCCATGAAATCCATGACAATTGGTATTCCACATCTAATAATGAATCCACAGTAATATTTTACATTGTACATGTTAAACAATGTATGTGAATTGTGGAGATATATATATACATATCAGCATTATAATTTTCTAGTTTTCTGTTCCTTGACAATAACCTCTGCAGCTTCTATCATATTTCTTTCTTTCTTCATTAAGTCTTCTAACTCTGTCTTTTCTTTAGAATTATTACACAACACAACAAATTTACTGTTGTTTTTTCTTGCTCTCCCTCTCATTTGAACTAATGCAGTAACTGTTGATGGAGGGTTGAATGTAATTACAAGTTCACACTCTGGAATATCTACACCTTCTTCAGCGACTGATGTGGCCACAACTATGTCAATGGCCTTTCTTTTCATGTCATCTAATATTTGTTTTTGTTGAGCCACAGTCATACCTTGTTCAGTGCCGCTGGTGGTTCCGTGGCCAACTACAGCTTCAACCTTCAGTTGTAATTTTTGTATTGAATCATGGGATCTCAGCAACTGTTTCATTTTAAAAGCTGTTTCTCTTTGTTTCACTAATACAAGAACCATGGCATCTTTATTTGACCAATTTACATAATCTGGTCTGGTAACAATTTCGACTAACTTGGACAACTGTGGAGATGTATCTAAATCTGGATTTTGAAGTGATAAGTTAGGTCCTTCAACATTCATACAAGTCTGCAAAGCATCCTTTATCCTTGTGCATGGTAATAGGATGGCTTCAGCAAACTCAAAGTTTGCAGAGGGTTCGGCAGCCATTAGCTCTTGTAACTCTTCAATAGCCATGTAAACTCCTGACTCTATTAACACATTCAAGGCAATACAAATGTTCTGTGTATGCTTAATGATATTCCTTGAGAACAGTTTTACACCTGATTTTGAAGCTTCTTTTGGTCTTGCCATATTAATAGTCATCTCCAGTGAATTCAGAAGACTTCCATCAACTTCTTTAGCACAATTAAGCAACTCTTCCTCTGTTAAATGTTTTGTTTTTGATGTTAACCCAATATCAAAATGTTGCAGCAAATCAGTTTCTTCACCAAGGCGCATGTAGCATTTCAGCAAATATAACTGCAGTTCTTCTTTAAATGACCTCTCTTTTGACGACATTGCAATGTACTGAGGATCAATTTGTGCACTAGACTGAAATTTCTTCAATTCGTATGTATTTTCTTCCACCAGAGCAATCATGGCTCCTTCCAGATTGTCCATCAACAGTTTCAACATCATTATTGTTTCTTTCACAGAATCTCTTCCAGCTGGTGATGCTGTAAGACCAAGCAGTTTGGGGCGGGTTTGTTTTGGACATTTACGATGATATCCTTGGAGCAGCTTGTTAAATGGATGATTTTTTATACAGTGATGAGTCTCATCAAACACGACCAAACAAGTGTCATTCCATCTAAGTATTTTATTGAGAAGCAGGTTCTCATAGAATGCTGAAAATACATCAATTAGATTACTGAATTAAGATAAAATACATAAAATTTGGAATGAAGCTATTTATAAAACAATATGTCAATGGCATCTTATGTGTTTTTAAACAGTTTGGTTAAAAGTTTAACACTGTGAAGCATTCTCTTCATTAGGTTGCTGCCTTATTAACATATTCCCAAATAAAATTCCTTTTTTTATATCAGTTTTGACATGATTGATATATAAACATTTATCATCAGTGACAAAATCTGGTTAGTCCTAATAATAAGAGATTTTGGATCCTTGTATTGAAGCCATAATGCCAATATGTAAGACAAGATTAATAAAATGCTCTGCTGGGCGCAGCTTGATACAACCGCAGAGGTCGAACCCTGAACAGTTGGGGCAAGTATGGATACAACATTCAAGCTTGATACAGATCTGAATTTGGATTGTGATTAAATATTTGACACAGCATAGGTTTCTGACACAGAATGAATGTGGTCTAAGAACTTAAATTTTTTTAATTTACCTATTATGGTCCAATATCCAAAATCTAAATACATGGTTAGATTCAGATTTATCAAAGAATCCAAAGAATTCAATTTTTGATGAAATCAAACAAAGTTTAATTTTGGACCCTTTTGACCTCAATGTGGACCAATTTGATAACGGGGCCCAAAAATCAAAATAATATTAAAGAACCCCATATATTCAATTATTGTTGAAATCAAACAAAAGTTTAATTTTGGACCCCAACTTGGACCAACTTGAAAACTGGGCCCATAATCAAAAATCTAAACACATGTTTAGATTCAGCTTATCAAAGAACCCCAAGAATTCAATTTTTGATAAAATCAAACTAAGTTTAGTTTTGGACCCTTTGGACCTTAATGTAGACCAATTTAAAAAACGGGACCCAAAATTAAAAATCTAAATACACGGTTAGATTTGGCATATCAAAGAACCCCAATAATTCAATTTTTGATGATATCAAACAAAGTTTAATTTTGGACCCTTTTGACCTCAATATGAACCAATTTGATAGTAGGGTCCACAAATAAAAAATCTAAATACATGGTTAGATTCAGCATATCAAAGAACCCCATATATTCAATTATTGTTGAAATCAAACAAAAGTTTAATTTTGGACCCAACTTGGACCAACTTGAAAACTGGGCCCAAAATCAAAAATCTAAATGCATGTTTAGATTCAGCATATCAAAGAACCCCATATATTCAATTTTTGTTAAAATCAAACTAAGTTTAATTTTGGACCCTTTGGACCTTAATGTAGACCAATTTGAAAACTGGACACAAAATTAAAAATCTATATACACGGTCAGATTTGGCATAACAAATAAATAAATGTAGTCAAAGATTTTACAAATCTAATGCGCCATACTGTGCAATCAAAGATTACTTCTTGAAATTTTTCAATATTTGAAATTTGAAAAAAAAATTATATTTGAAGATTTGAAGAATAATTCTTTTTAATTTCTGAAATCTGAAATGAGAAAAAATTGACCTCCCACAATTTCTTTTTACCAATGGAGTTTGCAACCATAATTACCCAATTAAATTTACCATAGTGCTAACTTAATCTATTTTATAATAGAATTCAAAATATGGTGTCAAATCTTGCATATGGTTTTTTTTGTAAAAGAAAAAAGATGCAACATTTGCAGATATTTTTACTGGTCTTCCTTTATAAATATGCATTTCTTTAAACATAATTTAAAAGCAGTGTAAGGAAAGTAATCAAAACGTTGTATTTGGATTACCTCCCTTACACCGTTTTAAATTGTCTTAATTGTTCATTAACCATTACTTTATACATAATTTAAAAGCAGTGTAAGGGAGGTAATTCAAATGATATATTTGATTTATCTCCCTTACACTGCTTTAAATTATGTTTTGTACTAAGGTATTTGTCCATTAACCAGGACAACCATGTTTTTCAACCCTTTTTACCCCTAATTCCTAAACGGTTTGAGCCATAACCCCCCAAAGCCAATCCTAACCATCCTTTTGTGGTATGGAAACTTGTGGTATAATTTCAGAGAGATCCATACACCGAATTTTTGCGGTCGTATAAAAAAAAACTAATTCCTGAAAGACTAATGTCTCGTGGAAATCTGAAGGATGTTATTCGGTAGATAAATAATTCTTTTTTGATTTTGGAGTTGAAGTGGCCAAAAAAATGACAATCTTTATCATGTTTTGGGGGGGGAGTTTCATCATGGGATTTTGGATACAGGTGTGCGGCTGATATTTCTAACCACCCCCCCTCTATTCATATATTGAAGTCATGTGAAAATCACGACCCATAAATATATTTCATGGCAGAATCATAACCCATTCATATATTTCTCAGTTTAATATGACATATACAATTATCTTAATTTGATTTAAAAGGATAAAACAGCATATATATGTATATCTTATTGAAAAAGAAAACTACCGACTCTTTCACATTTTACCTTGGTGAAACTGTAAGTCATTAATATATTTGACACATCAAAAAAGGGACCCATTCCAGCGTCATGTCTGTATATACCTTTATACAGGAAGAGACCACCACACTACCTGCAGTAACTATAATAATATCATGTTTTTCCAAAAAGAACGTCTTCTTGTTGCCTACCTGCAGCAACTTAACATCATGTTTCCACAAAGAAGATGTTTTGTTGCCTACCTGAAGTAACTTTAAAAACATCATATTTCCACAAAGAGTTATTTGTTGCCTACCTGCTGTAACTATAATAACATCATGTTTCCAAAGAGGTACTCCTCCACTTTTCTGTAAACCTCCACACAAGGCAGCTATGACAGGTTTTCTCTCTTCCAACTTTGAAAAATCTGTGTGACTAAATCTACAATAAATTATACTTCAGTTTTAATGAATTCTTTAATTTGGCTCACAAATTTGTTGCCTTTGAGCCATTCCTATAATATGAGGCAGGCGTTACCTGTGAAAGGGGACGAAGAATTATTTTTTTTAATTCAAACATATTTTATCTTCAAAATCTGTTAAAAAAAGAAACGGAAATACCGTAACGTTTCCGATTTTGGTTCTGTTGTTAGGGATTTTAGTTGTGACGTTAGTTTACTTATGACGTCATATTCGATGTAAACAAAGAAACGCTATCATCAGGTAACGTTTTTTCATATCAAAGAATAATTAGAAATGAAATTGTTATTGTGTTCCTTCCTATATTTGACTGGACTGATAAATATATATTTCACTCAAAGTCTCATGACACACGAGACCGGAAGAAGGAAGTAGATTTCTGCGCAAATGCGGGAATTAAAAAAAGTTACAAAAAAAAAGTTAATGATTTTGAGTTCATTAGTACAATGAAAATTTCGGGAAATTTTCCCGATTTTTTTTTTTTTTTTTTTTTTTTTTATTGATTTTTCTACTGTAATAGGGGACTTCGTCCCCTTATTAAAGAATCATTGAATAAGAATCAAAGATTACAAATAAATGGCTTTGCAAACCTTATCTCTTCGAACATAATAGTCATGTTGTTGCACTGCAGGTTTATTTTGTATATTCTACTCTAATTACATATGTTCTAGAGAGGCCAAGGATATGGTATGTGTACACATAGACTGGTTAAAGCCTGAACCCTTTAATGCCTATGACAAGTCAAACTATCTCAATGAAGTCCTGGTGTCATGGACATGATGAAATGGAAGTTCCTTTGTAATGTATAAGTTTCTAGTGGAAGAAATATTATTTCCAATGTCAGGAACAAATATTACAGTATTTGTTCCTTTAATACAGAATAAAAGGTATAGAACATTTGATTCAATGGGAACAGATATTATGGCATTGTTTATAACAAAGTTTCCAGGATAACTTCTGTTAAGCAGAACAAATATATGTTGACACTGGTAGTTGTTTTTACGTGACAGATTTTGGTGTGGTTTGTTTACTGTCCAAGTATTTTTGGTAATTCCGGTTTTATGTAATAAACAACCTACTTTGCATCCATTTTTTATTTGTTGGTACATGTATTGATTTTTCAAGGTCAGAAAAAATAATAATTTCAGGGTACTTAGTTTCATGGTTTTATTATTTGTGCCTATCGAAGGAATTTGCATCACCAAGGTTGACAATGTTTTTTCAAGGGGTAACAATCTGCTCTATCACCCTCTCAGCTATGTGTTATTTAATTTATTATACTGAATGTTCTGCCATTATTGTCTTTTAAATTTTGGATTTTTGGTCTATGAAGAAGTTTTTTTCTTTAAATTTATTGATGCAATTTCAATTCATTGTCCTTTTAAATTATCGATTTTTTATTGGTCTGCACGAGAGGGTGACATTAAAAAAATTGTCTCCCGCTGAGCCATGGGATAGAGTAAATTATCTCCCTCGTATTAGCCAATCAAAATTTGGCATCTAAACGTTAAATATAATATTAAAATATACATATGTACTATTTACTGTGAATTAATTTATTTTCGTGGGTTACAATTTTCATGCATTAACAAAAAGTTGTATTTTCATGAATATTAGATTTCATGGTTTTACAAAAGTCTGCCATGTTGCCTGTTTTGCCTTTAATATTCAGTTTGTAGCCATCAAAAATTTCATGTTCGATTCATAGAAGTCAATAATCATGTGCAATTTATTACAATGTAGCCCCACCAGTCCAAAGTTAAGCAATTGCATATAAATAGTCCTTCAGTATTTTTTAACTAAAATTTTTAATATTTGTTTGGTACTTTTTATTACAATGAGAAAAAGGTCACACTGACCCTTTCAAACAAAACATTACCATTGACAAAGAAGTGTCCAGAAGATGAAAAGAGTTTCAGATAAGTTACATACTTCTTAATGTCAATGTCTTTTTTTATGGTCACATATGCATGTACCTTGTATATTTTCTGTCTCCAATTTCTCTCCTGATATACTCCGACTGCTGTAGTACTAACAACACTTTATCTACCAGGAACATCACTTGTCTGGTAGGATTTTGTTCCAACATGGCACTGATAGTCATACAACTGATTAAAGTTTTACCAGTTCCTGAAAAATACAAATATGAGGCCTCAATTGGTGTCTAAAGTGTAGAAAAATTCCTGAAAAATAGCAAAATGATGATCAGCATGATAGAGCAACATATACTTGCTCCAATTAAAATAATTAGGTGCGTTCTTGCATTAGATTTTTATTGTGTTTTCCATCGTGTAATTTCTTATTCTAGATGAAGGGAAGTTGGTTAAGCATTAGTAAAACAAGTATCATTTAGGCAAATTTCGAAGTGCACAACATGGAAAATCTTCCATGGTAGAAAATATTTACATAAAAATAAGGAGATCAGGTATGATTGACAATAAGAAAACTATCAATAAAGAACAAAGGATAATGATGTGCACAATTACTGGTCACTGTAAAGCCTTCAACAATGAGCAAAACAGCATACTGTATAGTAAAAATTGAGAATGGAAACGGGGAGTGTGTCAAAGAGACAACAACCGGACCAACGAGCAGAAAACAGCCCAAGGCCACCAATGGGTCTTCAACACAGCGAGAAAATCACGCACTGCAGGCGGGCTTCAGCTACCCCCTAAACAAAAATGTGTACTAGTTCAGAGAAAATGGATGTCACACTAAACTCCGAAATATATAAATGAACCAAAATTAATAAAAGAACAGAGTTCCAATGTCCCCCGCGTGGCACATATTTTATCTATCCAAGGTACAAGGGCAATAACTAAAAAAAACACTTTTTTTTGTTCTTTAAAACTTTTTAGTAATATCTTAGAGAAACAAAGACTTCAGAGCAAAAGCAATGTGATTTCCATTATAATTAATATTTCAAAGGGCATAAATATTTGTTCAGCACTTATTTTCAAAAGTGTCAAAGAATTGTCAAAGAATTTTTGATATAAACCTATGAGATAAGTTTCATAAAATTCTGGCATTAATTGTACACATGAGAATGCTGACAATGCAATTTTCCATATAAATCAATATTTCCAAGGGGCATAACTCTTTTAAAAATAATTGATCGGTACTGATTTTTGAACTCATCAAAGACTTTGATGATATAAGCCTATAATATAAATTGCATAAAAATCTGGCAAGAATTGTACACATTAGAGCACTCATAAGGCAATTTTCCATAAAATTAATATTTCCAAGGGGCATTACTCCTTAAGAAAAAATTGATCGGCACTGATTTTCGAACTCGTCAAAGACATTGCTTATATAAACCTATGATTTAAGTTTCATAAAATTCTGGCAAGAATTGTAAACATGTGAGAGCTAACAATGCAATTTTCCATATAATTAATGTTTCCAAGGGACATAACTCTTTTAAAAGTAATTGATCGTCACTGATTTCTTGACCTCATGAAAGACATTGTTGATATAAACCTGATATAAGTTTCATAAAAATCTGGCAAGAATTGAACACATGAGAGCGCTAACAATGCAATTTTCAATATAAATCAATATTTCCAAGGGGCATAACTCTTTTAAAAATAATTGATCAGCACTTATTTTTTAATGTGTCAAAGAATTGTCAAAGAATTGCAGATATAAACCTATGAAATAAGTTTCATAAAATTCTGGCAATAATTGTACACATGAGAATGCTGACAACGCAATTTTCCATATAAATTTAATATAATTTCCAAGGGGCATAACTCTTTTAAAAATAACTCATCGGCACTGATTTTCGAACTCGTCAAAGACATTGATGATATTGACCTATAATATGAATTTCATAAAAATCTTGCAAGAATTGTACACATTAGAGCGCTCATAAGGCAATTTTCCGTATAATTAATGTTTCCAAGGGGCATCACTCTTTTAAAAATAATTGATAGGCACTGATTTTCGAAATCGTCCAAGACATTGCTAATATAAACCTATGATATGAGTTTCATAAAATTCTGGCAAGAATTGTACAAATGGGAGCGCTAACGATGCAATTTTCCATATAATTAATGTTTAAAAGGGACATAACTCTTTTAATAAAATGCTCTGCTGGGCGCAGCTTGATACGACCGCAGAGGTCGAACCCTGAACAATTGGGGCATTAGTATGGACACAACATTCAAGCTTGATACAGCACTGAATTTGGATTGTGATTAAATATTTGACACAGCATAGGTTTCTGACACAGAATGAATGTGGTCTAAGAACTTAAAAATTTTTAATTTACCTATTCAAACCATATCATTATTATTTGCTTTTAAATAAAAATCAGAAATAACCAATTTAAAAAAAAAAATCCCTCCCCAAATTTTTTGAACCCCCTTATGATTCATCACCCCCAAACTCAATCCCAGCCTCCCCTTTGTGGTATGGTACCTTGCAGTACAATTTCAGAGAGATCCATACACTTGAACACAAGTTATTGTCTGTATTCTAGAAAAATGCTTGTTTTTAGGCCCCTTTTTGGCCCCAAATTCATAAACGTTTAGGGCAATTACCCCCAAAATCAATCCCAGCCTTCCCTTTGGGGTATGGTACCTTGCAGTACAATTTCAGAGAGATCCATACACTTGAACACAAGTTATTGTCTGGAAACTAGAAAAATGCTTATTTTTGGCCCCTTATTCCTAAACGTTTTGGGCAATTACCCCCAAACTCAATTCCAGCATTCCCTTTGTGATATGGAACCTTGTAGTACAATTTCAGAAAGATCCATACACTTACACACAAGTAATTATCATGAAACTAGAAAAATGCTGGTTTTTTGCCCCTTTTTTGGCCACTAATCCCTAAAATTTTGAGGCAATTACCCCCAAAATCAATCCCAGCATTCCCTTTGTGATATGGAACCTTGTGGTACAATGTCAGAGAGATCCATACACTAACAGACAAGTTATGTCTGGAAGTAACAAAAATGCTTATTTTTGGCCCCTTTTTGGCCCCTAATTCCTTAACTGTTGGTACCATAACCCCCAAAATCAATCCCAACCTTCCTTTTGTGGTATTGAACCATATGGTAAAATTTCATAGAGATCCATTCACTTAAACTAAAGTTAGAGTGCGAAAACTAATGTGTCTTCGGACGACGACTACGACAACGACGACGGCGACGCCAACGTCATACCAATAAACAACCACAAAATTGTTTTGCAGTCGTATAGAACTTGTTCGATATATTGCTGATATTAACCTATAGTATAAGTTTTTTTTAAAATCTGGCAAGAATTGCACCTGTGAGAGCGCCAACGAGGCCATTTTCCATAAATTTAATATTTCCAAGGGGCATAACTCTTTTTAAAAAAGTCGATCAGCCACCATTATATAACTTGTCCGAGATATTGCTGATATTTACCTATAGTATAAGTTTTATAAAAATCTAGCAAGAATTGTACCCGTGAGAGCGCTAACGAGGCCATTTTCCAAAAATTTTATATTTCAAAGGGGCATAACTCTTTATAAGAAAAGTAGATCGGCCACCATTATAGAACTTGTCCGATATATTGCTGATATTAACCTATAGTATAAGTTTTATAAAAATCTGGGAAGAATTGTACCTGTGAGAGCGCTAATGAGGCCATTTTCCATAAATTTAATATTTCCAAGGGGCATTATTCTTTTAAAAAAAGTCGATCGTCCACCATTATAGATCTTGTCTGAGATATTGCTGATATTTACCTATAGTATAAGTTTTATGAAAATCTGGCAAGAATTGTACCCGTGAGAGTGCTAACGAGGCCATTTTCCATAAATTTAATATTTCCAAGGGGCATAACTCTTTTAAAAAAAGTGGATCGGCTACCAATATAAAATTTGAGCGAGATATTGCTGATATTTACCTATAGTATAAGTTTTATAAAAATCTGGGAAGAATTGTACTCGTGAGAGCGCTAACAAGACCGGACGAACGGATGCCCGGTATTTCCATGTCCCCCGCAATGTGTTACGCGAGGGACAAAAATCTGGCAAGAATTGTATAAGTGAGAGCGCTAACAAGACCGGACAGAAGGACGCACGGACTGACAGACAGATGGAAGGACACCGGGTATTTCTATGTCCCCCGCAATGCGTTGCGCGGGGGACAAAAAAAAATACAAGACTAACAAAGGCCAGAGGTTCCTGACTTTGGACAGGCGCAAAAATGCGGCGGGGTTAAACATGTTTTGTGAGATCTCAACCCTCCCCCTATACCTCTAGCCAATGTAGAATAAACAAAAAAAAACAAAGCAATATGCATAGTAAGCTATAAAAGGCCCTAGTATGACTAAATATGAACAAAAAGAAAAACCAAACATCTGATTTATACTACGACAATGAATGAAAAAAAAGATGACAGACAGCAACATTTTCTGGATGTATTTTAACAAAGGAAGATCCAAGTTTTACTTTTTATTATAAATTTACATTTTATATACTCCCAACAAAAATTAGTTGGTTTACAGTATACTGTTGGTTTGCTGTCTTTTAAGAACTTTATTTTAACCTCCTTTTCATTCATGCCCATATACAGCAAAATAATACAGCTATATTTTATTAAAAATTTTGTTTTTTAATCTGAAGTGGGGTTGCTGTCTCAAAGTTATTGCTTAATATAGTTAACATTTAAGAAATGCCTCTTTTTGTAATTTCATTGAGGTGTAAAAGCGTTGACTGAAGCACATTTTGTATTAAACGCTTAATGCTAAAAATGTGAGCAGGTACATGTACAAAACTTTTAGAACCCTTTAAAATTACAAAAAGAAGCATTTAACTCTTGTATTAAATTAGATTTTTATGCTACAAGCATTACAACCATGAAAGACTTTCATTTGTTTTTCTATGCATTGTTTAAAAGTTGTTACGAAGAGCATGTGCTGTCATCATGGTCATAGATATTGCATTTTACAGAAATAAAATATAATTTTTTCAATGCCTCTTCCAATCAAAATTACGGAATTGAAAAAAAAATTTATGTAATTGTTATTATAATAGTTTATCAATTCAATACCTGTTGGTAAAAAGCAAACTCTGTCACTGTCCATGGCCTTGTTAAATAGTTCTATCTGATAACTTCTAGGTGTAGTTGTAGTTAACTTAAATCCTATCCTACCATAATCATTCATGCTCTTAACAGTTAGTGGGTGTTCCCTCTCTGGAGCAGTTTCTTTAGCAGCCTTCTCACAATGGCGCTGTCCACGTAAATGTTCCTTGTAACTCTTCTCTGTATTCATTGGTCTCTCGCATGTTGAGCAGTAGAAGGCAAAAGGACTATGTCTGTCTCTATTTCTACCAGAAACTTCACATGACAATGGTGTTGTACTTCGAGCAAAACTATTCTGTATACTTTCGAGTGACTCATCCGAGTTATCTTGGATATTTTTCACACCTGGAGTTTCTTCAAAAACATTTTCTGTCACAGCATTTAAACTAAGTTCAGAAAGGCTATCAAGAGATGTATCTGCCCCGCTAAAGGAACTTTGCTTACTTTTACATCTGTTTTTAATGGCTCTAGCTTCTTCAGAGCCAGAAGATTTTCGTGACCCAGATGATTTACTTCGGGATGAAACTGACAAATCAGATGGCTCAGACACAATAAAATATTTATCTCCAAACATTGGTAGTTTGTTACAAGTTTTCTCTGGAATTACTATCTCCTTTTCTCTTGGTTCCTCTCTATCAGACACTGACAAACTCGAATCTGTTGTACTGTGTTCTGAGTCACTCTCCTCAGGGTTTTCACTGTCAATACCATGTAAATCATTAGATATTTTATCGATGGTAGACTTACAAGACTTAAACTGAAGACTCTTTGATGTCTCTTCTTTGTCATTTGATGCTGATGCAAGATTGAAATCACTTTTTCTTTGTATAATTGGAGATTTCTCAATAGACGGAATGGTTTTAACATTTGTCTGCTCATCAGTGAGATGAGGATAATGATTGACCTCAGCTTGACCTCTAATGTTTTTGTCAGATAAATTTGTTGTGAACACCTTTGGTCGTGCCATTGTAAACATTGATTTTTCATCATCTATTTTTAAAACAGATTCATCATCTCTCAATGATCCAAGGGTAAGGTGTGATACCAGCGAAGTACTAAATGGCATCAAGGAAGGCAAATCTTCGTTTGAATTTGAATTTATAACCCCATTTTTGATGACTGGATTTGCTGGCAACTCTGCTACTACCTCAGAAGCGTTGATACCATTTTGAGTTACTGCATTTATTGTGATGTCATATGTTTGCTTAGTTACAGATGTTGGTGGTAAATACTCTGCCTGTGGCAATGTGACTTCTGATGATATTCCATTTACTTTAGGTAAAGGTATGACACAACTAGGAGTAACAATGGTGGAAGACTTTAATTGGAAATTTGTATGATTGAACTGACTGCCTACATATATTCCAGGCATGGGGTTCTGCTTTTCTGGTACATTTTCATAATAGCCTCGTCCTAAATTATGTCCAAGGTTTTGTCCTAAATTTTGACCTAATTGTCCTTGTTGAGGATTATACCTCCTGTCTGTATCAAAACCAGTCTGTTGATTTACAATGCCTGTTGTACACTGTCGAATCATCTTTTCTTCCTGTGCTTTATGTTTTGGAGAATTTTTGTGAGTTTCCAGCTGTTGTTGTGAATTAAGTTTGCAGTTACAAAAACTACAAGTGAACCATTTGGTGTTATCTGACGTGTCAACTGTTCTAACTGGAAATTCATTATAAGCACTTTGATTTGAAGCGGCCAGACCAGCCTTCTCTATGTGTTTTTTGCTTACCAGATGTTGGTGCATGCTTTCTGGTCCACTACAAGCTATCTGACATATCTCACAAAACTGTGGTACATTTTCTGTTATCCCTTGTAGCCAACGATGTTTAGCTTTTGCATGATTTTTACCTTTTAGATGACTATCTGCATGAAGTTTAGATGTCAGTTCTATTTTACACACATTGCAGTAACCTCTGGAGCCATTAAATGTATATTCTTCTCCTCCAGTTCCCCTCATGTCTGACCTGGCTGAAATACCCGTGGTAACTGACGGTTTTACTGCTTGAGCATTTTTCATTTTTGCATGTTTAGCTCCTCTTAGATGCTGATCTGCAGGCACTTTTGATGTCAATTCTAAATTACAGAGATTACAAAATCCTTGTTTTCCATTAAATGTGTATTCCTGGCTACTTGTACTAGACTGACGAGCTACAGGATCTACATCTTGTACTAGAACTTGGACATTCATTGCATTTTTTGCCTTGTGATGTTTAGCACCTTTCAAATGTTGATCTGCATGTTGTTTGGAGGTCAGTTCAAGGTCACATATATTGCAATATCCTCTGCTACCTGCAAATGTGTAATCAGGTTCTTCAGATTTTTTAAGAGTTGGCTTTGATACTGGAGATGCAGGGCTTAATTTTGACATGTTTAATGGTTTATTTTGAATGGGAAGAATGAATGAATGTGGTGGTATTGTCAGTGGTGATAACGGCTCAGCACTATTTTTAGTAAGACTTAAATCTGCCTGCATCCAGCCTTCCTTTGCTTGTTTATGTAATGCACTATTAAGATGGGCACTTGCTTGCTCTATAGATGTAAGTTTCAATTTACATACATTGCAAAATCCACTCTCCCCCTCAAATTCATATTCAACCTCTTCATGAAGTGGTGATGATAACGAAACAGTGCTAAATTGAGCTCTCTGCTGGCTTTCAGGCTGAACTTTTGACATACTTCTAGTTTCATTTTTTTTTCGTAGAAACCATGCTTCTTTTGCTTTTTTATGTTTAGCTCCTGAAAGGTGTTGATCTCTGTTCTTAATAGATGTAAGCTCTACTTGACAAACATTACAAAATCCAGTGGATATATTAAATGTGAACTCTACATCTGCATCTCCATATCCTGACCTCTTTGATAAATTTTCTAAGACTGATTGAGGCGGTGTTTCATTCTGCAGTTCTAGTTGGAAATTCTGGAATAATTTATCAAGATCATCTCCAGATTTCGGCTGGTCGGTTTGTAAAGATGAAGATGTGAAACTATTTGCTTCATTAAATGACAATTTCATACTTAATTGTGCTTCAGTCTTTTTAGTTGTATGAAAATTTCTGATATGCAACTCTGAGCTTGCATCGTCGGGAAAAGTTATGTTACATGCATTACACTTTCTAGTTTGTTGAGGGGGGCTTTGCATTTGGTTTGACTTTTTCTTGTGCTTTTCACCATTAAGGTGTTGAGATGCATTCTCTGGTGATGTTAAATCTATACGGCAGATGTGACAATAGCCACGTTTTCCATCAAAATCATACGGTCTCCCTGCAGTGTCATATTGCTCTGAAGATACTTGAAACTGTTGCGATTTGTCCATCTTTACCTTATGCCTTGGACTGGCCATATGTTCCATAAATGATTTTGGCCCATTACATTGTTCACTACAAACTCTACAGAAGAAATGACTCAATGAATCAATTTGTAAGCTAACTTGTTTAGCTTCAGCCTCCTTATGCTGTTGACTTGAAAAATGAGCTTCAGCATTATAAGCACTTGAAAACGGACCTTTCTGACATGTTTTACAATATTTTAGGACCTCATTAACTGCAAGTGACATCTTTAATTTCTTACTCTTTTCTCATTTAAAAATCTACTTTCACTTTCACTTTGTCCACTAGACAAGAAAGTTTATATTGGTGTTTATAAGTGTAGTTTTGCATTCTATTTTCACTACAGTTAGTTGGGACCATCTTGGTGTCTATTTTTAAAGAACCAGCAAGACTGCATGTGCCAAATCATCTTTTGACATGTAGATCTGCAGGCTGGAAATCCCCTTACCAAATTCGAAACTAAAAGTTATACCGATTTGTAGATATTTTCTTATTGGTTCGTAAAACAGACAGCAGTGCAATATATATTTATTTGGTAACATTAAAATACACAAGTCGTTTCATTTATCATATTTGAATAAAAACTAAGTTACGAAAACTGTACCAGCTTTATTTACATTATTTTGACAACCAGCAAGATGGCGGACACGGGACTGGTGAAAAATAATTACAAGTCAAATCAAGTAATTACATCGAAATACAGTCAAGTTTTGTGATTTTGTTTGTTCGATAAGTCTGTGTTATTCGTTTACAAAACGTTAAACGGACGGAATTAAATTACTGGCCATCATCTTATGAGCAGTTATGAATTATGAATTTATGGGTACACCGATTTCCCGAAAACTCTCAAAAGTCAATAAGTACTCGAGAACTGATAGATTACCCGAAAACTCTATTTTCTATAAGGCGTGAAACTGCTTAAATTGGTTTTCTAAAATTACCGGCCATCATCTCATGAGCAGTTATACATGGTATATATAGTAATAAACAAAAAAAATTAGTTTTCGGGTAGTATCTATTGGTTCTCGTGTTCTTATACACCTTATTGCTATTTCAGTATTTGTTGGTATCGGGTCCGTTCCCCCTTATTACATGTTCGCCCTGGGTCCGTTCACCCTGAGTCCGTTCGCCCATAGAGTCTGTTCGCCCTGGGTCCATTCGCTCTAATTTAAAAAAAAAATATATTAATATTTATGGTACAATTTAAGGTTTTATAATCTTATTCAGATATTTAAATGGTAAATATTAAAAAATATAAATCTCTCCAAATTCATGAATAAACATGGAAATTAATAAAAAAAAAAAAAAAAAAGGTTTTTGTTTTGGAGCATTAATCAGGCTAATTGGCTTCATTGTTACAATTGTTTTTATTCAGAATTACTTTTAATGACTGTTGATTATAGATAAACTCATTATAGATACCAGGATTGAAATTTTGTACACCAGACATACGTTTCGTCTACAAAAGACTCATTAGTGACGCTCGAATCAAAAAGGGTAATAAGGCCAAATAAAGTACGAAGTTGAAGAGCATTGAGGACCCAAAATTCCTAAAAGTTTTGCCAAAGGTAAGCGAAGGTAATCTATTCCTGAAGTGGAAAAGGCTTAAGTATTCCGAAAATTAAAAGTTTTGTAATTTAGAATGCTGATTAGGTATGATTACGATGTCTTTGATCTCACTGATTGTTGTAGTTATTGTTTTTGATGGATTAATAATGAAATTGCTTTAATTGTTTTTTTTTTAAATAAACAAGTCAGCTTGGAATGAGTTAAAACAATGATGTAAGAATTGTAAGACATTAAAGGGAAATTGCTTTCGCCGCTTGGCTTCTTTGATCTCAAGGTGTTGAGTGAGTTGGATCTTGTTATACCTGTTTGGATTGTTTTGAAATTGTTACAAGGTTTCAAAAAAGATTAATCCATACAGATAACTTGGTCTCCAGTTTCTGAACACTTTTTCTTCTTCTTCAAAATACTGCCCACATTCAACATGATGAATATTCTGGCAAGAATATTTAATGCAAATCAAAAAAAAAATAATTATCTGGTAGCAGCAATACAGTGACAACATAAATATTCGGCGAAATTTTCAACAAACTTTAACATAATTAATTCAAATAATTTATACTATACAAGACAACAAAATAAAATAGAAATCAGGGCGAACAGACTCAGTGCGAACAGGTATTAGGGCGAACGGACCCGGGTTTTGTATTTGTCCGCCATTACTGGACATCACAAAGGTTTCCGTAAAATTTTGATGTCATAATAGAAAATATCTGACGCCACAATGGAAAAGTGATTGTTGTATGACGTCAAAAGTTCTAGCGGTGCAGATTTCTAAATAGCGATAAGGTCTATTGAGTTTTAGGAGTTTTCAGGAAATTGAGGTACGTCCCTGTTAAACATAGATCTGAAACAAATAAGGCACTGGCTACAATAAACCGCTAAAAGTAACAATAACAAATAATTAATTGTTGCTTCCAAGACAAATTTCAATGTATTTCTAGACAGGGACCTTTTCATACAGAAATTGCAGGTAACATAAACAACAAGGGAACGACCATTCAACTTCAAGGGGGGAGTAATGGTTTTTTTTCTTAAAAAAATATTCTGATCCCCAATTTGATGAAAAAAATATTTTGGTCAAGCAGATGACCTGCATTTTTAAGTGCATTACAATTTGTACAAGAAAAAGTTGTGTAAATTTCGCTGATGATCAGAGAAATATTTTTAGGAAACAGTATTGATCAATAACAGCAGGTAAATAACTCTTTTATGAAAAAAGTAAATTAAAAAAAAATGCTGAACACCTAGGAAAATTCAAAACAGAAAGTCCCTTATCAAATGGCAAAATCAAAAGCTCAAACACATCAATGATCAAACGAATGGAAAACAACTGTCATATTCCTGACTTGGCACAGGCATTTCCTTATGTAGGAAATGGTTGATTAAACCTGAGGTTTTATAGCTAGCTAAACACTCATTTGTATAATGAACACTGTGCTTAAACGGCTGTGGGTTATAACTTAAGTTACCCACAGTCCCAAGATGGCGGACTCTAAACTCGTTGATATATAATTGATACAAAATCTACTTTTTGTGACATTTTTCATGCACTATGTAAATATTTAAAGGTTTTTTTAATAAAGAAATCACTTACCATAAGCATAAATTTGTTAATTTTGAGTTCACTTTAGCATTTAGGCCAACCTTAAAAATGCATGAGATGTCTGTAACTTTTTGGTCAAAACTAATCATACATGTACTATCCGTAACTTTATTTTCGGATGTGCGTAACTTTTGTTTTCAAAATTGTAAGATTAATAATTTCAACAATTAAAGGACAATAAACACTATCCAACCCCTTATTTATTACTTTGGATGCATTAATGATTGATTGATTGATTGTTGGTTGCTTAACGTCCAGTGGCAAATATTTCATGCATATTCAGGACGAGAACAAATTAACAATAAATACAATTGGTAGGTTCTGTAATAAAGGGGTTCAGGATTAAGGTCGGAGAAATCTAGACCGCAACAGGAAACGAAGGCACAAAGGATAGGGACAGAAATTTAGCCTTGCAACAGGTCACCTACGGAACCCTCAAAGAGTTGTTGCAAGGGTTCTTCACGTGCAAAGAGCGTGGCACTCTCTTTACATGAGGCATCGGATTTAACGTCCCTTTTCTGACCAGACATGGCTGCAAATTTGTACATCCCGCACAGCCAAAACGGACGCCCCACTTTGGCGAGGGTTTTACTGCTGGTCGGAGGAAGACCATTGCTATTAATATTCATAAAGTTCATTAACTTTTATTTACTACAAGTCAATTACTTTATCCCTTGTAAGTATTTTTTTAATATGGGGGTCGAATCCACTGGGCCGCAACAACATAAAATGGAATCATATTCATTTCATACCTCATTGAAGATTAATATTTATGTAAGCCAATTTGTACTTTTTGGAAGATTTATATGTGTGTCATTTTGTACCATACTGAAGATTTATGTATGCCATTTCGTTCCATATGAAAAATTTATATGTGTGTCATTTCATACCATATATGGAAGATAATCTGTTTTATATGTATGCTTTTTTGTTCCATATAAAACAAACAGATTTTGTTCATTATTTGCTGCTTCTCCCCTAAGCTCACAACTTTATAAGGAGTAAGAGTGGTCGACTCAAAATCAGAATAATGTGTGGTTAGGGTGATATGTCTTCTTGTGAATTCAATTAGCATGTTAAAAATCTGACTCAGGGTGTAGGTCTTGTACAAAGCAGGGCCAATATTCATATCACATTAATATGTTATCGTCCTGAATATGCAATTAATTTGCTGCTGGACATTAAACAACATTCTGTCATCATCATCTTTCTCAATAGCTGACTGATGAGTACTAAAGAGTCAAGCTTTTTCTATAATGAAATATTGTATCTTGTCATTAAAATGATTCCGTATTGAATGTTATATGAAACCTAATTTAACACTTGTCATATATATGAATTATTTTGTTCTAATTATTATTTCCATCATTATAATCGTATATATGATTGAATGACTATAATCTTCATCAAAACTATTTCAGGTTCATGTAAACTGAATGCATTATAGATATGATTGAATTTTTACTTTTCTAGGCCATCAAATCATTACTGGAGAAATGTGGCATCAAAAAAGATAAAGATGTAGAAGAGCTGTATTTATCAAATCAGTAAGATCTCAGTGGCAATTTCTGTATTTATCAAATCAGTAAGATCTCAGTGGCAATTTCTGTATTTATCAAATCAGTAAGATTTCAGGGGCAATTTCTGTATTTATCAAATCAGTAAGATCTCAGTGGCAATTTCTGTATTTATCAAATCAGTAAGATCTCAGTGGCAATTTCTGTATTTATCAAATCAGTAAGATTTCAGGGGCAATTTCTGTATTTATCAAATCAGTAAGATCTCAGTGGCAATTTCTGTATTTATCAAGTCAGTAAGATCTCAGTGGCAATTTCTGTATTTATCAAATCAGTAAGATTTCAGGGGCAATTTCTGTATTTATCAAATCAGTAAGATTTCAGTGGCAATTTCTGTATTTATCAAATCAGTAAGATTTCAGGGGCAATTTCTGTATTTATCAAATCAGTAAGATCTCAGTGGCGATTTCTGTATTTATCAAATCAGTAAGATCTCAGTAGCAATTTCTGTATTTATCAAATCAGTAAGATTTCAGGGGCAATTTCTGTATTTATCAAATCAGTAAGATTTCAGTGGCAATTTCTGTATTTATCAAATTATTAAGATTTAAGTGGCAATTTCTGTAAGATCAGTAAAATGTCAGTACTTATCACATCATTAAGGCATGTATCAGAACCAATTTCAATATATACATGTATCATATATATAATTAATATTTCAGTTACAGTGATTTCTGTATTTATACAATTAATGAGATTTCAGAAGTAATTTCTAAACTTCAAAACTGTATTTATCAAATCAAAAAAATTTTAAAAGTTAATTCTAAACTTCAAAGCTAACCAAGATATATCTTTGAATGGTTTTACACTAGTAATTTTTGGGGCCCTTTATAGCTTGCTGTTTGGTATGAGCCAATGCTCCGTGTTGAAGGCTGTACCTTGACCTATAATGGTTTACTTTTATAAATTGTTACTTGGATGGAGAGTTGTTTCATTGGCACTCATACCACATCTTCCTATATCTAACTAATACATCATTCTGGAAATTCTGATTTATAAGTGAATTTTATATTTCAGAGAATTGACAACAGTTTTTGATTTTACAAAATATGAAATGTTGAAGACTTTATGATTATATTCTGCATTTCAGAGATCTTTCAGAAGTTGTTGATTTAACCAGATTTAAATTCTTGAAGATATTATGGTTAAATGCAAATAAGGTATGTATAGATACTTATATAGAGACAAAAGGTTTTTTTTATAACTGTCATGGTTTGAGTTTCCACAAAACTTTGATAATGTGCAATAAATGAAATTGAAATAAATTTCTTTCTTCTCTTTTTATTTTTACAGAACTAATTATGACATAATTTTGGAATCCTCTGGCACTGTTATACAAGTAAAATCATATCCAATGGGAGATAATTCACTTGCTCTACTTCACTAACAGTGACACAATAATAGACATCAGCATCGTCAATTTTCAATTCTTTATGTGTATATCTAGTAAAATGTGTCAACAGGGGTAAATAATCCTATTTTTTTTATTTATACACAGATAAAGTCTGACATGTCAACAAGATAATGGTGTTCAGATTTCACCTATGTTTATTATGTTTTACAAATAACGTTACAATATTGGTTGTTTTCTTTCAGTTAAGAAGTATTAACTGTTTGACTAACAACTTCCTGTTGAAAGAACTCCATCTAGAGAACAATCAGCTAACAACAATCTGTGGAAAGTTACGACATCTGACCTGTCTTCAGGTTTTAATGTTACATAACAATCAACTCACTAAACTAGAGAGAGTCGCTAAAGAATTCAACAAAATGCAAACTTTACACACTCTTAGTAAGTGCCCTGTTATTATTTGTTAATCTGTGAATGCTATCCTAATTCTGAACCAGATTTGTAGAATTTTCACACTTAATACATGCAAGGTAAGACCTTACAATAATAAATAGTCAGAAGAAATTTTATGAAATCTATGTAGAACTACATATATGGAAACTGCAAATTAAACAATCACAGAGCTTTGGTATGTACATGATTTAGATAATACATTATGACTTAATTTTCATTTATAAAACTTTTCATAGTACCACAATAAGGTTGCAACTCCCTCATTGAAAGATGATATTGGATGTGCTGTTAAAGCCCATTTGATTTTTTTTCTCACAAACAATGTTTGTATTTTCTTCCCAAACTCTTTGTTTTAACCATATCTGATGAAGATGATATTAGTGACATGTGTCATATATTATAATTAGATTTTTTTTAAATTTTAATTAGGCATTAAACATCAATTATTTTGTCTTTTTACACAAATATGTCTGCATTTCAGTATTAATACACACGAATTACCTCCCTTTGTCATATTGGAAATCTTTCCGTCATTTGAGCAAGAGAACTAACTATTCTTAGATAACCCCACCACATTCTGAAATTTGTCTGTCCCAAGTCAGGAGCTTGTAATTTAGGGTTGTCATTTGTTGCTGTAAATCATAACAGTTTTTTGTTTTTTTTTCTGTTTTTTACATAATTTAGGCTGTTAGTTTTCTTGTTTGAATTGTTTTACATTTCTTGCTTCTGTGTCTTTTATAGCCTACTATGTAGTTTGGGTTTTGTTCATTATTGCGGAGTGTACAGTGACCTATAGTTGTTATACTGGTGGAGAGTTGTCTCATTGACAATCATACCACATTTTCTTATTCTTATAATTATATAAAAGGGAGACAACTGAACATTATTGACATTAAGTAAGAAAATAATTTAAAAAAATATCTGTAGATTATTCATGCACAAGTTGTCTTATTAGGGGCCATTTAAAAGTATCTGAGAGCTTAAAAGGTTATATATACTTTAATATAATGTTGAAAATTTGTTGACATCTTGATATCTTTTGTGTTTATTGTTGTTAGGTTTTTGTCTCTGTGATATATATACAACTTCATCCTTTACATATATGTAAACAGTTCTTTCCATAAGATTTTGCTAGAACATACTGCATTAAAAGTAAATAAATATGTCAGATTTTTCAAGCATGACATTTAGAAGATATTTTAAGCTTTGGCTATGTAAAATGCAGAGTTTCCCGATGCACATTCACTATACCTTACAATATTTGTGAAGGTTGAACTTGGTTTTGTGTTGACCAAGTTAAATATACAATACAGTTATCTCCATTCTGATTTAAAATAATCAAATCATAACTTTTTATCATTTTGATGTAACATTCCTAAAAATTTAAAGTTTTTTAAAGCTTTGTTGTCATCTTAGTACATGTATTATGTAATAGGTACACTTCATGCATCATTTGAGAATAATAGTAGACATTTATTGTCCTATGAACCATTCAGAATAACACAGTATTAGATAAGAACAAAAAGAAAAACGTTAAAAAGATTACTTTATAATTTTTCTGTTTTTATCATTTCAGACCTGTTTGACAATCCAGTATCTCAAGAACCAGGTTACAGACTGTTATTAATTCATACAGTTCCCTCCTTAAAACTCCTAGATAGACAAGGTAAGATAATCTAGGAACCAGGTTACAGACTGTTATTAATTCATACAGTTCTCTCTTTAAAACTTCTGGATAGACAAGGTACCAGATAGCAGATATGTTATTTAATTTATACAGTTTCTTCCATAAAGTGCTGCATAGATACACTTCTGACAAAGTATGAAAATTCAGAAGTAAGGCTACAGACTGCTATTAATTCTCATAGTTCCTTCTCTGTTGTTATTGGAGGGAAAGAAGACGTTATGTAAATGTCAGTAGGACTGAGTAGGTCGAGTCCTTTGAGCTTGCTTTCAGTAGTAATCGTTAATCTATGATATAGTACATGTACTACGTATATGGTATTGCTTTACTTGTGTTTTTGTGGACTCTTTTTGCTTTTTGTGAACTGATTTTTACAGCACATTCTACTCTCTAGTCTCTTTAATTTTATTAAGAGATAAAAAATTTGGATGAGAACTCCAAATAAAGGTTTAATCTCTGTCATTTGTTAATGTGTCTGTCCCAAGTCAGAGTTCTACAAAAAATATTGTGACTTAAATTGATCGTAAGCATACTGAATCGTCAAAGACTTACGATAATTTTTAGTCATGAGATTTTTTGTGAAACGATGGCCAGGAACCTAATCCGTTGTTGTCTGTTTATATCTCAGTGTATTTTGTCCTGAAAAAAGTAAATGGCATACCTTCAGTTCAAATTATTTTTAATTTGTCAAAGCTCAGCCAGATGTTTTAGAGCTTGACTTACATTGTAAAATCTATTCTATTGTTGAACATTGTTAGTTGATATATATGCAGATGTCTGTTTTGCTTACTTGTTGGATAGCTGTTTCATTGATATTTACTTCATATAACTTTTTTCAAATTGATTTTTTGTTTTTCCAAAGTAGATTTATATGTGGTATTTCCTCAGGACTGATTTGGAATTAAAACAATGCTATACATGTAGTTAATTTATAGAAAAGACTACAAGTTTACCCTCTAACTTGATTAATTCAATGAAGGAAAAACTAAGTATGGTGCACATATTTGCAAGTTTTTTCTTTCTTGATGAAATGTTTCCTGAACTTTGAAAATATAATACTTGGTGTCAAAAACAATGATGCATAATTATTGATTTGTTTCTTAAGACCCATAATTATTGATTTTATTTTTTAGAGGTAGGGAAAACAGAAACAGACCAAGCCAGGAGAGTTTACGACCAGGAACAAGAAAAGATAAGGGAGACAATTGCATTTGGTAGAAGATCAGAAGGACCACCAGAGTTATATTATCCTCCAGGTCTGGAAAGATCACGAACCATAGATATAGGTTAGTAAAAGTTGGATTATGTACATGTTATTATCAGCAATTTGTACATTTTCCCTTTGATGTTACTTAATGATATTTTAAGATCATGGACAGGACTTGATACTCGTAAATATTAGGCAATGACGTCATCTATCAGTGCAGCAATGTCACATGCTTAAGTCAATCCGAATCAATTTATCAATTAAATGCAAACTTTAAGTTTGAAAAGGTTAAATGAAAAAAAAACGCTCACTTAAAAAAAGGTACTTCAGAAAAATATTTTATGTCAGGTAAAACATAAAAAAAAAGCATTGATTTTAGTGATATTTTGGAATATTCATTTACCAGAAGATATTTAAAATATATATATATATACAAAAAAAATACATTTGTTTTTGGCAGTTTAATAAAAATTATTCATTTTGTTTTCAGAATCCAAAAATATAGGAAACAGTTACCTGAGAGATAAGTAAGTAAAGTACATCAGAAAATTATACAGATTATAAACCACTGAATAGGTTGAATTGTTTCACATTTTGTCATGTCGAAAACCTTTTTTCCCTTACTATATGGTATTGGTTTTGCTCATTGTTGAAGTCCGAACAGTTACCTATGGTTGCTAACATCCATGTCATTTAGCGAAATTTTAGTCTCTGGTGAAAAGTCTTTTATACATGTATTGACAATCATACCACATTTTCTTATTTTAATATTCATGAAAATTATTTGACTTGATTTATTTATTAGGCACAATTTTATACTGTATATTTCACATAAAACCTACTCTTGATTAATTAATTTTTTTTGTGACTTGACTTGCATTTTCGTAGATATTTGATTTCGTGGTTTTGCCAATCTCTGCATACAAAGCCTATAGAAAATTATAATTCATGGAACATTTGAATTCATGGTTCACCTGTATCCAGGAAATTCATGAAAATTGATATCCAACAAATAATAGTGAATCCACAGTATGTGTTTTGGGTTTTTATGCCCCCGCTGTAGTAGAGGGGACATTTAATTTTACCCTTGTCCGTACGTCCTAAAAATAGTTTCCATTTCTAACTTTAGTGTGTCTTAACCAAATGTTATGAAATTATACACAATGCTAAATACCACAAAACACAGATCAAGTTTTAATTTGGGTGGTGTCATTTTTACCTTTCTAGAGTTATGCCCCTTTACAGATGGAAAAATTGTTGAATTTTTTGTTTCCATTCTCTAAACTTAAGTTTGCCTTAACCAAACGTTATGAATCTTATACACGTGGGTTATTACTACAAAACACAGATCAAAAATGAATTAGGGTTGCATCAATTATACAGTTCTTGAGTTATGTCCCTTTATAATGTTATATGCATGTGGGGCATCATCTGTGTCGCATGGACACATTCACCATTTATTTTTGTTGTTGTTATTTCCAACAAGTAAAGCATATACAAGACATAAATACAATATGATACCTGTAAGATATAAAATATCATAATCATAAATACATTAATAATTGGAAATATTAGACATTTTTTAAATAAGAGATCAAAAGAAAAGTTAAGAAAAAAATAAAATAAAATAAAAACAATTTTTGTTTACCAAATTATGTTGGGATTATTTCTAATTGGATTTGATCAACTTGCTTTCTCACAATTTATTTGTTTATAAATTTGATGTTAAATATTGTCATTTTCTGATGGTATTAACACCAGTATTTTTTTTATACAGAAAATTATTTCATATACAGGTATATTTCCACTAAATTAAATTGTGAATATACCTAATCCTGTGTGTTTACATCAGGAGAAAATAAAAACAACTGAAGCCTGCATTTTTGTCAAATAAACAGACCCCAGACAATTCTGGTTCTTTCAACAACTGGTTGAAACAAATTCAACCATAAACACCATCAAATGACTTAGAAAATGGAAAAGTGGAATGAGTTAAAGGGACAACAACCCAGGAGAAACCAGACCAACTTGGGTGGATAGTTGTCTCATTGGCAATCATACCACATCTCTTCATTCTTATATTTACAAAAAAAATAAATCTACATATACCATATGTACCGGTATTTCTGAGAACAATATTGTTGTTTACTATAAAATGTTCATTTTTAATTCAGTCCTCCTTATGACAGCACAGAAGAAGCTGTAAATGCTAGAAGATTAAAGAAGTCAGTGACTGTTTTTACCACATTTGATTGGTCGAAAATACCACGATATGAAGAAAGACGACAGATGGACAAACCTTTTGATTCTCCAGAAATTATAACACATGTTTATCGTTAATTAATTATTTGTTATTTTAAAAAAAAACTGTGATAAATTAAGAAGTATTAGAATTCATTGGTGATAATAAAATATGTATTAGAATTCATTGGTGATAATAAAATGCGTATTTTAATTCATCAGTGATAAAAAAATAAGTATTAGAATTCATTGGTGATAATAAAAATAAGTATTAGAATTCATTGGTGATAATTGAAGTAGTATTAGAATTCATTGGTGATAACTTAAGATTAGAAATTCATAGAGTATTAAAAAAAAAAGTATTAGAAAAAGATTTCTATTTAGAATCAAACATTTTTTCTCAGCTTCATATCAGTATTTCATGGACATGTTGTATAAGTGCTATTTATTTGTGTAATATATAAGAGGAGCTTGGGTTTAAATTTGGTCTCAGTTACAAAAAAAATTGAATTTTTTATAGGGGTATGGTAAAATATCAAGCATGTTATATTTTATGACTGTTTAATTTCATTTTAAGTTTCATGAGTTGATTGTAAAACCGATCATTTGCAACAGCTTATTAACTGAAAGTTTCAGTACAACATATGTATATTGACCACTGCCCCCATTATTGATGAAATATACTTTTTGGTTATACTATATGACTGGTATCAACTTAACATAACTGTTCAATGTTCAGATATTCAGTTTTTTTTTTATGTCAAATCGTTTTAAATAGTTGTTTCATTATAATATTTTTTTAACGATGATGTAGATCATCACTTATGATATATTTTTTCTAACAACTAAGTATGATTCTACTGTGGGTAATTGTAGTAAGAGGTACAATCTACCAACTGATAATGGTACAGTCTTGCTTTATATTGTTGTTATTTGTATTTGACTATCATTATAATAATTCTAAATGTTGAAATATAAGATTTGTGGTATGTTAATCAGATTTTTTGATTTGATATTAAATTAAGATTGTAGTTATCTCCCTTTACTGACTACAAATTGCTTACAAATCCATAAAAAGAATCCTTACTAACAGAATTTGGTCTTACCAAATATGATTTATTTATATGAAATTAATATCTTATTTTACATTGATATCATTTACTATTATTATTTTGTATAATATAACTAATTTGATTAGTTTAGTACAAGTGGCAGAATAATCAGAAATGATGGTGGCCACCAAACGGCAGAAGCAAGTTACATGTTCAACTGTATTTTCAAAGTAGACTGAAAACGACTGATAGAAAAGTGATATTGCACATTTATTTTTAAAAAATCTAAAAATATAGAATTTAAAAACCTCAATACTTTGAGACACAATCATAACAAGCAATCAAGTGAATTTCTGCTTTATTCCAGGGATATTGACAATAATAATAAAACAATTATAGCCTTTGGATGAGGTTGATACCAGGATATATTGACCTAAACAAATATATCAACCCCAGACTTTGTCTTCAGTCGAAATACTTCTTATAGAGTGATATATCCTTGTATCAACCTCATTCAAAGGCTTTCTTTTATATTATTCCACTGTTTATACATATTTATAGTTTAATCAATATTTGATTGGTTGAGACTATCCCACGTGTCATTGAACAAATCTTCATATTCCCCTCTGAGTACCATATTCCCCTCTGAAATATCGGGACTACATCTGCGACGCTTAATGTACATAACGTTTTGAACTTTTTTTTTTTTAAATAGCGATAGCAAAAATCATTATCGTGTTCAAATTTATTTTAGACATTAAAACAAAAAGGTTAATAATTAACTTTTGATCCGTACTGTTTCTCAATGTGTATGTCATGTTTAGTTATAAAAACAAGTGGATTCGAAAAAAAATGTATGCAAACTAATATTTTATGTTCAGGTAGTAAACAAAGCATATACATGTATATATATAGGCAGTGGAATAAAACATTCATTTCCCTTTGCCTCGGTAGATATGAAGATTTGCTTACCCTCGAAAAATCATATTTCCCTCGGGCACAGCCCTCGTGAAATATGAATATTCTCGGGTGAAAAAATCTTCATATCTCCCTCGGGCATGGGATTTAAATGTATAGTATTCCACCATACAAAATTTGAATTACAATTTTTTTTTCTCACTAAATCAAGTTTCTGCAATCGTCAGTTTCCAGTTTGATGTGTGCAGGACTATTTAATCACTTCGTTTGTAATAATACTTATTTTCCTGTCCAATTGTCCAACACAAAGTATCGTCAGATTTTTAATGATCTCAATTTCTTTACATAATATATATATAATATACAAACAGTCTAGTATTATAATATTTTTAAACTTAAAATATAGTTGAGGAATAAAATATATGTAATTCTTTTTTTTTGTCAAATGTTAGTACTATTGTTCTTAAACAGTCCTGTCCTATTTCTCTTTATTAATATAATAGTTGATATTTGGGAGGGGAAGGTACTTGTCTGTTTCTATGTGAAAACAGGCTTGTTTTTATTTTATTTATAATTGGGGGCAATAAATTATTGTTATTTTACTAGAACATATTTTTTTTATGACAGTGCTCATACAACAATAATTAACTTGATTTTTTGATTGATTTATTTAATGTACCATTTTTTAGGCCTAAAAATAGCAGATTTGTGAGAAGTATCATCACTATATTTTTATATTATTTTATTCCATTGGTGAAAGCCATGTTAATATTGTATTGACATTGGATGCTTGATTTTTATGTTTTTGTTTGTGTTTGCACTAGTTTTGTAAAATGACATTCCATAAATTTATTTTTGTTGACATTTTTTAAGCAATACGTATTGCATTTATTATGAATAATAAAATTTTACAATGTAAAGAATGTGTTTATTCAGACTCTTTGATGATTATAGAGTATGGAGAGGCTTGAAACCCATCCCTTTCAGATAGTAGATATAAGAAGATGTGGTATGAGTGCCAATGAGACAACTCTCCAGATGTTCATATGTTCCTGTCTTAGATAAAATAGAGAATGGAAATGGGGAATATGTTAAGGAGACAACAACCCGACCAAAGAGCAGAAAATAGCCAAAGGCCACCAATGGGTTACCAATGCAGTGAGAAAATCCTGTACCCAGAGGCAGGCTTCAGCTGGCCCCTACACAAAATGTGTACTAGTTCAACTCCAAAACATATAAATGAACTAAAATTAAAAAACATACAAGACTAACAAAGGCTAGAGACTCCTGACTTGGGACAGGCACAAAAACATGTTTTGTGAGATCTCAACCCTCCCCTATACCTCTAGCCAATGTAGAATAAACAAACACACAGCAATACACACAGTAAAACTCAGTTTAAAAGAAGTCAGAGTCCAATATCAGAATCAGAGTAGATGCTTACATTCCTCATTATGAATTATGGATATTTTAGTCGAATTATTTCCCTTGGATCTACATCTCACAAATGGCATTTAAAATTATGAATGAATATGCAGTCAAATTTTCAACAGAAAATATGTTGCTTGTGTTCAGTTGTAGTTTAAAACAGTAGCTTTAATCACCTGCCAAAATTTTTTTTTACCGAGATACCATTTCTTGAACAATTTGAACAGCCATCTGATCTATTTACTAGACCAATGTCATTTATTGCAATTAACAGTAATACTTGAAAATGTAAATTATATTTTGCTAAATTCCAATGATTTAAAGACAGAATAGCAGCTTCATTTTCCTACTTTGACATGAGGAACAGAAAAATTGTATTTTTTAACAGCAGTGGATATTACTTCCTGTTTCAAGGAGCTAACATATTGCCATTTTAGCTTTTCTTTACTTCTGCTCTTGTCTTAATTTTGGTTTGGTATTTGCCTTTTTTAGCTCACCTGACCTGAAAGGTCAAGTGAGCTTTTCTCATCACTTTGCGTCCGTCGTCCTGCGTCCGTCGTCCGTCGTCCGTAAACTTTTACAAAAATCTTCTCCTCTGAAACTACTGGGCCAAATTTAACCAAACTTGGCCACAATCATCATTGGGGTATCTAGTTTAAAAAATGTGTGGCGTGACCCGGTAAACCAACCAAGATGGCCGCCACGGCTAAAAATAGAACATAGGGGTAAAATGCAGTTTTTAGCTTATAACTCAAAAACCAAAGCATTAAGAGCAAATCTGACATGGGGTAAAATTGTTCATCAGGTCAAGATCTATCTGCCCTGAAATTTTCAGATGAATCGGACAACCCGTTATTGGGTTGCTGCCCCTGAATTGGTAATTTTAAGGAAATTTTGCTGTTTTTGGTTATTATCTTGAATATTATTATAGATAGAGATAAACTGTAAACAGCAATAATGTTCAGCAAAGTAAGATTTACAAATAAGTCAATATAACCGAAATGTTCAGTTGACCCCTTTAGGAGTAATTGCCCTTTATAGTCAATTTTTAACCATTTTTCGTAAATCTTAGTAATCTTTTACAAAAATCTTCTTCTCTGAAACAACTGGTACAAACACATCACCAAACTTGGCCACAATCATCATTGGGGTATCTAGTTTAAAAAATGTGTGGCGTGACCCGGCCAACCAACCAAGATGGCCGCCACAGCTAAAAATAAAACATAGGGGTAAAATGCAGTTTTTGGCTTATAACTCAAAAACCAAAGCATTTAGAGCAAATCTGACATGAAGTAAAATTGTTTATCAGGTCAAGATCTATCTGCCCTGAAATTTTCAGATGAATCGAACAACCTGTTGTTGGGTTGCTGCCCCTGAATTGGTAATTTTAAGGAAATTTTGCTGTTTTTGGTTATTATCTTGAATATTATTATAGATAGAGATAAACTGTAAACAGCAATAATGTTCAGCAAAGTAAGATTAACAAATAAGTCAACATGACTGAAATGGTCAGTTGACCCCTTTAGGAGTTATTGCCCTTTATAGTCAATTTTTAACAATTTTTCGTAAATCTTAGTAATCTTTTACAAAAATCTTCTCCTCTGAAACTCCGTGGCCAAATTAAACCAAACTTGGCCACAATCATCATTTGGTTATCTAGTTTTAAAAATGTGTGGCGTGACCTGGTCAACCAACCAAGATGGCCGCCACGGCTAAAAATAGAACATAGGGGTAAAATTCAGTTTTTGGCTTTTAACTCAAAAACCAAAGCATTTAGAGCAAATCTGACATGAAGTAAAATTGTTTATCAGGTCAAGATCTATCTGCCCTGAAATTTTCAGATGAATCTGACAACCCGTTATTGGGTTGCTGCCCCTGAATTGGTAATTTTAAGGAAATTTTGCTGTTTTTGGTTATTATCTTGAATATTATTATAGATAGAGATAAACTGTAAACAGCAATAATGTTCAGCAAAGTAAGATTTACAAATAAGTCAATATAACCGAAATGGTCAGTTGATCCCTTTAGGAGTAATTGCCCTTTATAGTCAATTTTTAACCATTTTTCGTAAATCTTAGTAATCTTTTACAAAAATCTTCTCCTCTGAAACAACTGGGCCAAATTAAACCAAACTTGGCCACAATCATCATTTGGTTATCTAGTTTTGAAAATGTGTGGCGTGACCTGGTCAACCAACCAAGATGGCCGCCACGGCTAAAAATAGAACATAGGGGTAAAATTCAGTTTTTGGCTTTTAACTCAAAAACCAAAGCATTTAAAGCAAATCTGACATGAAGTAAAATTGTTTATCAGGTCAAGATCTATCTGCCCTGAAATTTTCAGATGAATCGGACAACCCGTTATTGGGTTGCTGCCCCTGAATTGGTAATTTTAAGGAAATTTTGCTGTTTTTGGTTATTATCTTGAATATTATTATAGATAGAGATAAACTGTAAACAGCAATAATGTTCAGCAAAGTAAGATTTACAAATAAGTCAATATAACCGAAATGTTCAGATGACCCCTTTAGGAGTAATTGCCCTTTATAGTCAATTTTTAACCATTTTTCGTAAATCTTAGTAATCTTTTACATAAATCTTCTCCTCTGAAACAACTGGTACAAACACATCACCAAACTTGGCCACAATCATCATTGGGGTATCTAGTTTAAAAAATGTGTGGCGTGACCCGGCCAACCAACCAAGATGGCCGCCACAGCTAAAAATAAAACATAGGGGTAAAATGCAGTTTTTGGCTTATAACTCAAAAACCAAAGCATTTAGAGCAAATCTGACATGACGTAAAATTGTTTATCAGGTCAAGATCTATCTGCCCTGAAATTTTCAGATGAATCGAACAACCTGTTGTTGGGTTGCTGCCCCTGAATTGGTAATTTTAAGGAAATTTTGCTGTTTTTGGTTATTATCTTGAATATTATTATAGATAGAGATAAACTGTAAACAGCAATAATGTTCAGCAAAGTAAGATTAACAAATAAGTCAACATGACTGAAATGGTCAGTTGACCCCTTTAGGAGTTATTGCCCTTTATAGTCAATTTTTAACAATTTTTCGTAAATCTTAGTAATCTTTTACAAAAATCTTCTCCTCTGAAACTCCGTGGCCAAATTAAACCAAACTTGGCCACAATCATCATTTGGTTATCTAGTTTTAAAAATGTGTGGCGTGACCTGGTCAACCAACCAAGATGGCCGCCACGGCTAAAAATAGAACATAGGGGTAAAATTCAGTTTTTGGCTTTTAACTCAAAAACCAAAGCATTTAGAGCAAATCTGACATGAAGTAAAATTGTTTATCAGGTCAAGATCTATCTGCCCTGAAATTTTCAGATGAATCTGACAACCCGTTATTGGGTTGCTGCCCCTGAATTGGTAATTTTAAGGAAATTTTGCTGTTTTTGGTTATTATCTTGAATATTATTATAGATAGAGATAAACTGTAAACAGCAATAATGTTCAGCAAAGTAAGATTTACAAATAAGTCAATATAACCGAAATGGTCAGTTGACCCCTTTAGGAGTAATTGCCCTTTATAGTCAATTTTTAACCATTTTTCGTAAATCTTAGTAATCTTTTACAAAAATCTTCTCCTCTGAAACAACTGGGCCAAATTAAACCAAACTTGGCCACAATCATCATTTGGTTATCTAGTTTTGAAAATGTGTGGCGTGACCTGGTCAACCAACCAAGATGGCCGCCACGGCTAAAAATAGAACATAGGGGTAAAATTCAGTTTTTGGCTTTTAACTCAAAAACCAAAGCATTTAAAGCAAATCTGACATGAAGTAAAATTGTTTATCAGGTCAAGATCTATCTGCCCTGAAATTTTCAGATGAATCGGACAACCCGTTATTGGGTTGCTGCCCCTGAATTGGTAATTTTAAGGAAATTTTGCTGTTTTTGGTTATTATCTTGAATATTATTATAGATAGAGATAAACTGTAAACAGCAATAATGTTCAGCAAAGTAAGATTTACAAATAAGTCAATATAACCGAAATGTTCAGTTGACCCCTTTAGGAGTAATTGCCCTTTATAGTCAATTTTTAACCATTTTTCGTAAATCTTAGTAATCTTTTACAAAAATCTTCTCCTCTGAAACAACTGGTACAAACACATCACCAAACTTGGCCACAATCATCATTGGGGTATCTAGTTTAAAAAATGTGTGGCGTGACCCGGCCAACCAACCAAGATGGCCGCCACAGCTAAAAATAAAACATAGGGGTAAAATGCAGTTTTTGGCTTATAACTCAAAAACCAAAGCATTTAGAGCAAATCTGACATGAAGTAAAATTGTTTATCAGGTCAAGATCTATCTGCCCTGAAATTTTCAGATGAATCGAACAACCTGTTGTTGGGTTGCTGCCCCTGAATTGGTAATTTTAAGGAAATTTTGCTGTTTTTGGTTATTATCTTGAATATTATTATAGATAGAGATAAACTGTAAACAGCAATAATGTTCAGCAAAGTAAGATTAACAAATAAGTCAACATGACTGAAATGGTCAGTTGACCCCTTTAGGAGTTATTGCCCTTTATAGTCAATTTTTAACAATTTTTCGTAAATCTTAGTAATCTTTTACAAAAATCTTCTCCTCTGAAACTCCGTGGCCAAATTAAACCAAACTTGGCCACAATCATCATTTGGTTATCTAGTTTTAAAAATGTGTGGCGTGACCTGGTCAACCAACCAAGATGGCCGCCACGGCTAAAAATAGAACATAGGGGTAAAATTCAGTTTTTGGCTTTTAACTCAAAAACCAAAGCATTTAGAGCAAATCTGACATGAAGTAAAATTGTTTATCAGGTCAAGATCTATCTGCCCTGAAATTTTCAGATGAATCTGACAACCCGTTATTGGGTTGCTGCCCCTGAATTGGTAATTTTAAGGAAATTTTGCTGTTTTTGGTTATTATCTTGAATATTATTATAGATAGAGATAAACTGTAAACAGCAATAATGTTCAGCAAAGTAAGATTTACAAATAAGTCAATATAACCGAAATGGTCAGTTGACCCCTTTAGGAGTAATTGCCCTTTATAGTCAATTTTTAACCATTTTTCGTAAATCTTAGTAATCTTTTACAAAAATCTTCTCCTCTGAAACAACTGGGCCAAATTAAACCAAACTTGGCCACAATCATCATTTGGTTATCTAGTTTTGAAAATGTGTGGCGTGACCTGGTCAACCAACCAAGATGGCCGCCACGGCTAAAAATAGAACATAGGGGTAAAATTCAGTTTTTGGCTTTTAACTCAAAAACCAAAGCATTTAAAGCAAATCTGACATGAAGTAAAATTGTTTATCAGGTCAAGATCTATCTGCCCTGAAATTTTCAGATGAATCGGACAACCCGTTGTTGGGTTGCTGCCCCTGAATTGGTAATTTTAAGGTGATTTTGCTGTTTTTGGTTATTATCTTGAATATTATTATAGATAGAGATAAACTGTAAAAAACAATAAATGTCGGCAAAGTAAGATCTACAAATAAGTCAACATGACCGAAATTGTCAGTTGACCCCTTTAGGAGTTATTGCCCTTTATAGTTAATTTTTAACCATTTTTTCGTAAATCTTAGTAATCTTTTACAAAAATCTTCTCCTCTGAAACTACTAGGCCAAGTTAATTATAGATAGAGATAATTGTAAGCAGGAAAAATGTTCAGTAAATTAAGATGTACAAACACATCACCATCACCAAAACACAATTTTGTCATGAATCCATCTGCGTCCTTTGTTTAATATTCACATAGACCAAGGTGAGCGACACAGACTCTTTAGAGCCTCTAGTTTGTTTTAATAGGTCTTATAAATCTAGTAGTGTCTAGTTTCCAATAATTGGTGGTTATTTGGATTTCTACTCATGGCACAAATGCTGTCATTATTCCAGTTTACAAAAAGAGCCGCGCAGAGGATACCAAAATGGGATATTCAAACTCATAAGTTGAAGACAACTAAACTGACAATACCATGGCAAAAACAACCAAAAAACTAGAAGACCATCAACAGTATACAAAAATAACATAGAAAACTAAAGAATGAGCAACATGAACCCCACAAAAAACTTGATTACAAAGTGACCCATTCAAAAGGGAAGTGATTATCTCCTAAGATATCAATCACCATTAAAACTTAGGAGCACCTCATCCTTACCCTACATTCAGTGTTTAGATAAACAATATACAATTATGGCCCGTAGAAAAGGTGAATATCCAAAATTGTCAACACGAGAAGGTTATTTCACTGAGGGCGCAGCCCGAAGTGAAATAATTTTTTAGGGTTGACAATTTTGGATATTCATCACTTCTAAGGGGCCAAAATTGTTTTATAATACCAAAATAATAGTGGAAGGGCCTTTTGAACCAATGAAAAACCACTACCCTACTGTATATAATAGTATAAAGAATTTAAGTAACAAACACGAGTTATCTGTGGCACTAGATGTCCAAAGCCTTATTTCCTTGTCACTCGATGGGCTTCCTGTAATGTGAGTGTTGCCATTTTGTTTACCTACGTCTGTTACGTCATTTTCATGGGAGATAACTTGGGTACAAATCAAGAAACTCAAAAGGTTATTCACCGGTGAATAATAGGGTCATTTACCGCTGGTGTAAAATTTTAAGGTTATTCGTCCTTCCACACAATTAAATGAAAATTAACTAAATTACTCCATGTCATGTGATAATGTACTACGCAATAGAATTGTTTATATATGTAAGGTATAATAATTATTCATCAATGGAGATATTCTTTAAAATTTTATGTTCTTTGTGAATGATAGAAGCAACAAAAAAAGGGAATGATGTTTTTCTAAATTACTGCAAAGAAATTACCTTTTAACCTATGTTTTAAAGATTTGTATATGTTCTGTCCATAAAACAACAATGTGTAACCAATAGTAAACCAACATGCAGACATCTTATATGTTCAGGTATTTCACATCCAATCTTTTATGGTAATATTCTTTACAAAGCACAAAAATGTCGGCATTCACCTCAAAAGCTAACCAAACCTTTAAACAGACTTATTAAAGAAGGGATATAGTTAAGTTAGTGTTGTCAGGTCATTAAAGATGGCATATTTTGGCTTTAATATTGATTCACTTATAGGGTCTATGTATCGGAAATAAACACATTTATTCTAAAACCAGTTGTTGGCATGATACGGGTTATGTTCTTCTCATATATTTTATGATGGTATGCTACTAAACCCCTAACGGGAGGGATTGTACTTGATATTCACATCATGAAGACATAATCTTTCAATCAGTTTAATTGAGATATGGATCTGGCATGTTAGTAACTGCTAGTAGTCCTTCGTTAATTTATGTATCATTGTCATTTTTCTAAGTTTCTTTTGTTACCTATTCTGACATTGGACTCGGACTTCTTTTAAACTGAGTTTTATTGTGCGTATTGCTGTGTGTTTGTTTTTCTTCATTGGCTAGAGGTATAGGGGGAGGATTGAGATCTCACAAAACATGCATTTTTACACCTGTCCCAAGTCAGGAGCCTCTGGCCTTTGTTAGTCTTGTATGATTTTTAATTTTAGTTGATTCATATATTTCGGAGTTTAGTATGAAGTCCTTTATCAATGAACTAGTACACATTTTTGTTTAAGGTCCAGCTGAAGCATGCCCCCGGGTGCAGGATTTTCTCGCTGTGTTGAAGACCCATTGGTGGCCTTTGGCTGTTTTCTGCTCTTTGGTCGGGTTGTTGTCTCTTCGACACATTTCCCATTTCCGTTCTCAATTTTATTGTGTAACCAATAGTCAAATTACATTGTGTAACCAATAGTCAAATTACATTGTGTAACCAATAGTCAAATTACATTGTGTAACCAATAGTCAAATTACATTGTGTAACCAATAGTCAAATTACATTGTGTAACCAATAGTTAAATGACATGAAGTGATGGGCATGATTACTGGGGCTCTTTCCATTATGCAAATTCAATTAGTTCGTACCAAAAATTGTGTATCCATAATCTGTTGGGTCAGGAATGAAAAGGGAACAGTACAGTGTACCAATTTCATTGGTTGGAACCAGAGAATTGAAACACCGGAACTTGAAAGTTTTATACAGCCTTAGTTAGGATTTTATGAGCAGTCTATTTGATACAATGATTCATTGGTGGTTGTTTAATGTCCAGTGGCAAATATTAAATACACTTCCTGCACTTGAGGTGGGATGGAAACCCCAAAGGCAGTTTTAAATGTGAATATCCCGGACAACCATACAAAATATAAGTCAAGCTTAATCTATCACTTTATTTCAAAATTGTGTAAAGTTAATAAATAACATATAAAAAGACAACAGTATAACTAATAAAAAACTATATTTATCACATTTAATTAAATTCACAACCTTTTAATCACTAAAATATGTAAAAATAAATTGGTATAAAAGACAATGTTTCATATTACTGATTGATTCAGTTCAAATAAGATAGACAAACTATATAAGACATTCATCAAATAAAACATGACATCATAATTCTAGGTCACAATAAAAACATTAATTTCATTGTTTGCAATGAAAAACCGTGATTTCCCAGTGAAATAAAAACAAATAATTTCACATGTCAAATAAACTCAAGCTAGTATGAATCATGTGTATAGCAAATTAATTAAAAGCTGTATAATCTTGTAATAGTATGAATCAAGTGTACAAGAAGCTAGTATGAATCAAGTGTACAAGAAGCTAGTATGAATCAAGTGTACAACAAGCTAGTATGAATCAAATGTACACTCAGCTAGTATGAATCAAGAGTACAAGCTAGTATGAATCAAGAGTACAACAAGCTAGTATGAATCAAGTGTACAACAAGCTAGTATGAATCAAGTGTACAGCAAACTAATATAAATCAAGTGTACAGCAAACTAGTATGAATCAAGTGTACAGCAAACTAGTATGAATCAAGTGTACACTAAGCTAGTATGAAACAAGTGAACACTAAGCAAGTATGAATCAAGTGTACAAAAAGCTAGTATGAATCAAGTATACACTAAGCTAGTATGAATCAAGTGTACACTAAGCTAGTATGAATCAAGTGTACTACAAGCTAGTATGAATTAAGTGTACACTTAAGCTAGTATGAATCAAGTGTACACTAAGCTAATATGAATCAAGTGTACAACAAACTAGTATGAATCAAGTGTACACTAAGCTAGTGTGAATCAAGTGCACACTAAGCTAGTATGAATCAAGTGTATAAAAAGCTAGTATGAATCAAGTGTACACTTAAGCTAGTATGAATCAAGTGCACACTAAGCTAGTATGAATCAAGTGTACAACAAGCTAGTATGAATCAAGTGTACACTAAGCTAGTATGAATCAAGTGTACAACAAGCTAGTATGAATCGAGTACAACAAGCTAGTATGAATCAAGTGTACAACAAGCTAGTATGAATCAAGTGTACAACAATCTAGTTTGAATCAAGTGTATAGCTAGTCCAAATGATTATGATGTCTTGAAAGGCTAATATATTTTTTTGCTTTGATGACTTACTTTGACGACAAATCATAATTATTTGGACCAGTGTACAGCAGGCTAATCAATAGCTGTATAATATTGTAGTAGTATGAATCAAGTGTACACAAAATTAGTATGAATCAATGTGTATATCAAGCTAGTATGAATTATATGATAGTCACAATGATAATTTATACAAATACAAAATGGCAATAACATGGATGCCAATTGGATAAAACAATTCACTTCAACTAGAAATAAATGATAGAGTTTGGTAATGTACTCTTCTACTGGTAAAACCTAGAGAAACCTGCTGGTCATTTGTAATCTCTACCATCCAGGTGTTTATACATGTACTTACATGAGGATAAGTGGATGAAGCACCAATATAGTTGTTTCAAAATATATAAAATTGGAAACAGTTGCTAACAAGCATAATAAACGGTTAAAACCTGAACAAATAAACTTTTGATTTTAACAAGTGAAATTTGTAACAAACTATTGAAGATTTCCATAGCGTTGGCATCTGCATGTATGCACAAAATATATGCACAATGTAACATGGAAGTAAGAAACAGTGAAAAGAAGTTTCATTCTAACATGAAGTAAACTGTAAGATCAGAAACTTTTGTAATAAAGATATACAAAACAATATGACAACAAAAAATGGCACTATGTGACAAGTATTAAAATTATAAAGTTCATAAACTCATGAAACTTGGTGTTTTGATCAAATATGTAAAGGAGTAGGTTCGATAAGGCCCTAAAATGGCCCTGTTTTTCAGCTTAAATTTCAAATTAGGATTTATTGACCAATATCACAATCAATCATAGCTAATACAGTGACTAGATAGAAAATAAGCCTTTTGATAAAAATTCACGTACCTGCGTTTTATTCATAACGTCACAAATAGTACTCATTTTGATTTTCAACGAAAAAAATCAAAGAAAATGAACAAATTTCCATTGATTATTGGACAGGAAACATACGTCGACAAAAAAGATCTCTTGAAATTATGTTTTTAAAGAAATTTTACATGTCTAACTTGAATATTTAGTTTGTCGACGCCAGTGCGCTCTATGTTACCTGTACCTAAATTTGGTTGAAAACCATCCGATTTTGTCAAATTTCACAATCTTGTATATTGACCTGTTTGGGATGTAAAAATCAATGCTTTAGAATAAAACTTTGACATAACAAGTTCTATTTATCTTTCTCACATGTCTTTAAGTCAACTTAAAACATTTTTCATCTTGTAACATTGAACTTTATAATCGGGGCCAAATATCGAACTTACTCCTTTGTCTTTGGATACAATTCCTGTTAAAAACAATAGAAGAGAGGAAGAAACCAAAGTTTGATCTAAAATCAAAAGTCTAATGAAAACAGACAACAAATATTAATGATAATAATAATATTCTTAATCTGAAGTGGGTAACCTAAATAATTTTTACTAATTTTGCGTATAAAGTAAGTACAACGGTTAACATGTAGTACACAAAAATAAACAATAAAAACAAACAAGCAGTATATATACATAATATTAATATCATTCATAGTGTTCAAGTTAATAAACAATCTATTTCTGCATGGCTTGACAGAGATATTTGAAGCATTTATCATTGGTAAGCTATTCCATAGAATTGCAGAATTGTATTCAAAAGATTTTATTCAGTATGTTTTCGTGTTTAGCCAAACATCTTCCAAATTGTTTTTTGAGATGGATTTTAAATTTCTTTTATAAATTTCAGAGCTTAAATTCTGAAAAAAATTTGTATGTATCTTCTGTACTTCCAACAATCATAGTGTTAGAAAAACAGCTTTGACAAGTGTTTTTGTCACAACATTTAAAAAAATGGTCTAGGTCCCATAACTTCCATCAAATGTTTGGATAAAAATGACAGTATAATGTGGTCAACTACACATGACGGCAAACAATCCTATTGAGTGTTAAAGCTGACTAAATTGTAAAACAGTCTCAGAGGATTTGCAGTCACAAGGTGTTCATGTCACGATACTAAACTAGAGACTCTAAGGAGCCTGTGCGGCTCTCAGAGGATTTGCAGTCACAAGGTGTTAATGTCACAATTCTTAACTAGAGGCTCTTAGGAGCCTGTGTCGCTAACCTCTGTCTATGTGCATCTTCAACAGTGGCAGAGGCGAATTTAGAGGGGGGCTAGGGGACCCGGTTGCCCCCTTTTGAGGGAAAAATTTGGTTGATTATATAGGGAATTACTGAAGCATGACTTAGGCAGTCAGTGGGCCCCCTCTTATGAAAATTTCTGGATCCGTCACTGCATGGACACTGTCAAATATTGTTGACTTGAGTATAATTCATGGTACAAAACTTATTTTTGTTAATCATGTATTGCTGAACATTTTTTCTGTGTACTGTTTCTTTCTTTTTTAGTTTTTTAGCACATAACAAATTTGATTAATTGTAAATCTTGTCTTGTTGATCACTTTGGTTTGCAAAGTGTCTATGCATCTTCTATAAATTTCAAGATAATAGGCAATAAAATGCTTCGCTGGGCGCAGCTTGATACGACCGCAGAGGTCGAACCCTGAACAGTTGGGGCAAGTATGGACACAACATTTAAGCTTGATACAGCTCTGAATTTGGATTGTGATTAAATATTTGACACAGCATAGGTTTCTGACACAGAAAGAATGTGGTCTAAGAACTTCAATTTTTTTAATTTACCTATTATGGTCCAATGTCCAAAATCAAAATACATGGTTAGATTCAGCATATCAAAGAACCCCATATATTCAATTTTTGTTGAAATCAAACAAAGTTTAATTTTGGACCCCAACTTGGACAAACTTGAAAACTGGTCCCATAATCAAAAATCTAAACACATGTTTAGATTCAGCATATCAAAGTACCCCAAGAATTCAATTTTTGTTAAAATCAAACTAAGTTTAATTTTGGACCCTTTGGACCTTAATGTAGACCAATTTAAAATACGGGACCCAAAATTAAAAATCTAAAAACACGGTTAGATTTGGCATATCAAAGAACCCCAATAATTCAATTTTTGATGAAATCAAACAAAGTTTAATTTTGGACCCTTTTGACCTCAATATGAACCAATTTGATAGCGGGCCCACAAAATAAAAAATCTAAATACATGGTAAGATTCAGCATATCAAAGAACCCCATATATTCAATTTTTGTTGAAATCAAACAAAGTTTAATTTTGGACCCCAATTTGGACCAACTTGAAAACTGGGCCAAAAATCTAAAATCTAAATACATGTTTAGATTCAGCATATCAAAGAACCCCATATATTCAATTTTTGTTGAAATCAAACAAAGTTTAATTTTGGACCCCAACTTGGACCAACTTGAAAACTGGTCCCATAATCAAAAATCTAAACACATGTTTAGATTCAGCATATCAAAGAACCCCAAAAATTCAATTTTTGTTAAAATCAAACAAAGTTTAATTTTGGACCCTTTGAACCTTAATGTAGACCAATTTAAAAAACGGGACCCAAAATTAAAAATCTAAATACACGGTTAGATTTGGCATATCAAAGAACCCCAATAATTCAATTTTTGATGAAATCAAACAAAGTTTAATTTTGGACCCTTTTGACCTCAATATGAACCAATTTGATAGCGGGCCCACAAATAAAAAATCTAAATACATGGTAAGATTCAGCATATCAAAGAACCCCATATATTCAATTTTTGTTGAAATCAAACAAAGTTTAATTTTGGACCCCAATTTGGACCAACTTGAAAACTGGGCCAAAAATCTAAAATCTAAATACATGTTTAGATTCAGCATATCAAAGAACCCCATATATTCAATTTTTGTTGAAATCAAACAAAGTTTAATTTGACCCCAACTTGGACAAACTTGAAAACTGGTCCCATAATCAAAAATCTAAACACATGTTTAGATTCAGCATATCAAAGAAACCCAAGAATTCAATTTTTGTTAAAATCAAACTAAGTTTAATTTTGGACCCTTTGGACCTTAATGTAGACCAATTTAAAAACGGGACCCGAAATTAAAAATCTAAATACACGGTTAGATTTGGCATATCAAAGAACCCCAATAATTCAATTTTTGATGAAATCAAACAAGGTTAATTTTGGACCCTTTTGACCTCAATATGAACCAATTTGATAGCGGGTCCACAAATAAAAAATCTAAATACATGGTTAGATTCAGCATATCAAAGAACCCCAAGAATTCAATTTTTGATGAAATCAAACAAAGTTTAATTTTGGACCCTTTTGACCTCAATGTGGACAAAGTTGATAACGGGGCCCAAAAATCAAAAATCTAAATACATGGTTAGATTCAGCATATCAAAGAACCCCATATATTCAATTTTTGTTGAAATCAAACAAAGTTTAATTTTGGACCCCGATTTGGACCAACTTGAAAACTGGGCCCATAATCAAAAATCTAAATACATGTTTAGATTCAGCATATCAAAGAACCCTAAAAATTCAATTTTTGTTAAAATCAAACTAAGTTTAATTTTGGACCCTTTTGACCTTAATGTAGACCAATTTGAAAACGAAACTAAAAATTAAGAATCTAAATACACGGTTAGATTCGGCATATCAAAGAACCCCAATAATTCAATTTTTGATGAAATCAAACAAAGTTAAATTTTGGACCCTTTGGACCTCAATGTGGACCAATTTAAAAACGGGGCCCAAAATCCAAAAACTTAATACACAGTTAGATTCAGCATATTAAAGAACCCCAAGAATTCAAGAATAAAACCCCATTGAAATTGATCAAGAAATAAGCAATTTATACGAAGTATCTTCTTTTGCACAATACTGTGCAATTGAATATTTCTTGCTATTGTGCAATACTGTACAATTGACAATTTCTTGCTATTGCGCAATATTGTGCTATTGGATATTTCTTGCTATTGCGCAATACTGTGCAATTGAAGATTTCTTGCTATTGCGCAATACTGTGCAAATGAAGATTTCTTGCAATTGTGCAATACTGTGCAATTGAAAATTTCTTGCTATTGCACAATACTTATTATATAATAATTTACACATCCTGTTTGGTGTGTATCTCCTACCATATCATTATTATTTGCTTTTAAATATTAATCAGAAATAACCAACTTAAAATGGAAAATTTTAAAAGAAAAAAAAAAGGAAAAAAAGAAAAAAAAAGAAACCCCCCCCCCCCCCAAATTTTTTGAACCCCCTTATGATTCATCACCCCCAAACTCAATCCCAGCCTTCCCTTTGTGGTATGGTACCTTGCAGTACAATTTCAGAGAGATCCATACACTTGAACACAAGTTATTGTCTGGAAACTAGAAAAATGCTTATTTTTGGCCCCTTTTTGGCCCCCTATTCCTACACGTTTCGGGCAATTACCCACAAACTCAATTCCAGCTTTCCCTTTGTGATATGGAACCTTGTAGTACAATTTCAGAAATATCCAAACACTTACACACAAGTTATTGTCATGAAACTAGAAAAATGCTTGTTTTTTGCCCCTTTTTTGGCCCCTAATTCCTAAAATTTTGAGGCAATTACCCCCAAAATCAATTACAGCCTCCCTTTGTGATATGGAACCTTGTGGTACAATGTCAGAGAGATCCATACACTTACACACAAGTTATTGTCTGGAAGTTACAAAAATGCTTATTTTTGGCCCCTTTTTGGCCCCTAATTCCTTAACTGTTGGTACCATAACCCCCAAAATCAATCCCAACCTTCCTTTCGTGGTATTGAACCTTATGGTAAAATTTCATGGAGATCCATTCACTTAAACTAAAGTTAGAGTGCGAAAACCAATGTGTCTTCGGACGACGCCGGACGACGACGACGACGACGCCAACGTCATACCAATATACGACCAAAAAATTTTCAATTTTTGCGGTCGTATAAAAATGAAAAAAAAGTCATTACAGAATAAGAACTCCCAGTAGTGTTTGCCCTTATATTTTACAGTTTTTCTGCTTGTATGAGAGAGAGCTGTCTACATATTCCCTTAGTCTCTTGTGAAGAGTTGTCTCATTGGCAATCATACAGCATCTTCTTATTTTGATATTTACCGCAGGGTTTGTTGCTCGTGCTGTGTGGATGCTGTGGAATGTGCCCCATTGCCTGTAGTGTATGCCTATCTATATCTGATTTTTATCAAGTTAATTGTTTTGCTTATTTAAGTTTCTATCAATGAATCATATTTTTTTAGATATTAGCAAAAAACTAAAAAATGCCATTGCTAATACAACTGCATACTAAATACCATTGAATTATAAGTGGTTCCCCTTAAACTGACCTAATCACAAGCCTGAGTAAATTATTGATGCTGTTGCTGATGCCTAAACCATTGAAAATAGCATACCTAAGTCTGGCTATATGACTCTGTCAAGGTGAGGCAAAACTTGTGGGAATTCACTTGGATATCCCTACACAGCTTGTACAATTTCTTTTCCTTACACAAGGATAAGATATTGATAAGTTACTTTCATAATTCTTATTAACTGATTTTAAAAATTTGATATCATACTTTCTCTAATTTTTGTGCTATTTTCACATTTCTTGATCGGTGTGAGAAAAATATTTCTCCTCACTAGTGAAATATCTGTTCTTGGGAAATGATTGGTCGAAATTTGATTATGACGTCAAATTTTCTTGGTTTCTTCTGAATTTTCCTATTGTGACGTCATGAAAAAAGGCGACCATGCCTGATGACGTCACATATAAAGAACACAACTTTCGGTAAATCTTTGAAAAGGAATGATAAAAATCATTAGAGAAACAGATTCCACTACTATAACTTGTGTATTACTATATTTCTCCACTCTCAACAATTAAATTTTAATTCTTTAAAAAGCTCAACAAGCCTCGCGCTTTAAATATTAAAATTTAACTGTCTCAAGTGGAGAAATATCGTAACACACTTGTTGCAGTGGTGGAATCTATATTTTTCCTTTTAATTCATAAGTAGTAATATTTCATAAATTTTGATTTACAAGGGAACTATATGCAAGTGTAAATTTAAAATTTAGTAGCTGTTAGACCTTTTTTTTTTAATTTAAGGGTAAACTACATAACACTGTCAAAAGTTGGCAGCAGATGATAAAATGGTGTTTTATCTTCCTGTAAGTCATAAAACACATCATTAGTTCATGATACATCTTCAATTTAAAATTCTGCCCTATCTTAAAATCCAGAGTGAATAAAAATTATGCGATCTCCACTTATTGGAATGTAAAAACCATCAATTGATAATGATCATTAATGAGAATCAAAGCTACAGGATTATACATGATTTAGGATTTCTTCTGTCAAAACAAGAAGTATTTCTATTTCCCTTTTTTCTATGCTTTTTATCTTCCTTCTGAATGGACCTCAATTCCTCATTTTCTCCCCTTTGTCTATCTTCCTCTATGGATAAATTTTGCTGTCCAGAAATAATAACAGGTTGAATCAGTGCTACGCTCTGTATTCTATTCTTTTTATCTTCCTCTTGTCTGCGCTTCCCTTCCTCATGTTCCATCCTATTTCTAACTTCCTCTTTGGATAAAACTTGCCGACCAGAAATAATTACAGGTTCTGGCCTTGTGTGACTAACCTGAAACAGCGGTATAATGACATCTAGTCCTATTCTATGTGTTAATAGATAATTCAGTTTCTGTAGTTTTTCATTGGCTGCTTTCTGTTCCTCCCATGTTGAACATTCATGCCGGAGGTAGTATTGGAAATCCATGAAGAAAGGAATTTGATCAAATGCTGTACCTTCTTTCATTAGGGGAGATAACTGTTGTCTAATAAACATCTCAAACTCGGGAAATGAAATCATCTGTAAACAAAAGTATTACAGTTTTAGCCTTACAAAGAAAAAAATAATAAAGAGTTTAATCAACATGCTATACTGACCAAGGTTGTAGTCTGAGGCCAATGTAGGTATATCTATGATTAAACATGCAATGATGGAAATTGAGAGGCTTCTACTGATAAATTGTTCCGTCTACCAAATTTAATATATAATTTTTGCCTTTTTATTTTCTTAAATTGAATCATACAGATAACAGTTATTTTACAAATTTCTTCCCTACAATGAACAGAAGGGGGACTATCTTATCACCAGCAAGTTTCACAATCCTATATTATATCTCTAATGTGGTTTGTCTCGGAAAAAATTTCTGCTTACCCTTCCTGAGCACCTGAGATCACCCCCAGTTTTTGGTGGGGTTCGTGTTGCTCAGTCTTTAGTTTTCTATGTTGTGTTTTGTGTACTATTATTTGTCTGTTTGTCTTTTTCTTTTTTAGCCATGGCATTGTCAGTTTATTTTTGCCTCTCTCTTGCAACTGATATTATGCTGATATTATCGAGTGCAAAATAACATTCCTTATTGCTTTTTATATATTAATTTTATCAATAAATATTCATGAAAATATTTTTTAAGAACATAGATAATTGATATGAAAATGTTTTGTCATGAGAAATATATATATCAGTTGCAAATCATGAATACTGAAAATGTGTGTTAACGCATGCAGAAGAATATGTGGAGGATGTTTTGCAACAACAGCGGGAGAAATATGAATGCCTACTCAAATCCAACCTATAAGAAAAACGAATTATTACAGAAGAGTGTCCACCATGTACTTGCACTGCACTATCATTAGAATAGTAGAATACAATGATATATATAAATAGATGGAAATTTGCCCGTAGAGTTATTAAGATGATCTGCTATATATATAACTGTTATACAAGTATTAATTAATATATAACAACAAACCAGACTATACTGATAACAAATGATTATATCACTACAATATGATAAGTATTACGGTGAGGCTGAATTCCCTGTCATTTATTCCTCATCCACACAGGAACTTGTCTCAGAAAAAAAATATATCTACATTGTATGTACCTTCACCTAACTTTCAGGTATAGAGATGTGATTTTTTTCTGAGACAAGTGCCTGTGACCATCCACCAGAACTTGCAGTCATCCGATGTTCAGTACTTCATTACTCTAAATTGTTTTCTTTACGCCACAAAACAATTGGAAAACAGTTATTTTTCCCCCAAAATTGCACTGATTGTAATCAGATTTTTCTTCCTTCTTGTTACTCTTACTTGACTAGATACAAGAATGTCTAACCACAGGTAACCTGTTGAATAAACTGTTAACACAGAGATATGTCTCACCTTTTTGTTATTTTGATAATGCAAATGTTGAAATTAAAATAGCAATACTTAAACATGAAAGTTATGCAAATATTCAAAGTCAATGAACCATGACTGAAGGTACAGAGCTAAACAATCTCCATGGAAATCAAATGTGCCAATGCTAATAGAACTGCATACCAAATACCATTGACTTTTCATAAGTCGTTCCCTTTAAACAAACTTAAACACAAACATTAACTTGTAAACTATGAAAAAGTTTCAAAGTCAATGAACCATAATGAGAAAGTGGGTTTATATAATCTCCATGGAAATCAAACTTGCAAATGCCAATATATTTGCATACCAAAAATCAATGACTTAACATTAATTGTTCATCTAAAACTGACCTTATCACAAACTAATACATGTAAACAAAGCAAAAGTTTGATAATCAATTGACCGTGACTGAGGGGGTAAGAACCAAATATTCTCCATGGAAATGAGATATGCCAATGCTTATACAACTGCATATCAAATATCATTGACCTACCACTAGTGGTTCACAATAAACTGACCTTATCACAAACTAATACATGTAAACTAAGCAAAGTTTCAAAGTCAATAGACCATGGAAATGAGATATGCCAATGCTTATACAACTGCATATCAAATATCATTGACCTTCCACTAGTGGTTCCCAATAAACTGACCTTATCAAAATATCATTGACCTACCACTAGTGGTTCCCAATAAACTGACCTTATCACAAACTAATACATGTAAACTAAGCAAAGTTTCAAAGTCAATAGACCATGGAAATGAGATATGCCAATGCTTATACAACTGCATATCAAATATCATTGACCTTCCACTAGTGGTTCCCAATAAACTGACCTTATCACAAACTAATACATGTAAACTAAGCAAAGTTTCAAAGTCAATAGACAATGACTGTGGAGGCGGGGCCAAATAATCTCCATGGTAATGAGATGTGCCAAATGCTAATATAACTGCATACCAAATATCGTTGACCTGCCACTAGTGGTTCACCACAAACTAGACCTAATCACAACATAAAACAATGTGACGCTGCTGCAGTCTCCGGAAACAGCACACCTATGTCTCACGTTTTGACTCCCTCATAGCGAGACATATTCTCCGGAGTCAAAAGTCGATACTAGTAATATGAAAGGAGAAGGTACATTTTTGGCCCCTTGAATTTGAAAATTAAAAGTATTATATACTAGCTGATCTATTATAAGCCTCTTATATAAAAAAGAAGATGTGTTATGATTGCCAATGAGACACCTCTTCACAAGAGACCAAATGATACAGAAATTAACAACTATAGGTCACTGTACGGCCTTCAACAATGAGCAAAGCCCATACCGCATAGTAAGTTATAAAAGGCCCAGAAAAGACAAATGTAAAACAATTCAAACGAGAAAACTAACAGCCTAATTAATGTAAAAAAAAATGAACGATAAACAAATATGTAACACGTACAGCAACAAACGATAACCACTGAATTACAGGCTCCTGACTAGGGACAGGCACATACATACAGAATGTGGCGAGTTTAAATATGTTAGCAGGATCCCAACCCTCCCCCTAACCTGGGACAGTGGTGTAACAGTACAACATAAGAACGAACTATAAAAATCAGTTGAAAAAGGCTTAACTCATTAGATGGATACAAATAGAAATACATCTAACAAAAACACAGAGTAGACATGGCCAGGTACTTGTACATCCCAACAATAAAAAGACACTATGTAAAGATCTAGATCTGAGAGTACTCTTACTCTGGTTTAGGCATACATTGTGTCTTATAAATTTTGAGAGATACTATAGTTTACTTTGCCTTACTAAATAAACATTCTAAAATAATTACTATCATCAAAAGCTGACTAAACAAGGGACACATAAAATTATATAAAAACAAACCTGTTCATATTCATCAGCCATATACTTTGTACAACTGTTTATAAGGCGTGGCATATCCAATTCCACAGAAGTCTGATAGATGTCAAGGACGTTGCTAGGGTAAATATATTTGCTGATTTCCTCTGAGCATTTCTTCTTTATGACTGGTAGTACAAATTGAGTACTTGCTCTCATTAGTGGAATACAAGTATCCTTGGTTACCTAAAAATAAAGTGCATACCAAACTGAGCTAAAATCAGGCTCTTATTTTTCTTTTTAAACTTGTGTGCATTGTCAGCTGTGAAGAGTGAGTCTTGCTCATTGTTGAAGGCCATTGTTGAAGGCCTTGCAGTGACCTGTGGTTGGTCAAATCCTTGTATTTTGGTCTTTGTAAGATAGTTGTCTCATTGACAATCATAGCAAATCTCCGTATACTTACAAGACTACAAAAAGTACCTCTTATCAGCTGTCAACATCAACTTTGCAAAACAGCCCCAGGATTTACATTGCCAACACTAACCTGCTAGATGCTCACTTTTCTTCTTGATTCTTAAGCTTTGCATTTTTTTTTAATTTCTGATGATATAACATTTTAAACTTTTAAAAAATGGCAATAAATACTACTTATAGTAGACTAATTGAAGGAATGTATACTTATATTCAACATGGTTGCAGCGCCAACAAGATTGCTAGGTCGTAGTTAAATGATCCCCCCTCCCTCCCACTGTGTAAATGACTAATGAAATTTTGTGTACAGTAAAGAATTGTGTAACAGGAACATGGATATATTATAAAGTGTATTTTGAGCTTTTGTATTTGTTCCTGTTATTTAATAGGCAGAACAGTGTGTAGTTGAGGTACAATAGTCGAAAAAATGATCAAAGTCCATAACTCCTATAATAATAGTCAAATAAAAAAATGCTGTCAGTGTAAAAGTGTAATATTGACTTAAAAAGTGAGTCCGTTTATGAGCAAAATACAGAATTTTAAAATTTTCTTCAGATGCTATTTCTTTGTCTTGAAGATTAGCTTCTGTTCAAGTTTCATAACAATCCATAACGGTTTACACATTTATCATGTAAAAAAAATGTAATCCCAGACTGTCTGTAAATGTTAACTGTAAAACATAAGTCCATCTATCAGAAAAATACTGAAAATGAAAAAAATATATTTTCAAAAGTTTGCTTTATCTCTTAATCATAAAAAAGCGTTTGTGAAAGTTTCATAAAATTCTATTTAGGTTTGACAAGACAATTGATGTACATGTGTAACCAACTTCAACCCCTGACTGTATCAACTTGCTAACTGTATAAAAAAATAAATCCATTTATCAGTAAAATACAGAAAAATGAAAATAATTTTTTTTTCAAATTTTTGCTCCGGATACTGTATTTTGGTCATAAACAAGTTTCTGTCCAAATTTCATAAAGGTTGGACCATGTTATTGATGTTTAAATAAACCTTAACCACAGGCTAAATCTAAATGTTGACGCCTCCGAAGCTGATGACAAAATCTAGGATCAGTATGTTTGCTTTCTCAACATAAATGTTGCAAGCTCAACAAAAATGGCTAGGACCCTTAACTCCAAATACAAATGTATTACATGGTCAAACACTCCTACCAAGTATGAGAGTTTTCTATCACATAGTCTCAGAGAAGTGCGTTCACAAGGTATCTTTGTGATACAATAGTCCAAAAAATGGTCAAAGTCCCATAACTCCTGTAAAAAAGGTCAAATCATAATGGAGGTACAATATGGTCAACTACATATGATGGCAAACAATCCTGCCAAGAGCTTTCTGTAAAATTGTCTCAGAGGAGTTGTGTTCACAAGGTGTCAATGGTAAAAAACTATAAAAAAAAATGTTCAACGGAATATGTGACAAATAAGTCTTCCACATATGTATGCTTTATGTCATACCATCACTGAGAATTGATGTGTTTCAGATGGATGGACAAACAGATCGACTGAAGGAAAAATGGAGACCATTGCCATAAAAAATGCTGTATAATCAGGTCAAATTTGACAGATAACCTTCAAATCTAAGAGACATTTAACAAATTCTGCTCAGTTATTATACCTCTCAACCTACCTCATATTCCTCAATATACAAGAAGGAAATAATCTGTACAAATACATCTGCTGTCATATCGTCTAATTTGATGGAAGGGAGATAATCACCATAGACTGGTGGCTGCTCATCTTCTTTATCAATCAGCATTTCTCGGAAAAATTCACTTCTGCCATAGAAAAATATCTGAAATACATAAATATATTACTTATGGTTGTATTAGGATAAATACATATATGAAGTGTCCAGTAATGAACCAGAAACTTTTCTATTTATCAAACTCATCAAAGGTTTTCCCAAGTGGAAACTTTCATACAAATGTCACGAGGTTCTGATAAGAAATGAAGACACTATCCCAGAGACAAGAATTAATATGGAATATATTTACCATTACCCCTCCTGATAAAATAGTTCACTATTTCAGATTTTTTGTGTTTTGATCAGTGGAAACCTTTACCAAAATTTGTTAAGGATAAGAGAAAATATTAAGGTGCTGCGACGGCACCAACAAAGTTATGGCATGCGGATGGACTATTATACCTTCTGCAACGTCTTTGTGTTGCATATAAAAAGGCCAAACACAAACTTGATTATTCTAACCTTAAGTTTGAAGATTTTAAACCTGAAAAGACAAAACATATCTGCTTTTGAAAGTCTAGATTTTTTGTTATCAATGATTGGCAATTGTCACATCTACTGATAAACTTTATCCAATCACCAAATAAGTAGGGGTTTGAGTCTTGCACATTATCTATACTTTTATCATAAGAGTTTTATTTTTTAACACATATAAAATATAGAATCAGAACATTCAATTAATAAACTGTTGACACAGAGATATGTCTTGCCTGTCCACATAAAATTCAGAAAAAGACAATCTGAGGGACAACAACATTGCTTAATAATTCAAAGTCACTGAACCATGATCTTGTGGGCAGGGCATAGAAATGGTCGACAAACTGAGATGTACTGACAGTAATGCAACTTTATACAAAATATCATTGATCTGTCACAAGTAGTTTTTATCAAACTGACTTAAGCAGAAAACTTAACATTGAAAATTGCTAGTTAATTCAAAGTTGCTGGACCATGACCTAGGGGGCAGGGCCTCTAAATAGTCATCAAACAGATTTGTACTGATAGTAATGCAACTTCATATTAAATATCAATGATCTATCACAAGTAGTTCCTATCAAACTAACTTAAGCAGAAAACTGAACATTGAAAATTGCTAGTTAATTCAAAGTTGCTGGACCATGACCTAGGGGGCAGGACCTCGAAATAGTTGTCAAACTGATATGTACTGATAGTAATGCGACTTCATACAAAATATACTTGATCTATCACAAGAAGATGCTATCAAACTAACTTAAGCAGAAAACTTAACATTGAAAATTGCTAATTAATACAAAGTCACTAGACCATGACCTAGGGGGCAGGGCCTCAAAATAGTCGTGAAACTGATATGCACTGATAGTAATGCAACTTTATATTAAATATCAATGATCTATCACAAGTTGTTCCTATCAAACTAACTTAAGCAGAAAACTTAACAATTGTTGCACCACCACTGCCGCAGTCTTCTCCGGAAAAGCAATCCCTATGTATCGCTTTCCAGGACTTTCGTCACAGGCGAGACAAAAAATGCTTCTACCTCACTTTTAATCTTTAGAAATTAATCACTATAATTTTAGCCCTTGCATTTGTTTATATTGTCCAAGAATAAAATCTTTTATGCAAATAAAAACCTACTGGCAGGGATAGTTTATGCTCAATCATAATGAAACAACTTTTTATTAAGGACCTTCAATAAGATATTCCTGCCAAGTCTGGTCCAGCATATTAGAATGAGAGATGAAAATGGTAAAGGAATGCTCACTGACCATAGGGGATTGATGCCACATGAGGAAAATAACTCAACCTGGCCCTACTGTAAAGGAAATTTATAAAATAAATTTTAAACTAAAATCTCAGATCCTCTCCCTAGGTCTGGTTCAGGGACTCACCTTATGACACTTAAATAAGTGACCTTGAACATCAAATATAATATCTGGGTATGTTTTAACATCCAAACCGCAAGCTTCATTCTCAGCAGGAGCTGCCTGCAACAGAAAAAACAACATTTGTTTCACATTTTGTTATCCCTGGGGGTTTGCTCATTGTTTACATCTGTTTTAATTGTTAAAACACCCTTGGGACTGGTTGAGTTTCGCAATAATAAGGACTCGCACTCTGATATCTGATACATATATCTGTATTCAGATTTTCTTGAAATCGTAATAAAAACTCACATTTTTGTCAATTCTTCTGAAATTGCATTAATAAATGCACACAAATATTTCTGAATTGACAGTACTGTATTTTTTAATTTTTTTTTTATAAAAATGCAGATCTTTTTTCTAAACACTGAAAATTTCCTTTATATAGGATTGTATGCGTTAATGGCAGTTTTTTTTATAAAATACCCATCATTAATTAATCTTTACATTAGTGACTAGTACTTACTACAGATGGGGATACTGCTGCTGTTACTAAGCAACCAAAATCTTTCTTTAAATCTTTCAAAAGTTGCTGATGTTGTATCGAATGCAAACTTTGATCTGGAATTTATTAAATGTCTGTTACAATAAAAAACCGTAATAGTATGGATGTTTTATATTTGACAGAGTACTCATTTTCATATAACAATAATACACCTTATTGCTATTTATTCCAATCCGGATAAGTTCTGAAATTACACAACTTTTTCATGGCGTCACAAACCAGTTGAAGCTATCTGGGGCCATATTTAAACAATGCATTGTACATAAAATTTTTCAAAGAGACATGTTTAAACCATGGTAAACACTTCAAAACAAAACATTTTTTAAGACTTTACTTTAAAAATATTGGATCATAATCTATCAAAATTACAAAATGTTCACTTTTTAAACTTTTCCATCCCTCAGCTCGATTCTGATTACCTTTGTTTTTGCGAAACTTAGCCCGTACAGGAAGTTGTCAAAGTGACTGTTTTTTATAGATTGGACTACATAGTGATAAGGTGTATAAGATTTAGTACCTGATGAAAGATATATTATCTTTATTCACGAACTGGACTTTTATGATTTATACTTTATATGATGACTTTTATGTATGTTCTAATGTACTGTATCTAATTAACATAATCAGAGTGAGTGGAGTGAGAAAGATTGGTATGAAAGTGTGAATGATCGTGTTAAACTTTGTAATGCCCGAAACGGCCCTGTGATTAGGGAATAAAGAAGTTGATTTGATTTGATTGGATTTTTGTACATTTTGTGAAAATACAATGAAAGATAACAGATTGACCTTACAGAATTGATTAATTTGTTTAAAATAATAAAAAAAATCAATATCTGAGTTATAGCAATGAATAATTTGTCCCACCATATTTCAAATTCATTGAACAATTGGGCAACAATTCTGACAAAATCAAATATTTGTCTTGATTTTCATTTGAAAATTATGAAACAATTCTTTTGTAATTCTTTCAAAACATAGCCAGAAATTAGTAGTACTTTTGCTAATTAATATTCATAATATGTAAATGAGAATTGTACCACGTGATAACAGTTTGAACTGGACTGGCTTGACATCATTTAAATCTTTAAAACACGGATATTATAAGTTGCTCGTCACAGAGTCCTAGTTTATAATCACTCTGATATTTCCGTAAAGTTGTCAGGCGGTCAAAATCAAAACAATGAACGCGAATTTAGTGAATTTTTCGTGTTTTCGTGAGTTTATTCTTCTTGTAATAGGGGCATTTTAACTTTACGTGGGAACCTAGAGTTCAATGACTACCCATACAAGGTTTGGACTTGCTTATTCTTTGAACATTCAAGTTTCAAGTTTCATCCCGGCAACCTGTTTTTGTAATGACCTTGTTAGCCAATTTTCAACATGAAGTTTGCAAATTTGACGTTTCAGCCATTTTAGCCTGTATTTTATACTGCAATGTTAAAAGCCTCTCGCTTCGATTTTTAAAATAGCTCAGGAACCTTGATTTTTGCAACGACAGTCATTATGTTTTGTTTAAATGGTGTATATTGTTGTGTATATTTATTTTCTGTCCCCGCAACCTGTCTATCACTTAAATTAAAGTTAAAACAGACTTTTTTTTTTCAAAATTCCCTATCATTTCCATTTGGCAGTTATTTCCCTACTTCAGATTTAATTTTATGTCATGGAGTCAACAATATACAGTTAATTCCCTACTTCTGTTTTATTTTTTATTTCATGGTGTTAACATTTGACTGTTAATTCCATACTTCAGTTTTACTTTTTATTTCATGGTGTTAACATTTGGCAGTTAATTCCAGACTTCAGTTTTACTTTTTATTTCATGGTGTTAACATTTGGCAGTTTTTATGTGTAATTGTGTTCATAAGCAAATTCTTTATCTTGGTTGAAATTTGAGGCTGTTTACATTTTGCACGCGATCCTCTTCAGATTTTGTACAGTTGCTATTTAAATGTCTTTTAGTTCATTTTGCTTGAAGTTTTACAATTTTTGTGGTTACCTTCTTCGCATTAGGTCATAACTTGATATCAAACAAGTAAAATGTACACTTGCTTTTTTTCTAAATGTATAGTTTCATTTCAATAAAGAGGATGGGCCAATTTTCACTGAAATTATATCACACAAGGGCCATAATCAAAACTTATTTCAGTCTTTACTTTAATAAATTCACAGCATGAAAGTTCCATACACGTACTTTGAGGTTCTGAAAGTATAATGGCGTATTTCTAATCAAATCATCAAATTATCAAGGCCTGAAGACAGCCAAAAAACACAATTTTGACAGATTTTGACAAATTACAAGTATTTATCCCAAGAATGTTAAAGAAAGACATCCTTAACCACAAACCAAAATTCTTTTAAAAGTAAAGCTACTTATTGTTTTTCAGGTGCAAATTAACTGGTTTTTGGTAAGAGATGTCCTTCATGCAAATTTTTTAAAGATATGTAAAATTTGCAATTTTGTTTCACCATGTAGAGCTTAATAACATTTTGATTTTATGGAAATATTTTATATTTTGATAAAAGACCTCAGTACAAAAACGTCTGTTGTATAGACTCTTTTATAATTTAATTTTAAAATTATTTGACAAATTTAAGATTTTGACCTATTGTGAGTGAAACAAATACTAGGGAAATTGGCCCTAACTCTTACCTTTTTCTAATACTAGGGAAATTGGCCCTAACTCTTACCTTTTTCTAAGATTTCAGCTAAACTGTTAAACTGTAAGAACTTAGCTAATGCTATTGCCCTTGCCCTCTGTCTTTTTTCAATATCCAATCTACCTGTAATAAAATTAACAGATTAAAAGATACAATGCATAGCTCTGATTCCTTGTCCTGATCCCAACCTTGTGGTACAATTTAATAGAGATCCATACACTCATACACAAGTTATTGTCCTGAAACAAGAAAAAAGCTTGTTGTTTGCCCCTAATTCCTAAACAGTTAAGACAATAACCCATAAAATCAATCCCCACCTTCCTTTTGTGGTATGGAACCTTGTGGTACAATTTCATGAAGATCCATACACTTATACTCAAGTTATTGTCTGGAAACCAAATGTCTTCGGACACTGAACGCAACGACAACATCATACCATTATACGACCGAAAAATTGTCATATAAAAAGAGTTTTGATATATTGCAATGAAATGGAAGGCACATGTAAGTCTAGGACATTTTGTCCAGATTTATCTGTCCTGTGAACCGTTTGGCTTTCCTTTTTTTTTGGTCCTTTTTGGTTTTATCAGCTCTTCCACATTTGTATTAGATTTTGAACTTTTCAAATTTTTTAGATTCAAGCGTCACTGAAGAGACATTAATTGTCAAAATGTATCTGGTGCAGTAAAATTGGTACTGTTAATGTTATATATAAATTTCTTTTATGTTAGAATCATTCAAATTATTTATCTCAATTATTCAGTCCTCTAAAGTTGGCCATTAAAACATAATAAATTTACATTTACATTTGTAAATCTTAATATTACATAACTATTTCTGTATTATTTAAAGACTCTGCCACACAGATTAGGATTTGCATGAATACATATTGTACCAACAGTCATGTTTGTTGATGAAAGCATCCTTACTGTAAATTCAGAAATTATTGCGATGTTTTTATTATTTGCGAAAAATGTGACAGGGTTATAATCGCAATAATTTAAGCTCGCATTTTGAAATATTTTATATGAATTAAACAGGATTTTTCTCAATATCGCAAAAATTAATATCGCATTTTTCTCTAATATGACAAAGTCACAATAATAAATGCATGCAATAATTTCTGAATTTACAGTATCCTTACCTGTATAAATAAAACGAAGCATTGGTCCAAAAACATCAGTACACATCTGTAAAGTAAACGTTTTAAAATAGAAATAAGGAAAAGTTTCATGATTTCCAATTAAACCATCCATTAAAAACTAAAGGACAAGGATGGGAAATAATATGGCCATCAACAATGAGCAACAATCATACTGTATATATAATAGGCCACTACATGACAATATGTGAAACATTTCAAACAAGAAAACTAACTGTCTAATATATACTAAAACAATAAACAACAAACAAATAGGGCAGAAGGAAACCAACAACAACCACTGGATTACAGGGTCCTGGCTTATGCAGACACATTAAGAATGTGGAAGGGTTAATCATATATACTTACCAATAAATATCTCAAACACAAATAAGTCATATTAAATGTAAAATGTGATATGAATCTATCTAAGAGGCTCCAAGGAGAATTGCTGATCTGGCATCATAGCAGACATTTTAGAAAAAAGTCATTTCAGTCATTAATGTTTTATATATCAGCTAAAAACAGTAAAGAAACACATTTCAGGAGAAACAACTCTTCAAATAGTCACTAGACGTTTAGACTCAATGGAAAGTTTTGTAGATCTTGACACAATCATCATTTTAAACCCTGCCAGATTTTTTCATACTCTTAAATATTTTTTAAAATATAAGCCAAAAACTGCAGTTAGAGCCTATGTTCTATCTTTAGTAATATCAGCCATGTTTTTAGATGAATCCAAACCTCAGATAGATTTTAAAATAGGATACTCCAAGGAACATTTACACAAAGTTTTGCTCAAATCTTTTCAGTAGGTTCATAAGTTTTTGAAAAAGATAACAGCTTCTGCTTTATTTAATCACCTTGCACTTTCACGACTTGACTGTGGTTTTCTACAGCAGTTTGTTAAAATTTCTGACCAGTTGAACAGTTTGGTTTGATAAAACAAATTGCAATTTGGTCAGAATTTTGAATAAACTGCAATAGGCGGAGAGCAACACTTACAGTCAAGTCACAGTAACAGTTATGCTCTAATTGCTTTAGTTTTAACTGCTTCAGATATAAAGACAAAATCTGTAGTTTTATCCTTATTTTCTTATTTTTTGCAAGGGTGGACATATTTGTTGAAAATAAAAAATTGAAGATATAATTTATAAACTTAATATTCCAAGAAACATTACAAAAATTTTGATTCAAAAACATTCAGTGGTTCAGATGGTAACAGTTCTTAAAATGATTATGCTGAGGACAGATGATGGATACCAAGCTTAAAAGCTACAAAAAATAAATGGAGAATGTGTCTAAGGGCCACAGATGCCCCACGTGTAAATATGCACGAGTCAACTTCCACATACAGATGCAGGATTCAGGAAGTTAAGACCATTTTGTGATTATAAGCATTGAGTATAAGTTTCATAACATTTGGTTGAGGCAAACTAAAGTTAGTGAACGGAAACGACAGATTTAGCAATTTTTCAATTTATAAAGGGGCATAACTCAAGAACAGTAAAAATGACACCACCTGATTTCGAACTTGTTCTGTGTTTTGTGGTAATAAGCATTGTGTATAAGTTTTATAACATTTGGTAGAGGCAAACTAAAGTTAGAGAACGGAAACAAAAAATTCAGCAATTTTTATGTTTATAAAGGGGCATAACTAAAGAACGGTAAAAGTGACGCCACCCAATTCCCAACCTGATCTGTGTTTTGTGATAAAAAGCATTGTGTATAAGTTTTATAACATTCGGTTGAGGCAAACTAAAGTTAGAGAAAGGAAACCATTTTGGGGACGTTCAGGACAAGGGTAACACTTAATGCCCCCTCTGCTACAGAGGGGGCATAATAAAGATCTACACAAAGATCAATAATGAAAGAGACATACCATATCTAGCAATTTTATAAAAAGATGTACATCACAACAAACATTTAGTAATCATTAACATGTTCTGTCCTTTGTATCTATCTGACTGCTGACGTAGGAACTTCATTAATAATTATAATTAATAAACAAATAACAATTTTATAATTGTACAAGATTTTTTTGAAAGATTTCAAAAATTAGTAAAAGGATATCCCCACTTCAATAATGTGATTACAGCGATGTGTGAAATTCTCACCATGACATCACTGGGTTGAAATATATTTGAAATATTTCGTAATACTGATTTTTCCGGATTGTAAAATAAAAAAAGCTCGAAATACAATAATTTCATGAGAAACAGAAGGGAAATGTGTTTAAGGCTAAATCCGTTCATTTGTTTATCTGATTTTCATGAAATCAGACTTTACAATTGTTTATATTTTCTTCTTTGGATAAATATTGTTTCCAACACATTACAATGGAATATTTCAAGAATGTATATAGGGCATTGTCATACATCATTGTTTTCTTACACAATTTTTTTCCTTGTCATATGAAATATTTTTACAAATACAATGGTCAATATTAAAGTGATAGAAGACAATACATCATAAACAAAATGTCCAGTACTTCAAAGTTTGCTTTCAGTCATTGTGAGTACTCTTAGATATTGTATTATTTATTCATTTATTTCTTAATTAGACCTAGGCAGAGTTAAGACCAAATAAAACTTTTTATTTAAGTTTTGAGATATATCTTTCCTTGCATATCTTTACTTACAAGTTTATGTGTTATTGCTATCCTGCCATTGGTATTTTTTTTTCGAAACCGATCTGCAAAGTATCTACACCTTGCAGACAAAATGCAACGATGTGCTAAATATAGTTGACCTTGGATTTCAAGCTCAATGTCATATCCTGGTTGTCTCTCATATAACCTGAAACATTAAACCAAAAAGTTACTAAACAATTTTATTTTAGTTTAGGACACTGGTCACTTGAAAAAGTGCTTATTATATTTAAATTTACCTGTGTATGTTACTTTATTTAACGACATTTTGTCCGAGGTTAAAGTTGTCTTTTCGACATTGTTATATCTTTTTTATTTTTATTGTGTCATAGCTCAAACTTATTCATTCAGTATATATGTAGGACTCAGATCTATGGTGGGTTCCAGATCTATGGCAAATTTCTGCAAATCCCTAATCTATGGTAAATATGATGTCACAAACGCCAAACATAACACAAATCTATGGCAGTATTTTGTTTTCTCCAAATTTATGGCAGATTTGGATACTACGTAATTTTCCGTCACAATTAAATAACGTCATGGAACGTTGAAGCTGCCGATGACGACGACGGTTTTGTTATACAAAAGGAAAAGAAAAAGATCGAAAAGCAAGTTTGCAAGGATAAAAATTAATAAATAAATTATAATTCAAAATTGTGTTTGTTTCTACCCTTGTTTTCTTCTTCTCGTGTTGCTGGTGTTGGCATCAATCTTAATTGTACGAGCTTTTACCGTGCATTTTGGTTTGCTGTTTTGTGTTTTTATGCTATTTTTTTGTATTCCTATGATCTCTTTAATTTTCTGTAAGAAGTAACACAACATAAAGTATTTTGTCAGCTATATAACAGTGACTACCTGTACTATTGTAGCAAACAATCTTTCTTGAGATTTGGAAAAAATAAATATGATATAGATTTCTAATAGATATTAATATCGTTTTCCGCTCTAAATATGTCGAAAACTGTACTGTTGGAGAAATAAGGATTTTTTTAGAGGGTCACACAGGTACTACTAGTATACACAGAGTAGGAAATAAGTATTCTTCCGGGGCACATGATTTCAAACCTACAGTCTGTGCTCATTTTACAAACGGTTATGTATATGCTTCCTAGTAATAGTCCTAATTTGTTTTTCTAATACTGGATTTTATTTAAAAGCAGCTTTTTTGCTACCTTTGGACATTTCGACCTCGAAATCATTGGTCAGATATGCACTGACTGGTCCGACCTTTGCAGAAAATCTGTCATAGATTTGAAATCTAGAAATCCGCCATAGATTAGGAAACTAAAAAAATTGCCATAGATTAGGAAACTAAAAAGTTGCCATAGATTAGGATTCTAAAAAAAACTGCCATAGATTTGGGATGACATGACGTCATATTTACCATAGATTAGGAATCTGCCATAGATCTGGAACCCGCCATAGATTTGAGTCCTACATATATTTAACTGTTTTTGTTTATATGTCTTTTGATCGAGTTAAGCCATTTCAATTGATATTTTATTGTGTGTCTTTTGATGTTGTAATGTTACACTACTATTATCAGGTTAGGGTGAAATTGGTACCTGTTAAAACGATTAAACCCGCTGCATATGTTTGCACCTGTCCTAATTCAGGAGCCTATTGTTCAGTGGTTGGTGTGGTTCATGTTTCTCGTTTCTTGTTTTTTATATAGATTAGACCTTTGGTTTTCCTGTTTGAATTGTTTTACACTAGTCGTTTAGGGGCCCTGTATAGCTTGCTGTTCGGAGTGAGCCAAGGCTCTGTGTTGAAGGCTTTACTTTGACCTATAATTGTTTTTACACATTGTGACTTGGATGGATAGTGTCTCATTGGCACTTATACCACATCTTCTTATTTATATTAGCTAAAACTTTTATGACTAGATTTTCTACTTCATTCAAAAAATTAAACATAAGTTAATGACTAGGTTTATAAAGCTGGGAAATGGAAGAAATTGTGCTACTTTACGTGTTATTAATAAATTAGGATATCATTTCAATTCACTGTTTGTTATACGACAAATAAATCATGTCTTATGATTTACCATCCGTAAACCAAACAGCTGTTTCCATTGTTATGCTGTGTTAAGTAAGTAGAATTTCAATTAAAGTCTTACTGTTGTAAATAGTCGACATATTTCAGATCTGTACTTTCCACAATTAAGGAACATTCATACTGCTTCAAAACTTGTCTGATGTCATTAGTCAAAGAAGACAGAAAGCATCTCTGACTGTCTACACTGTTGGTGTCATATCTAGCTCCTATAAAACATTTAAAAAATCCATTAAAACAAATTCATTTTCAGAGGGTCTGAATGGGGTTTACAGAATAGAGAATAATGGCAGAATAATATATTGAATAGAGAAAAAGGGGGGGGGGGGAAGAATAGAGAATAATGGTGTGCAAAAGTATAAAGAATAACTGTGGAAAGTAAAAGAATTATGCAATACTGATTATAGTAATGAACACTATACAGAATAAAGAAATCATATAATTGCAGAAAAGTTATTTGTAAAATCTTGTTCATGAGAATTTTACAGAATAAGCATCATTTTTAAAGATAAAAAAATGCTTTAAAAATTAAAAGAATACAGAAATCTAGGAGCCCCATCTAGACCTTCATTTCAGTCATTGTTACAATATTATAAAAGTAAAATATAACTCATATTCCTAGTTATAATTGTATCTAACATTTAAGCTGGAGGGTAATACCAACAGCCTTTCTTCAGCCCTATAAGGCCAAAATAAGAAAGATGTAAATCTTAATATGCTACACATTATGTATTAGTTATCTCTGATATTCATACACAGGATTTTTGTTTTAAGCTGCAAAGTATATGAAAATATAGAGATGTAGTATGATTGCCAATGACACAACTATCCACCAAAGTCCATACTTTACTTAGAATTGAACTGTACTTACTAATTACTTATTATTTGTGGGATACCAACATTCTGAGAGATCTCACAAAACATGTTTAACCCCACCGCATTTTTTCACCTGTCCCAAGTCAGGAGCCTCTGGACTTTGTTAGTCTTGTATGTTTTTTTAAATTAGTTCATTTATATGTTTCGGAGTTTAGTGTGACGTCCATTTTCACTGAACTAGTACACATTTTTGTTTAGGGGGTAGCTGAAGCCCACCTCCGGGTGCGTGATTTTCTCGCTGTGTTGAAGACCCATTGGTGGCCTTGGGCTGTTTTCTGTTCTTTGGTCGGGTTGTTGTCTCTTTGACCCTTCCCCATTTCCATTCTCAATTTTATTGGAGTTCTTTCAGATTAAATAAAAAATTACAAAAAAAAAAGTTCTAGGGTTAGTGTTCCAATGGTGATTGAACTTTGTGATGTTTTAGGGTTAGCCAACAAAGACAAGAGACTTTAACCAATTTGCTATTGTTTGATGCCTAATCTTTGGACTCATCAGCATATTTTACAAGAATACCACAGGTGTCACTAGTAGAGCAGAATCTGCAGACCCTTTCACAGCATCCTAGTTTATGGTGAAGTTCTTGTTTGGTCAAACTTTAGCTTTCTGTGTAGTGTTTGGACTGTAGTTTCGTCTATTGGTTGTTTTCTTTCACCCGTAACGTTTTGTTATTTTCATCAACTTATGGATTTTAATGGCCTCCTTGGTATCTTCTCCCTGTTTTTTACACTTGTGACAAATATAATTATACAAAACAGCGATCATGATTACCGTTCTGTAACAGATATCTGACAAATATAATCATACAAAACAGCAATCATGATTACTGTTCTGTAACAGATATCTGACAAATATAATCATACAAAACAGCAATCATGATTACCGTTCTGTAACAGATATCTGACAAATATAATAATACAAAACAGTGGTCATGATTACCGTTCTGTACAGATATCTGACAAATATAATCATACAAAACAGTGATCATGATTACCGTTCTGTAACAGATATCTGACAAATATAATCATACAAAACAGTGATCATGATTACCATTCTGTAACAGATATCTGACAAATATAATCATACAAAACAGTGGTCATGATTACCGTTCTGTACAGATATCTGACAAATATAATCATACAAAACAGTGGTCATGGTTACCTTTCTGTAACAGATATTTGACAAATATAATCATACAAAACAGTGGTCATGATTACCGTTCTGTAACAGATATCTGACAAATATAATCATACAAAACAGCAATCATAATTACCGTTCTGTAACAGATATCTGACAAATATAATCATACAAAACAGTGATCATGATTACCGTTCTGTAACAGATATCTGACAAATATAATCATACAAAACAGCCATCATAATTACCGTTCTGTAACAGATATCTGACAAATATAATCATACAAAACAGCCATCATAATTACCGTTCTGTAACAGATATCTGACAAATATAATCATACAAAACAGCCATCATAATTACCGTTTTGTAACAGATATCTGACAAATATAATCATACAAAACAGTGGTCATGGTTACCTTTCTGTAACAGATATTTGACAAATATAATCATACAAAACAGTGGTCATGGTTACCTTTCTGTAACAGATATTTGACAAATATAATCATACAAAACAGCGATCATGATTACCGTTCTGTAACAGATATCTGACAAATATAATCATACAAAACAGTGGTCATGGTTACCTTTCTGTAACAGATATCTGACAAATATAATCATACAAAACAGCCATCATAATTACTGTTCTGTAACAGATATCTCACAAATATAATCATACAAAACAGCCATCATAATTACCGTTCTGTAACAGATATCTGATAAATATAATCATACAAAACAGCCACCATAATTACCGTTCTGTAACAGATATCTGACAAATATAATCATACAAAACAGCCACCATAATTACCGTTCTGTAACAGATATCTGACAAATATAATCATACAAAACAGCCATCATAATTACCGTTCTGTAACAGATATCTGACAAATATAATCATACAAAACAGCCACCATAATTATCGTTCTGTAACAGATATCTGACAAATATAATCATACAAAACAGCAATCATAATTACCGTTCTGTTACAGATATTTGACAAATATAATCATACAAAACAGTGGTCATGGTTACCTTTCTGTAACAGATATTTGACAAATATAATCATACAAAACAGTGGTCATGGTTACCTTTCTGTAACAGATATTTGACAAATATAATCATACAAAACAGCCATCATGATTACCGTTCTGTAACAGATATCTGACAAATATAATCATACAAAACAGCCATCATAATTATGTTCTGCAACAGATATTTGACAAATATAATCATACAAAACAGTGGTCATGGTTACCTTTCTGTAACAGATATTTGACAAATATAATCATACAAAACAGTGGTCATGGTTACCTTTCTGTAACAGATATTTGACAAATATAATCATACAAAACAGCCATCATAATTACCGTTCTGTAACAGATATCTGACAAATATAATCATACAAAACAGCGATCATGATTACCGTTCTGTAACAGATATCTGACAAATATAATCATACAAAACAGCCATCATAATTACCGTTCTGTAACAGATATCTGACAAATATAATCATACAAAACAGCGATCATGATTACCGTTCTGTAACAGATATCTGACAAATATAATCATACAAAACAGCCATCATAATTACCGTTCTGTAACAGATATCTGACAAATATAATCATACAAAACAGCCATCATAATTACCGTTTTTTAACAGGTATTTGACAGCACTCAGGTGTCCACACAAACAAGCCAAGTACCTGTTAAATAAAGGTATAGTTTATCAACAGAATAAAGTGTTTTGTATATTTCTTTGAATTTCATTCAGTTATTGTATGGTGCAAATCTATTATCTTCAATATAAACCCTGCCACATACTGTATTTGTCTATCCTAAGTCAAAAGCCTGTAATTCAGTGGTCGTTTTTTGCTGTATATCTTTTTTTTTTATGGTTTTGTACATAAATCAGGCCGTTAGTTTATTCGTTTGGATTGTTTTACCTTTGTCATTTCAAGGTTTTTAAATAGCTTTCTATGCGGTATGGTTTTGCTCATTGTTGAAGGCGGAAAGGTGACCTATATTTGCTAACTATAAGTCATTTGGTCTCTGGTGGAGAGTGGAGAGTGGTATCATTGGCATTCATACCACATCTTCTTTTTTTTATAATAAATATTTATCACTGGATGTTAAACAACTTACAATCAATCATGTTTATCTACAAATGGATTGCATATTTATTGTTCTCTCAAGGTTGAAGATTTTACTTTTATTAAACTAAACAAAACTTTAGTGTTATTTATTACATGCTTGATGTGGTACAGAACTATTACTGACAGTAATATGAGCAGAATGTCTAGTACCATTCAACTCATTAATTCCCTGGTTTTCTTTGAAATCTACTAGAACCTTGAGGAATATGAAGGCATTCTATACTTTGTACATTTAAGCCAGTGACTTTGCCAATAAAAGTTCTAGCTGACTTTTCATGAAACATTATAAATTTTATTTCTTTTGAAACTATTTAAGGAAAACTTGATTGTATTTGAAAATCTTACAACTTTAATTGTACTTTTATTGTAACATGTCTCGGTGGAAGCAGAAAATGATATTTGTTAATGTAAAAGGTTGATGTCTGCCAAAATACAAATAAAATTCAAATGTTACATTGTGTCTTAACATACATGTTTTTTTTTCAATCAGGGAAATTGTGGAAATTCAGAATTTTTCTTTGTCACAATCTTGTCGATTTTCTTGAAAATTTGTAATTATAATTATTAAATAAGTATATATACTAACAATGGTAAAATAGAATCTGTTATAGTTACAATGGAGTTTTCAAAATCAAGGAAATTGTGGAAATTCTGTATTTGTCTTATTCAAAATTGTGTCGATAACCAGGCAAATTTGACATAAGTAAACAATGGTAATTTAGATACTGTTATACTTACAATGGAGTATTATCCCAAGCATCAGTAGTATTAACATTGATGCCCTGACCTTCTATGGAATGTCTAGAAAAAAAGGAACAAACTTCAGTTTAGGGTTTAATACAAAATACATATAAAAAAAATTACATTTTTTGAAGTTGTAAAACGATTAGTCAAGAAGTTGCTGCGAAAAATTTGTTTAAAAATGATATAATATACGATTCCTGAAATATTTATGACAATTTTACATTTAACATTTATTCTGATTTATATGGTAGTAAAGAAAATCTGTTCATTTAGTGGTATTTATCAAATAATTAATTTCTGAAATAGGAATGTGTATCAATATATATATATTACAAACGAAAGTGAACCAACGCCTGGTGAGTCTGTAGTGAGTTAGAGTCCCTGAAGTGGATACCTCGGGTATGCAGGGTCGTTATGATGAAACACAATAATGTAGAAAGTCTTATAACAACAACACTGGAGGGACTGCTGCAGAAAATTTATTGATCGACATGTTTCGGTGCCTAGGGCACCGAAACATGTCGATCAATAAATTTTCTGCAGCAGTCCCTCCAGTGTTGTTGTTATAAGACTTTCTACAATATATATATATAAATAAACCTAATTTTTTTTACAAAATAACATGTATCAGGAATAAAAAAATAAATGCCACTTGTGGCAGAGGACATATCTAGATTTATAAGTAATCAAAAATCATTTCTGCTATGTCAACTCCAACAACATACATGTCTTTGTTTGGACCAAGCGCCAGTGTAAAAATGAAGAAATATAACTGCAAATTTCAAGCAGATTGGATGAAAGATTTTCAATTTTTACAACCAAGTTCACTCGGCAATGAATCTTCATTTTGCACATTATGTTCAATCAAGTTTTCGGTTGCTTTAGGTGGTCTGTACGACGTTTAAAAGCATGCTTAGTGTGAAAATAACAGCAAAATCAAAATATGGAATGTTATGAGTTATGAGACTCAGATGTATTGAAAAAGGCACTTTTACTTTGACAAAAAGTTGTTTGTGTTGTGATCCAAGTTACCTGATAGCACTAACATCACCAAGTCGGACACTTCTAAAAAAATCTTTCAAGTCTTGACTCATCTGTCTTCCATATCTGGCTGATTGTTTATCCTGAAAGAATTAAAATATAAAATAAAATAAGATGAGGCACAATACAATACATAATTTTAATTTTGTAACACTTTAATCTTGTTATTTTGTTCAAAGTTTCCTTGAACATGGTTCTATACATTAATTCTACAAATTTGAAAAATTTCTTTTATTTGTAATTTGAGAGATATTTTTCCTAATAAGAGTAATAAAGTATAAGATGATAAACAAAGCAGCAACACAACAACAACAAGAAGTTAGTGGTGGGTGGTAACTTGTAAAATTTGCTTGGCAAGATAGAGTCAGATTTCATTATTTTATCATTAGTCATGTTTTTGCAATGACAACTTATTTTCTTTACATTTAAGTACATGGATCAGGACCAATATGACAACAGCAAATGGTTCTTTGACAAGTATTCACAAAGATACGATAGCATATGAAATTCTAAACTAGAGGCTCTAAAGAGCCTGTGTCGCTCACCTTGGTCTATGTGCATATTAAACAAAGGACACCTATGGATTCATGACAAAATTGTGTTTTGGTGATGGTGATGTGTTTGTAGATCTTACTTTACTGAACATTCTTGCTGCTTACAATTATCTCTATCTAAAAATTTACCAAAATTTACAAAATTTATGAAAATTGTAAAAAATTGACTATAAAGGGCAATAACTCCTTAAGGGGGTCAATTGACAATTTTGGTCATGTTGACTTATTTGTAGATCTTACTATGCTGTACATTATTGCTGTTTACAGTTTATCTCTATCTATAATAATATTCAAGATAATAACCAAAAGCTGCAAAATTTTCTTAAAATTACCAATTCAGGGGCAGCAACCCAACAACGTGTTGCCTGATTCGTCTGAAAATTTCAGGGCAGATAGATCTTGACCTAATGAACAATTATTTCCACTTCAGATTTGCTCTAAATGCTTTGGTTTCAGAGATATGAGCCAAAAACTGCATTTTACCCTATGTACTATTTTTTAGCCATGTCCGCCATCTTGGTTCGCGGGTGGGGTCATCGTACACATTTTTTAAACAAGATACCCTAATGATGATTGTGGACAAGTTTGGTTAAATTTGTCTTAGTAGTTTCAGAGGAGAAGATTTTTGTAAAAGATAACAAAAATTTACGAAAAATGGTTAAAAATTGATAATAAAGGGCAATAACTCCTTAAGGGGTCAACTGACCATTTTGGTCAAGTTGACTTATTTGTAGATCTTACTTTGCTGAACATTATTGCTCTTTACAGTTTATCTCTATCTATAATAATATTCAAGATAATAACCAATAAAATGCTCCGCTGGAGCGCAGCTTGATACGACCGCAGAGGTCGAACCCTGAACAGTTGGGGCAAGTATGGACACAACATTCAAGCTTGATACAGCACTGAATTTGGATTGTGATTAAATATTTGACACAGCATAGGTTTCTGACACAGAATGAAAGTGGTCTAAGAACTTAAAAAATTTTAATTTACCTATTCAAACCATATCATTATTATTTGCTTTTATATATAAATCAGAAATAACCAATTTAAAATGGAAAATTTTAAAGAAAAAAAAATCCCCCCCCCCAAATTTTTTGAACCCCCTTATGAATCATCACCCCCAAACTCAATCCCAGCCTTCCCTTTGTGGTATGGTACCTTGCAGAACAATTTCAGAGAGATCCATACACTTGAACACAAGTTATTGACTGGAAACTAGAAAAATGCTTGTTTTTTTGCCCCTTTTTGGCCCCAAATTCCTAAACGTTTAGGGCAATTACCCCCAAACTCAAACCCAGCTTTCCCTTTGTGGTATGGAACCTTGCAGTACAATTTCATAAAGATCCATACACTTACACACAAGTTATTGTCCTGAAGCTAGAAAAAAGCTTGTTTTTTTGCCCTTTCATGGCCCCTAATTACTAAACTTTTTGGGCAATTACCCCCAAACTCAATTCCAGTTTTCCCTTTGTGATATGGAACCTTGTTGTACAATTTCATAAAGATCCATACACTTACACACAAGTTATTGTCATGAAACTAGAAAAATGCTTGTTTTTTGCCCCTTTTTGGCCCCTAATTCCTAAAATTTGGAGGCAATTACCCCCAAAATCAATCCCAGCATTCCCTTTGTGTTATGGAACCTTGTGATACAATGTCTGAGAGATCCATACACTTACACACAAGTCATTGTCATGAAACAAGAAAAATGCTTGTTTTTTGCCCCTTTTTGGCCCCTAATTCCTAAAATTTGGAGGCAATTACCCCCAAAATCAATCCCAGCATTCCCTTTGTGATATGGAACCTTGTGGTACAATGTCAGAGAGATCCATACACTTACACACAAGTTATGTCTAAAAGTTACAAAAATGATTATTTTTTGCCCCTTTTTGGCCCCTTATTCCTTAACTGTTGGTACCATAACCCCCAAAATCAATCCCCACCTTCCTTTTGTGGTATTGAACCTTATGGTAAAATTTCATTGAGATCCATTCACTTAAACTAAAGTTAGAGTGCGAAAACTAATGTGTCTTTGGACGACGACGACGACGCCAACGTCATACCAATATACGACCACAAAAATTTTTTTGCGGTCTTATAAAAACGACAAAGTTTCCTTAAAATTACCAATTCAGGGGCAGCAACCCAACAACGGGTTGTCCGATTCATCTGATAAACAATTTTACCGCATGTCAGATTTGCTCTAAATGCTTTGGTTTCAGAGATATAAGCCAAAATCTACATTTTACCCCTATGTTCTATTTTTAGCCATGGCGGCCATCTTGGTTGGTAGGCCGGGTCACCGGACACATTTTTTAAACTAGATACCCCAATGATGATTGTGGACAAGTTTGGTTAAATTTGGCCAAGTAGTTTCATCAGAGAAGATTTTTGTAAAAGTTAACAGACGACAGACGACGACGGACGACGGACGCCAAGTGATGAGAAAAGCTCACTTGGCCCTTTGGGCCAGGTGAGCTAAAAAGGAATTTTTTTTTTACAGGTAAAGTATAGGCATTAGTGATCATTTTTTTATAATTATTAGATCATTTGGTCTCTGGTGAAAAGTTGTCTCATTGGCAATCATACCACATCTTTTTTTACATTTATTTTTCTGCATATCATTTGTTGGCAGTTTTTTCTTGCACTTCCCTGGTTTAAGTCCGATATATATTTACAGAGCTTTGATGGGTTCCTATGACACAAACTGCCAGTAGAAGATGGATTATTATTTTTAGGCACTTTTTGGACAGATATCTCATCAACTGTTTATGTTCTTACACATCCTTGGTTTTAAATATTCTGCTTTGACCGTTTCTGATGAAGAGAAATCCAGAAAAGCACTTTGTATGACATTTACATAGAGTTGTTTTCATTTTTAGTAAAATAAAATTGTTATTACATAACATAAGAATTCAACAGAGACTATGTAAGACCACTAATCAACACAAAATTGTTAAACATTTTCAAGGGACAAATATGAACACTAAAAAAGGCAATAACAAATGACAAGATTCCAGATGTAGAACAGACACATTAGTATGTGATGTGATTAACCCAATAGATGACAACAAATGACAAGATTTTAGATGTGGAACAGACACATTAGTATGTGATGTGATTAACCCAATAGATGACAACAAATGACAAGATTTTAGACGTAGAACTGACACATTAGTATGTGATGTGATTAACCCAATAGATGACAACAAAAGACAAGATTCCAGACGTAGAACTGACACATTAGTATGTGATGTGATTAACCCAATAGATGACAACAAATGACAATATTACAGACGTAGAACAGACACATTAGTATGTGATGTGATTAACCCAATAGATGACAACAAATGACAAGATTTTAGACGTAGAACTGACACATTAGTATGTGATGCGATTAACCCAATAGATGACAACAAATGACAAGATTCCAGACGTAGAACTGACACATAAGTATGTGATGTGATTAACCCAATAGATGGCAACAAATGACAAGATTTTAGACGTAGAACTGACACATAAGTATGTGATGTGATTAACCCAATAGATGGCAACAAATGACAAGATTTTAGACGTAGAACTGACACATAAGTATGTGGTGTGATTAACCCAATAGATGACAACAAATGACAAGATTCCAGACGTAGAACTGACACATTAGTATGTGATGTGATTAACCCAATAGATGACAACAAATGACAAGATTTTAGACTTAGAACTGACACATTAGTACGTGATGTGATTAACCCAATAGATGACACAATATCTGAATATTTTGAAAGATCATGCATTCATTTCGAAATCTTCATTTGTTGACATTGCAAAGACAGGGGGAGACTATTACCCCCGGTTTCCAAAAAGAAAATCATTGAATCTTACCGGATCTATTCTGGGACAGATAACATGCAATGATGGATTTCATGCTAGATGTGGTGATCAGGACAGGAGGATTATTTCCAGGTGGAATATCCATTTCCACCTGTAGCTGGTACAGGTTATTTATTTTCATTCTTCTATAGTATCTATTTGTAGTCATTTATTATTATATGTATTATTTTTAATTCTCATAAATGAAAGCCACTGTCACTCTCTTTTTTACTGCGCAATTGTCTGTTTCGTTGTCTTTACTTAATCATGCCTTAACCATTTTATACTATTTTAACCATTTAATAACGTCTATACAACAATTTCCTGCAGTTGTCCTGAATTTTTAAAAAGTGTATTTTGTTGGACAGAATATTCATTTTCATATATTCTGTCATGGGCAAAGATATATATTTTAAGATATTTGAGCAGGCCAAACTATTCATTTTTAAAATTCTCTGCACTTAAAGCCATTAAATCTGTTGAAACCATTACCTTTGACCTTGCATGTTATAATCATTCATTTTCAGCATCTAGTATATGACCTTGTAGTCTACAGTAAAATGTTCATGGTATGAACCTTTATATGGAAATTAAATTTTGTGAATTTGGCAGCTTGAAGCACTTTTCTGGAATTTGGCAGTTTGAAGCACTTTTCTGGATTTCTTAAACAGAAACTCAAAAAGCCCAAAATTGAAAATTCCAGGAAGCGTGTATAAATACTTGAGTATTTGACGAGCTAAAACAAAAATATGATCAGAGGGTATCACAATAATACTAACCTGAGACAGTGGTACAATCTGTTTTCTATGCTTATTATCTTCTTCCTGTCTGCGCTTCAATTCCTCATTTTCCTTCCTACGTCTAACTTCCTCTTCAATCTTTTTTCTATTCTTTTTCTCTTCCTCCTCTCTGCGCTTCTGTTCCTCATTTTCCATCCTTTGTCTAACTTCCTGTTTTGATAAAACTTGATGACCAACAATAATGACAGGTTCTGGCCTTGTGTGACCTACCTGAAACAGCGGTATACTGACATCTAGTCCTATTCTATGCGTTAATAGATAATTCAGTTTCTGGAGTTTTTCATTGGCTGCTCTCTGTTCCTCCCATGTTGAACATTCATGCCGGAGGTAATATTGGAAATCCATGAAAAAAGGAATTTGATCAAATGCTGTACCTTCGTTCATTAGGGGAGATAACTGTTGTCTAATAAACATCTCAAACTCGGGAAATGTAATCATCTATAAACAAAAGTATTACAGTTCTAGTCTTACAAAGAAAAATATAATAAAGAGTTTAATCAACATGCTTAACTGACCAAGGATGTAGTCTGAGGCCAATGTAGGTATATTTATGATTAAACATGCAATGATGGAAATTGAAAGGCTTCTACTGATAAATTGTTCTGTGTATCAAATTTAATATATATTTTTGCCTTTTTATTTTCTTAAATTGAATCATACAATGATATCAGTTATTATCCAGTTATTTATAAATTTCTTTCCTTCAATGAACAGAAGGCGGAAATCTTATTACCAGCAAGTTTCACAATCCTATATTATATCTCTAATGTGGTTTGCCTCAGAAACATTTGCTGCTTACCCTTCTGGAGCACCTGAGATCACCCCTAGTTTTAGGTGGGCTTCGTGTTGCTGAGTCTATTGGTCTTTTTCTTTTTTAGCCATGGCGTTGTGAGTTTATTTTCAACTTATGAGTTTGAATGTCCCTCTGGTATCTTTGGCCTCTCGTTTGCAACTAAATGTTTATAAAATACAGTTAAATCTGACCTCTTTCTGACACATATTTGATCAAAAATAGATCAAAGACTTAAAAATGGCTGGGTTGTGCAGAAAGAATCTTTAAATATAGAGAATTCTCAGTATACTGCACATTTAAATATCTAAAATATGAAATATAAAAATTCCTAAACACTGTAGAAGGAGTTGATCACAAAAAAGTTGTAACCTCTTTCAGAAATTTTGCTGAAAACTTTCATCTGGAAAATTTATACAAATTTTGGGGAAATTAACTATTTTTTGTTTTCTTTACACAACAAAACAATTGGACAACAGTCATTCCTGTAATCAGATTTTTCTTTCTTCTAGTTTACTCTTACTTGACTAGATACAAGAATGTCATACTGCAGAATAGGTAACCTGTTGAAAAATAATATTCTCCGGAGTCAAAAGTTGATAATATGAAAGGAGAAGGTACAGTATGGGCCCCTTGAATTTGAAAATTCCAGATCTATTATTAGCCTCTTACTTTGGTTTCGGCATACATTGTATCTTACAAATTTATAGAGATACTACAGCTTAGGTTGTCTTACTAAATGAACAATCTTAAACAATTCCTATTCTTACAAGCTCACTAAACACAGGAGAATATAATTAAACGAACCTGTTCATATTCATCAGCCATATACTTTGTACAACTGTTTATAAGGCGTGGCATATCCAATTCCACAGAAGTCTGATAGATGTCAAGGACATTGCTAGGGTAAATATATTTGCTGATTTCCTCCGAGCATTTCTTCTTTATGACTGGTAGTACAAATTGAGTACTTGCTCTCATTAGTGGGATACAAGTGTCCTTGGTTACCTAAAGGTAAAGTGTACTATAAACTAAGCTAAAAAATAATACGTAAGGGTTCCATGGAACCCTGTGTCTCGCCTAGGATTGCTGCTGTCAGTGTAAAAGTGTAAAGTTGACTTAAAAAGTGGTCCAATTATCAGTAAAATACAGTTCAAAAAAAAATTTCAGACTTTCTCTTTAATGCTTTGCCGAGCGCAGCCTGATATGACAGCAGAGGTTGAACCCTGAACCCTGAACAGTTGGGGCAAGTTTAGACTCAATATTCAAGCTTGATACTGTCTGAATTTGGACTGTGAACAAATTTTTGACACAATATAGGTTTCTGACCATTAACATACAAATATGCTGTATGATCAGGTCAAAGTTGATTAATCAATATCCTTGAAATCTAAGAGACGTTTTTCTGCTCCGTAATTATACCTCTCAACTTACCTCATATTCCTCAATATACAAGAAGGAAATAATCTGTACAAATGCATCTGCTGTAATATCGTCTAATTTGATGGAAGGGAGATAATCACCATAGGCTGGCGGCTGCTCATCTTCTTTATCAATTAGCATTTCTCGGAAAAATTCACTTCTCCCATAGAAAAATATCTGATATACAAAAATATATTACTTTATACTACTTATACGGTTGTATTAAGACAAATACATATACATTACACCCTAAGCAACATCTTTGTGTGGGGTATAAAATGATTAATCATTCTAACAAAAAGTTTGAAGATTTTAAACCTAATTAAACTGTTATCACAGAGATATGTCTCGCTTTTTGGTTATTTCGATAATGCAAATGTTGAAATTAAAATAGCAACACTTTTACATGTAAGTTTTGCAAATATTCAAAAGTCAATGAATCATGACTGAAGGTACATGGCCAAACAATCTCCATGGAAATGAGATGTGCCAATGCTAATACAACTGCATATCAAATACCATTGACTTATCATAAGTAGTTCCCTTTAAACAAACCTTAACACAAACTAATACATGTAAACTAAGCAAAATTTCAAATTCAATAAACCATAACTGAGGGGGCAGGGTCAAATAATACCAAATATCATTGACCTACCACTAGTGGTTCCCCATAAACTGACCTAATCACAAACTAATACATGAAAACTAAGCAAAAATTTCAAAGTCAATAGACCATGACTGAGGGGGCGGGGCCAAATAATCTCCATGGAAATGAGATATGCCAATGCTTATACAACTGCATACCAATTATCATTAACTTACCACTAGTGGTTCCCCAATAACTGACCTAATCACAAACTAATACATGAAAACTAAGCAAAAATTTCAAAGTCAATAGACCATAACTGAGGGTGCGGGGCCAAATAATCTCCATGGTAATGAGATGAATTAATACAACTGCATACCAAATATCTTTAACTTACTACTAGTGGTTCACCATAAACTAGACCTAATCATAAACTAATACCTTGCTGACGCCGGAAACAGCATACCTGTCAAGCGAGACAAAACTGCAAAACATATCTGCTTTTGAAAGTCTAGATTTTTTTTATCGATGATTGTCAATTGTCACATCAACTGATAGAGATAACTTTATCCATTCACTAAATAAGAAGGGGATTGAGCCTGCATACCATCTATACTTTTATCATAAGAGTTCCATCTTTTAACACAGGTGAAATATAGAATTAAGATTTCTCAATCAAAATTTACATCTATCTTACTTTTTAATCTTTAGAATCTAATCACTTTAATTTTAGCCCCTGCATTTGTTTATATTGTCTAGGAATAAAATCTTTTATGCAAATAAAAACCTACTAGCAGGCATAATTTATACTCAATCGTAATGAAACAACTTATTACTAAGGGCCTTCAATAAATATTAAATTAAGTTTGGTCCAACATATTAGAATGAGAGATGAAAATGGTTAAGGAGAAACTGACCACAGGGGGTTGATGTCACAAATAACTCATTCTGGCCCTATTGTGGAGGAAATCTATAGAATAAGTTTTAAACAGACATTTCATCCTGGTTCAGGGACTCACCTTATGACACTTAAATGAATGACCTTGAACATCAAATATAATATCTGGGTATGTTTTAATATCCAAACCACAAGCTTCATTCTCAGCAGGAGCTGCCTGCAAAAGAAAAAAACAACATTTGTTTCACATTTTGTTGTCCCTGGGCTTTTTACATCTGTTCTGTAAATTGTTATAACACCCTTGCGACTGGTTATGTATCGCATTAATAAGTACTCTCACTCTGAAATCTGATACATATATCTGTATGCAGATTTTCCTGAAATTGTAATAAAAACTCACATTTTGGTTAATTCTTCAGAAATTGCAATAATAAATGCACCCAATAATTTCTGAATTTATAGTACTGTTTTTTGCTGTTTTTTTTTTTTTAAATGTAGAATTTTTTTTGTATGAACACTGTAAATTTCATTATTTTCTCCCTCGTTTCACACGTCAGAAAATAAAGTTTTTTTTAACTAGATGTCGTAGAAAAAACCAAAACAGTATAGGGTTGTGCGTTCGCTTCAAGATCTCCTTTAATTATAACATCTTTAACATAAATATATTCAATCAGCCATACGTAAATGCATAAAATTTCACCATACACAAGAAGATACGAAACGAGAATGTTACATTAATGATGGTTATATGGGGTGGGAGGGTGGGGAATAGTATACCAAACTAACTTTGTCCTAACTATCTCGTAACGAACGTGGCATTGGTCAAGCGCGCCTTAAATTTCCATTATATACTATCCTGACCTAAATCGTCCTTGTACAAAGGAATTAAATGGGTATTATCCTATCTCATTTAAATATCGAAATACCGTTATGTAAAACACAGGACTGTAAAGAAATGTAATTATAGAATTGTATGTGACAACTACTTACAACAGATGGCGATACTGCTGCTGTTACTAAACAACCAAAATCTTTCTTTAAATCTTTCAAAAGCTGCTGATGACATATCATAAGTAAACTTTTATCTGGAATATATTAAAATTCTGTTACAATAAATTTCATTTCTATTCATAACATCCAATCCTAATAGTATGCATATGGATGTTTTATATTTGACAGAGTAATTATTTTCACATTACAATAGTTTATTTTGTTTGAAATATTACCTGTGGTTACCTTCATGGAATTAGGTCATAACTTGATAGTAATTTATTTTCACTTTAACCTGCTTTTTTTTCTAATGCATTTTTCACTTCAATAAAGAGGTAGAGCAAATTTTCCTTGAATTTATAACACACCAGGGCCAAATTCAAAATGTTTTTCAGTCTTTACTTAAATTGAGACTATTATAGCTCCATGTGTGTACTTGGAGGTGCTGAAAATATATTGGCTTATTTCTAAACAGAAAGGCCTGAAGATAGCCACAAAAAAACCCGCATTTTTGATCGATATTGACAAATTCATCCCAGAAATGTTTAAGAAAGAAATCATAAACCATAACCCCAAATTCTGTTAGAAGTAAAGATACCTATTATCTTTCAGGTGCAAATTAACTGGTTTAAGTAAGAAATGGACAGAATTTTTATAAATATTCAAAATTTGCAATTTGTTTCACCATGTAGAGCTTAATAACATTTTGATTTTATGGAAATATTTCATATTTTGATAAGTCCTCAGTACAAAAATGTCTTTAGTATAGACTCTTTAATAATCTAATTCCAAAATTATATGACAAATTTAAGATTCTGACCTACTTTGAGTGAAACAAATACTAGGGAAATTGGCCCTAACTTTTACCTTTTACTAAGATTTCAGCTAAACTGTTAAACTGTAAGAACTTAGCTAATGCTATTGCCTTTTCCCTCTGTCTTTTTTCAATATCCAATCTACCTGTAATAAAAATCAAAGAGCTAAAGAGCTCTGAGGGAAAAGACGGCCATTGTTTCTAATTTTTTTTTGGTATCTTTTGATAGTCTTCATACAAATAATGCGAAAAAGAACAGCTAGAACATGTAGAAGGGTTGATAATATTGAAATTAATTGTTTTTTAATTTAATTTCATTTCCTTAGTCCAGAATTCATCAGAAGTCAATTTGGACCAATGGAAGAGATCAGCACCATCTAAATCAAAACATTAAATTAAAGTTGAAAGTTAATTATCTAAATTCAATTGAATTCTATCATTTAATAACTACTACAATATATTTCAATTTTTTTATTGTGTACCACTGAACTGCAGGCTAGGGCCATTTTCCATTTTTTGTGACAGTGCTCTAAGATTTTTAATTTTTTTCTCAAGAAAGTGAGGACTGAAAAGTCAATTCAGTTTTAAATTTCCATTGATAAAGTTCCCAGTTACAACTCTCATCACAGGGATACATGTACTTACAAAAATCAATCAAATTGATATAAGCTGTGTGCAGCTTGTTTCCAGATCCTACATTTTGATATATTTGTAAATTTCATGAATAAATATGTTTAAACTACAAAAAGCAACATTTGAAAATTTTATAATTTTTTTACCATTACAATGATTATGTTGATACAAAAAATTTGGTTTTAATGGAAGACTACTTATCATATAATAAATGTCACATTTTAAGTGTTCAGATACATTAACTTTTATTTAGGTGGATAATCACTCATCAATTGAGGTGCTCCTGTATTGGAGGAAGATTCTCAATACAGTTACAGAAAGAATGAAAACTGCCATTTCTCTCTCCAACCTCATTTATCCCCATTGTTTCCCACGAAAGTTGACCTACAAATTAAAGCATTGATGTTTGAATCATCTATAGCAAACATAATTATGTTTAAATAAACAAATACCGATTTTAAAATCGTACACCATTTCTGTGAATGATTTTAATCATGAGTAAAGGATATCCCTAGTTCTACGTAGTGTGGAATTCCAACCATGACATCACTAGGTTGGATATACTTAGAATATTTCGTAATACTGATTTTTCCAGTTTGTAAAAGAAACTTAAATAGTGTAAGGGAGAGCTAAAGATACGATAATTTCATGAGAAATAGAAGGGAAATGTGTAAAAAAAGTGTTTAAAGTCAATCTGTTCATTTGTTTATCTCCTAAATTCATCAATTCAGTATGAAATTTTGAGGTGTTTTCCAATTATAAACACAAAATGATTGACATGAGAGGCTTGGAAGTCTGGCCAACCAAATAGGGAATTGACGGCTTGAAGCCGTCTTTCCCAAAAACTGTATAAAAGACATAATGCATACAGGGTTTCCCCAAGGTCAATTTTTTTTTTCGTCACCTCTTTCGCCACTCTCATTTTTTCACCAACTCACATAAATATATTTTTTATTTCAAACGTGTTTTCCTTCATTTTATCCACAAAAAAATTCAGGTTGCAGCAGTGTCGTCCCCTTTAATTCTTATTCTACATATCTTTCTTATATCCTACATTGTAATAAATTAACACTCAAGCAGAACAAAATAAAACTTTTTTTCAATTTGACAAAGCACATGTATTTTGTTTTTGATTTGATTGGAAGGCTGTTACACTTTTTACAATTCAAATCAAATCAAATCAAATCAAATCAAATGTTTTATTGTCGTACAAACTTTACAGTTTGTGACCAACATGTATTAACACAATAAACATATATACATACATATCAAACAAACACAATAAAAACAGCATCAAAATTTACAAAACAAACAAGCTGTTAAGAGTCCCCTGCCCTCAGTTCTAATGACTTTTTCAAGAAGGATCCTAACTTATTTGTTTGTAAAGGCGTTGATGGATTTAGTAAATAATGAATTTTTTCTTCTTCATTTTACACTTACTCAATCAGGTAATTAACACTTCAAAAAAATAAAATTAACATAGAGACCTAATGAGAAACTTTTTTAATTATACACCAAAACTTATGATATTAATAGTCAGATTTCGAATATATCATTTATCAACATAAATCAAGGAAAAAAATATTAATTTGAAATAAAATGCTCCGCTGGGGCGCAGCTTGATACGACCGCAGAGGTCGAACCCTGAACAGTTGGGGCAAGTATGGACACAACATTCAAGCTTGATACAGCTCTGAATTTGGATTGTGATTAAATATTTGACACAGCATAGGTTACTGACACAGAATGAATGTGGTCTAAGAACTTAAATTTTTTTATTAAATTGGATATTCACCTATTATGGTCCAATATCCAAAATCTAAATACATGGTTAGATTCAGCATATCAAAGAACCCCAAGAATTCAATTTTTGATGAAATCAAACAAAGTTTAATTTAGGACCCTTTTGACCTCAATGTGGACAAAGTTGATAACGGGGCCCAAAAATCAAAAATCTAAATACATGGTTAGATTCAGCATATCAAAGAACCCCATATATTCAATTTTTGTTGAAATCAAACAAAGTTTAATTTTGGACCCCGATTTGGACCAACTTGAAAACTGAGCCCATAATCAAAAATCTAAATACATGTTTAGATTCATCATATCAAAGAACTCTAAGAATTCAATTTTTGTTAAAATCAAACTAAGTTTAATTTTGAACCCTTTGGACCTTAATGTAGACCAATTTGAAAACCGAACCAAAAATTAAGAATCTAACTACACGGTTAGATTCGGCATATCAAAGAACCCCAAGAATTCAATTTTTGATGAAATCAAACAAAGTTTAATTTAGGACCCTTTTGACCTCAATGTGGACAAAGTTGATAACGGGGCCCAAAAATCAAAAATCTAAATACATGGTTAGATTCAGCATATCAAAGAACCCCATATATTCAATTTTTGTTGAATCAAACAAAGTTTAATTTTGGACCCTGATTTGGACCAACTTGAAAACTAGGCCCATAATCAAAAATCTAAATACATGTTTAGATTCAGCATATCAAAGAACCCTAAGAATTCAATTTTTGTTAAAATCAAACTAAGTTTAATTTTGAACCCTTTGGACCTTAATGTAGACCAATTTGAAAACGGAACCAAAAATTAAGAATCTAAATACACAGTTAGATTCGGCACATCAAAGAACCCCATTAATTCAATTTTTGATGAAATCAAACAAAGTTTAATTTTGGACCCTTTGGACCTCAATGTGGACCAATTTAAAATCGGGGCCCAAAATCCAAAAACTTAATACACGGTTAGATTCAGCATATTAAAGAACCCCAAGAATTCAAGAATAAAACCCCATTGAAATTGGTCAAGAAATAAGCAATTAATACTGTGCAATTGAATATTTCTTGCTATTGCGCAATACTGTACAATTGACAATTTCTTGCTATTGCGCAATATTGTGCTATTGGATATTTCTTGCTATTGCGCAATACTGTGCAATTGAAGATTTCTTGCTACTGCGCAATACTGTGCAATGAAAGATTTCTTGCTATTGTGCAATACTGTGCAATTGAAAATTTCTTGCTATTGCACAATACTTATTATATAATAATTTACACATCCTGTTTGGTGTGTATCTCCTACCATATCATTATTATTTGCTTTTAAATATAAATCAGAAATAACCAACTTAAAATGGAAAATTTTAAAAGAAAAAAAAGGAAAAAAAGAAAAAAAAGGAAAAAAAAAAAAATCCCCCCCCCCAATTTTTTGAAACCCCTTATGATTCATCACCCCCAAACTCAATCGCAGCCTTCCCTTTGTGGTATGGTACCTTGCAGTACAATTTCAGAGAGATCCATACACTTGAACACAAGTTATTGTCCTGAAACTAGAAAAATGCTTGTTTTTTTCCCCTTTTTGGCCCCTTATTCCTAAAATTTTGAGGGAATTACCCCCAAAATCAATCCCAGCCTTCCCTTTGTGGTATGGTACCTTGCAGTACAATTTCAGAGAGATCCATACACTTGAACACAAGTAATTGTCTGGAAACTATAAAAATGCTATTTTTGGCCCCTTTTTGGCCCCTTATTCCTAAATGTTTTTGGCAATTACCCCCAAACTCAATTCCAGCTTTCCCTTTGTGATATGGAACCTTGTAGTTCAATTTCAGAAAGATCTATGCACTTATACACAAGTTATTATCATGAAACTAGAAAAATGCTTGTTTTTTGCCCCTTTTTTGGCCCCTAATTCCTAAAATTTTGAGGCAATTACCCCCAAAACCAATCCCAGCATTCCCTTTGTGATATGGAACCTTGTGGTACAATGTCAGAGAGATCCATACACTAACACACAAGTTATGTCTGGAAGTTACAAAAATGCTTATTTTTGGCCCCTTTTTGGCCCCTAATTCCTTAACTGTTGGTACCATAACCCCCAAAATCAATCCCAACCTTCCTTTTGTGGTATTGAACCTTATGGTAAAATTTCACGGAGATCCATTCACTTAAACTAAAGTTAGAGTGCGAAAACCAATGTGTCTTCGGACGACGCCGGACGACGACGACGACGACGCCGACGCCATACCAATATACGACCAAAAATTTTTTTATTTTTGCGGTCGTATAAAAATCTTGATCTTTATTAAAATACTGTAAAATTTGACTTCAGGAAACACTGAGTTCATCTTCAATCAATTTATTGGATATTTCCTGTCTAGTTAGAGGACAAAGAATAAAATCAGAGATTTGTGTTAATTTTGAACGTCTTCTTCAAAACAATAGTTTTCTTTTCTGAACCATCATTGAAAGTAACAATTGAGACATAAAACTATGCTTAAAAAAGGCGCGCCGCTAAAACGATCGTGAAGTACCCACTTAAAAACAATTATTGTTATCAAAGTTATAAAAATATCCTTCAGGTGACATGTGATGCCAATTTATCACACATTTTCATAAAACAATATAATTAACACCTTTATTAATTGTCCATTGTTGTTGATAGCTATCAATTTCAACCAGTTGATTATTGACTTTCTGAAAAAAGTTCATGGTGATATCCGAGTTATGTCTAATCAGGGAAAAAGTCTTGAGAAACCTAAAACAAAATTAAAACGATGGACGAGGTCGAACTTTATATTTCTTTTGCCAAATTCATTCGCTAATCATGATTTTTAATTGCAACAATTATATTTTAAGCAAAATGCGAAAATGGTGACCACTAGCAGAAACCCTGTACATAGCTCTGATTCCTTGTCCTGGATTGGCTTTCTTTTTTTGGTCACTTTTGGTCTGATCAGCTTTTCGAAATTTGTATTAGATTTTGAACTTTTCAATTTTTTTGACTTCTATCATGACCGAAGAGACATTAATTGTCAAAATGTACATCTGGTGCAGAAAAATTGGTATCGTTAATGTTATATATCAATTTCTTTTTTGTTAGAATTATTCAAATTATTTACTTCAATTATTCAATCCTCTAAAGTTGGCCAGTAAAACAAAATAAATTTACGATACTGTTTACATATTACGTAATTATTTCTGTATTATTCAAAGACTCTGTCAGTCATGTTTGTTGACGAGAGTATCCTTACCTGTATAAATAAAACGAAGCATTGGTCCAAAAACATCAGTACACATCTGTAAAATAAATGTTTTAAAATAAAAATAAGGAAAGGTGTTATGATTGCCAATTAAACTATCCATTAATGACTAAAGGACAAGGATGGGAAATTCTAAGGCCATCAACAATGAGCAAAAAAGATACTGTATATATATAAAAGGCCACAGCATGACAATTCTCAAATATCTCAAACAAAAGTCATATTTAATGTAAAATATGATATGAAACTATCTAGAGGCTCCGAGGAGAAAACATGAATGTGTCCATAGTACACGGATGCCCCACTCGCACTATCATTTTCTATGTTCAGTGGACCATAGAAAATGATAGTGCGAGTGGGGCATCCGTGAAATTGGGGTCAAAACTCTAATTTGGCATTAAAATTAGAAAGATCATATCATAGGGAACATGTGTACTAAGTTTCAAATTGATTGGACTTCAACTTCATCAAAAACTACCTTGACCTAGAACTTAATCCTGAAGCAGGACAGACGGATGAACAAACAGACAGAAGAACGGATGAAGGAATGAACGGACACACAGACCGAAAAACATAATGCCCGTAAATGGGGCATAAAAACGGTCATTTCAGCTTATTTAATGTTTTAGATATAAGCCAGTAAAGAAACACATTTTAGGAGCAACAACTCTTCAAGTAGTCACTAGACATTTAGACTCAATGGAATGTTTTGTAGATCTTGACACAATCATCATTTTAAACCCTGCCAGATTTTTTTATTCTCTTACATTTTTTTTTAATATAAGCCAAACTAGATGCGTCTGAACAACAGGAATGGCCCTGTTTGCAAAACAGCTTGGAGCAATTTTTAGGAGTCAAAATTGGAGAATGAAAATCTGTATAACTGTTATTTTCACGAAATTTTCAAAGTCCAACGCCTGTAATTTCAGCAAAAATCAATGGAGCTGAACCAAATGTAAACTCGATTTGTAACTCACATAGTAGACTCACATACTAAAAATTACCTCAATATGTGATGGCGTTTTGAAAAAAAAGTCTGTATAACTGTTCATTGTGGAATGACGGAATGACAGAATGACAGATAAGGGTAAAACTATATGGCCCCGACAACTTTGTTGCGAGACCATAAAAATAAAGTAAGAGCCTATGTTCTATTTTTAGTAATAGAAGCCATGTTTTAGGTGAATCCACACCAGATAAATTTTATAAACAGGATATTTCAAGGAACATTTATACAAAGTTTTGCTCAAATCTTTTCAGCAGGTTAATAGATTTTTTAATAAGTTGACAGCTTTTTCAAAATAGCTGTCAAGTTTTTCTTGAAATTTTAAGATAGATGGATTTTGCTCATGCCTGCTGATAGTTTCCACCTAACAGTTTGCTCTAAATGCTTTAGTTCTAACTGCTTGATATGTAAGCCAAAGTCTGCAAGGGTGGAAATTTTAGTTGAAAATTTAAAAAATGAAGATATAATTTATAAACTTAATATTTCAAGAAAGTTTTGATTCAAATCCATTAAGCTTAAAAGATACAAAAAGTAAAGATCTACACAAAGATCAATAATGAAAAGAGACATAACATACATTGCAATTTTATAAAAGATGTACATCACAACGAACATTTAATCACCATTAACACGTTCTGTCCTTTGAATCTATCTCTCTCACTACTGACGAAGCAACTTCATTTATAATAATAACAATTTTATAATCGTAATTTAAGATTTCAAAAATTAGAAAAAAATATCCTCGCTTCAGTTATGTGATTACAGCGATGTGTGGAATTCCCATCATGATGTTACTTGATTGGATATATTTGGAATATTTTGTAATACTGATTTTTCCATATTATAAAAGATATGTAAATAAAAAAGGGAGAGCTCGAAATACAATAAAATCATAAGAAACAGAAGGGAAATGTGTTTAAAGCTAAATCTGTTCATTTGTTTATCTCCTTCTCATCAAATCAGTCTTAATGATTGTTTATATTTTGTTTATCTCCTTCTCATCAAATCAGTCTTAATGATTGTTTATATTTTGTTTATCTCCTTCTCATTAAATCAGTCTTTATGATTGTTTATATTTTGTTTATCTCCTTCTCATCAAATCAGTCTTTACGATTGTTTATGTTTTGTTTATCTCCTTCTCATCAAATCGGTCTTTACAATTGTTTATGTTTTGTTTATCTCCTTCTCATCAAATCAGTCTTAATGATTTTTTATATTTTGTTTATCTCCTTCTCATCAAATCAGTCTTTAGAATTGTTTATATTTTCTTCTTTGGATAAATATTGTTTCCAACACTTTAAAATGGAATGCACCGGTATATAAGGCATTGTCATTCATCATTGTTTTCTTACACAGTTTTTTTCCTTGTCATATGAAATTTTTTTACAAGTACAATGGTCGATATAAAAGCGATTAAAGCCAATAAATCATAAACAAAATGTCCAGTACTTCACAATTTGCCTTCAGTGATTGTGAGTACTCTTAGATATTGTATCATTTATTTCTTAATCAGACCTAGGCAGAGTTAAAATCAGATATGATTTTTTATTTAAGTTTTGAGATACATCTTTCCTTGCATATTTTTACTTACAAGTTTATGTGATAATGCTATCCTGCCATTGGTATTATTTCGAAACTGATCTGCAAAGTATCTACACCTCACAGACAAAATACAACGATGTGCTAAATATAGTTGACCTTGGATTTCAAGCTCAATGTCATATCCTGGTTGTCTCTCATATAACCTGAAACATTAAACCAAAAAATGACTAAACATTTTTATTTTAGTTTAGGAGAGCTGGTCACTTGAGAAAGTTCTTAGCTAAAACTTTTATGACTAAATTTTCTACATTGCTCAAACAATTGATTGATTGTTTAACACCACTTTCAACACTATTGTGCTATTTCGTGGCGGTCAGTTTTTATTGGAGTAAGCCGGAGTGCCTCGAGAGAACCATCAACCTTCGGGATGAAAACTGACAATCTTAGTCAATTAAGATTGGAGTCGAGTGCACATGCCGTGTGTAGGATTCGAGCTCACAACCTCAGTGTTGTCTGGCTAGTAATACAGTAGTTCAACTACTTAGACCTCTTGACCATGGAGGCCCCTTCAAACAATTGAATATAAGTTAATGACTAGGTGTTTAATGTTTGGAAATGGAGGAAATTTACCTGTTATTAATAAGCTCGGATATCATTTAATCTTTTTTTTGTTCTACGAAAAATAAATCATGTCTGATGAATTACTGTCTGTAAACCACAGCTGTTTCCATTGTTATGCTGTGTTAAGTAAGTAGAATATCAATTAAAGTCTTACTGTTGTAAATACTCGACATATTTCAGATCTGTACTTTCCACAATTAAGGAACATTCATACTGCTTCAAAACTTGTCTGATGTCGTTAGTCAAAGAAGACAGAAAGCATCTTTGACTATCTACACTGTTGGTGTCATATCTAGCTCCTATAAAAACATTAAAAAAATCCATTGAAGCAAATTAAATTTCAGAGAGTCTGAATGGGGTTTACAGAATGGAGAATAATGGCAGACTAATGTAGTAAATAGAGAAAAGGGAAAAGGAAATAAAGAATAGAGAATAATGGTGTGCAAATTTAAGTAAAAAGAATAACTGTGGATAATGGTGTGCAAAAGTATAAGGAAATAGAGAATAATGGTGTGCAGAAGTATAAAGAATAGAGAATAATGGTGTGCAAAAGTCTACAGAATAGAGAATAATGTATAAAGAACAAGTAATCCTGTGTTAGGATGCTAACACATAAGTCGCCAAAACGGCCCCCAACCATTGTTCTGCTGTTTCCATTGTAACGGCAGCCATTTTGAAATTTCAAAGTCGGATAGCACATCTACACATGACAGGTGACATTACAAGTTTCATAAAAATTGGACCAATTTTCAAATTTAGGCATTCGTGTTTCCATGGTTACGGTGGCCATTTTGGAAATTCCAAAGTCAAATGCCACATCTACATAAGACAGTCAACATTTGTGTAAAGTTTCATTAAGTTTGAAGCATTTTGAATTTTTTGACATTTTTGCAGTTTCCATGGTAACGGCAGCCATTTTGAAAATTCCAAAGTCGGATGGCACATCTACACATGACAGGTCACATTACTGTTAAGTTTCATAAAGATTGGACCAAATCTAGATTTTTCGCATTTTTGTTGTTTCCATGGCAACGACGGCCATTTTGGAAATTCCAAAGTCAAATTCCAAATCAACATACACTTTTTAACAACTGTGTAAAATTTCATTAAATTTGAAGCATTTTTAAAAAATTTCACATTTTTGCAGTTTCCATGGTAACGGCGGCCATTTTAAAAATTCCAAAGTCGAATTACAGCTACATATGGTGCTACCTGTAATAATCTATCATTATATAACATAAAAAGTACATAGGAATAATTCAACACTATCACATGACTAATCACATGACTATTGTTCTAGAATGTTCCATGAAAATTGACCCCCTAAAATAATGCCAAGATGACCCCGGGCTGAAATAAAAAATGTGGAATGGACACCTGGACATCGGTCTCTTGTATTACACAAAACTTATAGGTTCTACCAGTAGCGAATCAATAGTCGAAAAATGACCCCACCCATGTTCCGGCCCCCAAATAGTGCCAAGTTGACCCCCATTTGAAATAAAAAATAGTGAATGCACCCCTAGGGATACTACCCCATCATCATACCAAATATAAAGTTTCCATCATTTAAGGCTTGGAAGGAAATGGTCGGACAAATTAGGGTTAAGAAGAATAATAATAATAGCTAAATTTGCCATTGCAAGCAATAGCGGATGTCACCCTTCCCCCCATTGCCACTAAGTGGCAGCCATTTCAAAAATTTTAAACAGTGAATGCACATATATGCATGGCAATACATCTTTCTGTAAATTTTCAGAACATTTGGAGCATTTTGAAATTTTCACATTTTTGCTGTTTCCATGGCAAGAGTGACCATTTTGGAAATTCCAAAGTCAAAAGTCTTATCTATACATGGCAGTTAGCATTAATATAAAGTTATACTAAGTTTGGTGCATTTTGAAATTTTTGACATTTTTGCTGGTTTCCATGGTAACAAAGACCATTCCCAAAATTGTAATGACAGATGCCACATTGGTACATGGGAGGGAACAAACCATCAAAGTTTCAATGGATTTGACCTACCATTTTAAGAGAGAAAATGCTACTTTAAGGTTTTTCCCATAGGGTTATAATAAGAAACCTTTCCCCAGTTCCATGGCAATACAGTAGTTCCGTTGATTCTTAAAATCATCCAAAACCTGTATATAGTGGATACCTATGTTGTATAAAAATTTGATGATTTTTAGGTTAGGCATTCTCAAATTAGTCATCAAAAACAAAAAAAATATTTTTCACATTTTTGCTGTTTCCATGGAAACAGCGGCCATTTTAAAGTTCCAAAGTTTCACTGCAACTCCACTGATGGTGGTCCTCATTATGCTCAACAATCATGAAGATTGGTTCCATTGCCTCTGAGAAAACTGCCGGACAAAATTAGGTGGAAGAAAAATAATAATAATAGGGAAAAAGAAACAGAGGAAAAGCAATATGTCACCCGACATTGTCGATCGGGTGACATAATAATAATAAGAAACGGGACAAAAACATAAAGTCCCCAAAACTCCGTTTTGGCGACTTAATAACTGTGGATAATAAAAGAATTATGCAATACTGATTATAGAAATGAAGGACGTACAGAATAAAGAAATCTTAAACGTAAAATCTTGTTCATGAGAATTCTACAGAATAAGAATCCTTTTTAAAGATAAAGAAAAATCCCCTAAAAATTAAAAGAATTCAGAAATCAAGGACCCCCCATCTAGACCTTCATTTCAGTTATTGTTACAATATTATAGAAGTAAAATATAACTCATATTCCTAGTTATAATTATATCTAACATTTAAACAGGAGGGTAATACCAACAGCCTTTTGTGAAATGGCTGTTCTGACTAGCCAACATACTGTTTACCACATTTACACTGTAGAAGGTACACATCATTTGTAGTCTTGCAATTAACATTGCAAAATATGGTGTGTTCCGTACCAGTGAAGTGACTGTTAAAAGCCTGGGTTTTCAGTATTTGCTTGCAAGTCAGACATCGTTTGTTTCAGCATCCCTTACAAGAGCCCACAGACGAAGAGCCTGATTTAGAGGATAAATCAGCTCTCACCAGCAAGTCTTTTTAGGCTTTTGGGCCTACGGAAAGCCAGTACCGGTGGCTCAGGAAAGATCTTGGATAGTTTAGGATGTTTTTCGATTTCTTTCCAATTTTCGCAGATAAGGTGTGATAACTTGTCAAATTTGGGATGGTAAGTCAGCACAAATGGCACTCTTTTGTTGACCTTTTTGTCCTTATATTGTAAAAGTTCATCTTGGCTGATGTTGTTAGCACGAGAGAAACCTTTATCCATGTCTTTTCTTCTGTAGCCCTGATTTTTTAGGTGACCGCGAAGTTCTTTTAGTCGCCTTCTTGCAGTATCATTCGTGGAGCAAATCCATTTTATTCGTATGGCCTGGCTATGGAATGCTCTTGGTGCAATGTTTAGGTTGACAACTCAAAGGAGAAAGATATTGATGTTTGTCTGGGGGCTTGCAATACAGATCTGTAAATATGATATATATACATAACTCGTCTCAAATTTAGCCCAACAATGTTAGATCTTCAAATTTGCGTCACTCAGCGGGATTCGAACCCTTGCTTCTGTGACACCGTGGCAACACCGCCTGCACCGTGTCCAGCGCCCTAGACCACTCGACCACCTAGGCTACATAAAAATATAGCTTTCGGTGGTTGATGTAATGCCTTTCCTCGTTGGCTTTATCTAGGGTTGTAACACAGTACATGATGTATAGTGGCAAGTAGATGGTGTACCTTTCAGATCAGATATTTTGTCTGTCTTAAAGGATGATAATGTAAATTACCATGCCGCCACATCAAATTTTAATTTTATTATACACGTCTAAACATGTGACAACTTTATGACATACATTCTCCATCGGATAACACGTAGTTATACAGGGCTAACACCATAATATATATATATATATATAACTCCTCTCAAATTTAGCCCAACAACGTTAGATCTTCAATATATATATAGATCTATATACCGGTATACATAATTACTCTAAATATCAGGACAACAATGCTAAATCTTCAAATTTGTGGAAGCAAATTTTTGATCTATATATATATATATATATATATATATATATATATATATATAGGTCAGCCACAATTTATAGGGTCCAAGAAATACACATTTTTTAAAGGATTGTGTACAGACTTTAACAAATCCACGAAATTAAATATATGAGCTGTGTCGGATAGTAATCGACCTTATGCAAATGAATATCAATACATCTGTTAACTTATTTCGAATAGAAAAAATCACTATGGAAAGTCTGTAACTGTTTGAAAATTGAATTGTTATAAGAACCCTACAAAACAGATAAAAATTCATCTTTTATTTCGTATTTGAATGTTCCAAAATCAATCAAAGTCTTAAACATGTACATGTATACATGCACTTGCATAAGGTCAATTTCGATCCAACGCAGCTCATATGTTAATACTGTGGATTCATTTATTTATGGTTTGTGGAAAATTTGTATTTTCGTAGAGAACTTTTCATTGTTTTGACAAACCTATAGGTAATTTACAATTTTTAACATATTTGTGGGTCACCTTTTTCTGAAGAATCCACAAAATTAATTTCCCACAAATAAAAATGGATGATGAATCTATATGTTCTCACTTGGTGCCTTTAACTTCTAAAACAACCATTGGTGTTTCTGTAATAACAAAATTGCAATGGAACCTTCCCAATGATAAAGATGAAGCCTTTCGAACAGTAAATATTACCAAAATGTCTTCTAATGAGAAACACAACAGGTGCCACTAGTGGATTAGGAGCTGCTCACCTGTTTGGAACACCTGAGTTCACCCCTGCTTTTGGATTGCTTTGCTTTAATTTTCAGTGTTGTATTTTGTGCTAATCTATTTTTTAATGTTGTGTTTTGTGCTAATCTATTTTTTATTATTATACTTCATGTCAAAATGCCAGATTTTGATTGGTTAATGCAAGGGAGACAATTTACTCTATCCCATGGCAAATACTCTATTACCCTTCACGGAGACGCTTGCTCAAGTGTGCGCTTTAATAAATACGGATGATTGTTATGTACAAGACGTCATAGTTTATTACTTTGAATTTGAAATTTAATATACAGTCATAACAGAACATTCAGTATGATAAATTAAATAACACATATCTGAGAGGGTGATAGAGCAGATTGTTACCCCTCGAAAAGACATTGTCAACCTTGGCTTCGCCTCAGTTGACAATGTTTTCTAGGGGAAACAATCTGCTCTATCACCCTCTCAGCTATATGTCATTTATATAATGTTGTATTTTTCAATGCTTGTACCATTCTGTCAAGTTCTAGGGTTAGAAAATGTACATGTTCCAAGGGTCTTTGAATTTTGTGATTTTTTAGGTTTAGCCAACAAAGAAAAGAGACTAACTAATTTGCTATTCATAAACATATTTTTACAAGAATAACCCATCATGTGTCACTATTGGAGCAGGATCTGCAAACCCTTTCATGTTTTTGGTGAGGTTCTTGTTTGGTCAATATTTAGCTTTCTGTGCAGTGTTTGGACTGTAGTTTCTGTGCTGTGTTTGGACTGTTGTTTCTGTGCAGTGTTTGGACTGAAGTTTCTGTGCAGTGTTTGGACTGTAGTTTCTGTGCTGTGTTTGGACTGTTGTTTCTGTGCAGTGTTTGGACTGTAGTTCCTGTGCAGTGTTTGGACTGTAGTTTCTGTGCAGTGATTGGACTGTAGTTTCTGTGCTATGTTTGGACTGTAGTTTCAATGCTGTGTTTGGACTGTAGTTTCTGTGTTGTGTTTGGACTGTAGTTTCTGTGCAGTGTTGGGACTGTAGTTTCTGTACAGTGTTTGGACTGTAGTTTCTGTACAGTGTTTGGACTGTAGTTTCTGTGCAGTGTTGGGACTGTAGTTTCTGTACAGTGTTTGGACTGTAGTTTTGTCTATCGGTTGTTTTAGGTTTCAGTAACAGCATTTTGTTTTTTTTTGTCAATTTATGGTTTTTAATGGCCTCCTTGGTATCTTTTTTAAACTTGTGACAAATATAATCATACAAAACAGACATCATGATTACCTTTCTGTAACAGATATTTGACAGCACTCAGGTGTCCACACAAACAAGCCAAGTACCTGTTAAATAAAGGTATAGTTTTCAGCAGGATATAGTGCTATGTATATTTCCTTGAATTTCCTACAATTATTGTATGGTGTACATCTATTATCCAAAATATACATTGAATATTTACCACTGGATGTTAAACAACTAACAATCAATCATGTCTATCTATTTCATATGTATTCCTCTAGCAAGATTAATGATTTTATATTATCAAACAAAACAAAACATGGGGGATTGGGAGGCACTTTTTAAGACTCTGACCACCCATGAAATAAAACTTTTTATTTTACATATAATTCTTGCAAAATTCTTACGAAAATGCAACCACTCATATTTAATTTATCTGACAGCCTCCAATCTCCCACCTGATTATTTTTGGAACAGCTCTAATTTATTCCATTATTTTCTCTGAAATTTACTTGAACATTGAGGAATATGAAGGCATTCTATAGTTTTATCCTTTTCAAGTGGTTTTGCCAATACAAGTTATTGAAGATTATATTCATTAAACCATATAAATTTTATTTCCTTGCTAAGGAACTATTTAAATACAATTGATTGTATTTGAAAATCTTCCAAGACTTGTAGTACTTTTATTGTTTCATGTCTTGGTGGTAGTAGGAAATGGAATTTTCTAATATAAAAGGTTAGTGTCGACCAAAATACAAATACAATACTAATGACACATTGTCTAAACACACGTTACTTTTCAATTAGGGAAATTGTGGAAATTCTGAATTTTTCTTTGTCACAATCTTGGCGATTTTCTGGAAAATTTGAAATAAATATTTATACAAACAATGGTAAAATAGAATCTGTAATACTTACAATGGAGTATTAAATCAGGAAATTATGGAAATTCTGTATTTTTCTTTATCAAAGTTTTGTAAAGATCCAATCAAATTTGACATAAATAAACAATGGTACTTTAGAAACTGTTATACTTACAATGGAGTATTATCCCAAGCATCAGTAGTGTTAACATTGATGCCCTGGCCTTCTATGGAATGCCTGGAAAAATAGGAACAAACTTCAGTTCAGGGATTTATACAAAATATACATAAAAATATTGCACTTTTTAAAAGGGTAAAACGATTAGTCAAAGAAGCTGTAGTGAGTACTTTGTTTAGAAAATGATCGAATCCTGCTGAGGGAAGAACAAAAATTTGCTTTCATAATATATTTATTGATATATATATTTATACATTATGTAAATCAATGCATCTATCATCATTTTAATACTTTACAATTTTATATTGTACAAGGTCCTTAACTTTTCCAGAAAGACTTATGACAATTCCAACACTATATCCATTCAGATATTATACTGATTTATATTGAAGTCAATGAAAATCTGTTTATTAAGCCCTATCAATTAAATATTCAATTTCTAAAATATGAATGAAAATCATGGCCTAATGGGTTTTTGAAGTTGATCTACAACACCTATGTTATAAATACTGTGGATTAGTTGTTATAAGTGGGATACTAATTTTTATGGATTTCAATGGTATCAGTGACCCATGAATCATAATAATCACCAACATGCACCAGTTTATATGCAAAATTTGGTAAAACTACGAAATCAAATACCTACGAAAATACAACATACAATTTTTCCTCAATCCACAAAAAATTGGTAGCCGTGAAAATAAACACGATAAATGAATCCACAGTATATTGATTTAATATTAACATGATTAAGCAGCAATCTAGATTTAAATAAAATACGACAAAAACATGATATATGTGACTAATAAACAGGATAAGGTAACTCTTCTGCATAAAAAATCATCCTGAATATGCATGAAATATTTGCCACTGGATGTTAAGCAACCAGCAATCAATCAATCTTCATAAAAATTATATATATATATATATATATATATATATATATATATATATATATATATATTCAAAGGAAATAACTGTTATTGTTCTTAATTGGCTATCAGGCATTTCTTTTTTGTATGCTCATTCAATTATCTCCATTAAAAAGCTTCATATATGAGTTGCAGCAGATATTTTACAATACATTTTAATATATGTTTCTTACTGTTAAATGTTAAATATTGTAAAAATTGTTTGGTTTATTTTTCCAGCTTTGATGATTTAAATTGCTCAAATACAACAAAAACTACTTTTATGTGCAAACAAAACTGATAGCATTGTTTTTAAATATATATTATATCATTTTCTAAACAAATTACTCACTACAACTTTTCTTTTCTATGTTTATGACTTCCTTCAACATTTTGCACCAGAAATATCCTTATGTCACTTATTAGCCATTTATGTGTTGGCTTCCTAAGTCAGGAACCTGTTTCAGTGGTTGTCGTTTGTTGGTGTGGTTCATAAGTGTTTCTCGTTTCTCTTTTTTTGTATAGATTAGACCGTTGATAGGTAAAGTCACATGGTACAAAGAAACAATCACTCAAATTCATTTGATGGGGGACTTTCCTTTTTGAAGTTTGGTTTCTTTGTTATTTTACTTTTTTTCAATTTGACAAAGCACATGTATTTTGTTTTTGATTTGATTGGAAGGCTGTTACACTTTTTACAATTCAAATCAAATCAAATCAAATGTTTTATTGTCGTACAAACTTTACAGTTTGTGACCAACATGTATTAACACAATAAACATATATACATACATATCAAACAAACACAATAAAAACAGCATCAAAATTTACAAAACAAACAAGCTGTTAAGAGTCCCCTGCCCTCAGTTCTAATGACTTTTTCAAGAAGGATCCTAACTTATTTGTTTGTAAAGGCGTTGATGGATTTAGTAAATAATGAATTTTTTCTTCTTCATTTTACACTTACTCAATCAGGTAATTAACACTTCAAAAAAATAAAATTAACATAGAGACCTAATGAGAAACTTTTTTAATTATACACCAAAACTTATGATATTAATAGTCAGATTTCGTATATATCATTTATCAACATAAATCAAGGAAAAAAATATTAATTTGAAATAAAATGCTCCGCTGGGGCGCAGCTTGATACGACCGCAGAGGTCGAACCCTGAACAGTTGGGGCAAGTATGGACACAACATTCAAGCTTGATACAGCACTGAATTTGGATTGTAATTAAATATTTGACACAGCATACAGGGGCGTAGCTGGCCTAAAATAAAGTGCAAGCATAAGTATTGTATCGCCGAGCAGAGCGAGGCGAAAAATTTTTTGGGACCTTTTTATGCAGAAATTTTTTATTTTCGGTCATTTTCCAGGTATGCCATGCTTATGAAATTCACATTACTCCTTATTAACATGGTTGTTTTCAAATATAAAATAAGTTTTATAAAACGGGAAGATCAGTCGACAAGTCAACCGTAGCGTTTATCAATAGAAGGGCAATCAATGGACACATGACCAACCCGGGAACAGATAAGACACAAAAGAACAAACAAAAACATTCAATATTGAAAACTAAATAAATAATTACAAATAAAAAACATGAACCCCGAAAAAAAAATGTGGCGACCTCCAGTGCTCCGGAAGGGTAAGCAGCTCCTGCTTCTTGCAAGACACCCGACCGTCGCGTTTCTCACTAAGGTCATTTACGATTCAAAGGAGGGGTTTCTACCACAACGGTAGAAGGTCACTTGGGACACAGATACCCAAGGTGAATTAATAGTCTTTTGGACGAACGGACAATGGGAATACGAAATCAAACGGCGACTTTTAAGTCTTGACTTATAAGGGAGGGATATAAATCTAAGATGTTTTCAAGGTTATTGTATTGAGCCTGTATTATTAAATGTTAATACTGCATGTAATACTTAAAGTATAGTTAATATCCAAAGTCCATATATCTATTTTTTGCCAAGGCAAATGATCGCAGAACTCTCTCGGTGTCGATATTCATTTCTCTGTGAACATGTATGAGCGCCAAGGAAGATAGTCTGTCCTATACCATGGTTGAACGGAAATAAGTTTTCAGTCGCCGTAATGCACTAAATGACCGTTCAGAAGTTGATGTAGTTACTGGCATTGTAACTAGGATTGACACGATTGCAAACTATTGAAGGATATAGTTCCTTTTTAGTCACTGCTAGAGACGACATCAGAGATTTGGGCTACTCTATAACATCTGGACCCGACCAGCGTCTCTGCCATCTCTTTACCTCAGAGTTGAAGGTTTCTTGATTGTCCGTCAAGTCGTGTCTAAATGTTTCGTATAGTTTGTCTATACACTCTGCTGTCAAAGATTCCAAACTTGCAGGTATAAGGTTCTGGCCTTGAAAACGATCAGAGTTATCCAGTAAACATCCTGTGAGTTCCTCAATGAAATAGTCAAGAAAGGAGAAATACAAGGCTCGCTTCCAATACTGACTTGGAGTGTCAGCTGGATAGTTAGCCCGGTTGACCTGTCTTCCTACTCATTCGTAATTCAATTTCAGAATTATTTTGTTTGTGAAAAAAATGTGCAAGCAAATGATTTTTTGCGTAAAGGCAGCTACGCGCCTTGCATAGGTTTCTGACACAGAATAAATGTGGTCTTAGAACTTAAAATTTTTTAATTTATCTATTCAAACCATATCATTATTATTTGCTTTTATATATAAATCAGAAATAACGAATTTGAAATGGAAAATTTTAAAGAAAATAAAATGCTCCGCAGGGCGCAGCTTGATACGACCGCAGAGGTCGAACCCTGAACAGTTGGGGCAAGTATGGACACAACATTCAAGCTTGATACAGCTTTGCATTTGGATTGTGATTAAATATTTGACACAGCATAGGTTTCTGACACAGAATGAATGTGGTCTAAGAACTTAAAAATTTTAAATTGGACATTCACCTATTATTGTCCAATATCCAAAATCTAAATACATGGTTAGATTCAGCATATCAAAGAACCCCAAGAATTCAATTTTTGATGAAATCAAACAAAGTTTAATTTTGGACCCTTTTGACCTCAATGTGGACAAAGTTGATAACGGGGCCCAAAAATCAAAAATCTAAATACATGGTTAGAATCAGCATATCAAAGAACCCCATATATTCAATTTTTGTTGAAATCAAACAAAGTTTAATTTTGGACCCCGATTTGGACAAACTTGAAAACTGGGCCCATAATCAAAAATCTAAATACATGTTTAGATTCAGCATATCAAAGAACCCTAAGAATTCAATTTTTGTTAAAATCAAACTAAGTTTAATTTTGGACCCTTTGGACCTTAATGTAGACCAATTTGAAAACGGAACCAAAAATTAAGAATCTAAATACACGGTTAGATTCGGCATATCAAAGAACCCCAATAATTCAATTTTTGATGAAATCAAACAAAGTTTAATTTTGGACCCTTTGGACCTCAATGTGGACCAATTTAAAAACGGGGCCCAAAATTTAAAAACTAAATACACGGTTAGATACAGCATATTAAAGAACCCCAAGAATTCAAGAATAAAACCCCATTGAAATTGGTCAAGAAATAAGCAATTTATACGAAGACTCTTCTTTTGCACAATACTGTGCAATTAAATATTTCTTGCTATTGTGCATTACTGTACATTGGACAATTTCTTGCTATTGCGCAATATTGTGCTATTGGATATTTCTTGCTATTGCGCAATACTGTGCAATTGAAGATTTCTTGCTATTGCGCAATACTGTGCAATTGAAGATTTCTTGCTATTGTGCAATACTGTGCAATTGAAAATTTCTTGCTATTGCACAATACTTATTATATAATAATTTACACATCCTGTTTGGTGTGTATCTCCTACCATATCATTATTATTTGCTTTTAAATATAAATCAGAAATAACCAACTTAAAATGGAAAATTTTAGAAGAAAAAAAAAGGAAAAAAAGAAAAAAAAAGAAAAAAAAAAAAATCCCCCCCCCCCCACAAATTTTTTGAACCCCCTTATGATTCATCACCCCCAAACTCAATCCCAGCCTTCCCTTTGTGGTATGGTACCGTGCAGTACAATTTCAGAGAGATCCATACACTTGAACACAAGTTATTGTCTGGAAACTAAGAAATGCTTATTTTTGGCCCCTTTTTGGCCCCAAATTCCTAAACGTTTAGGGCAATTACCCCCAAACTCAAACCCAGCTTTCCCTTTGTGATATGGAACCTTGTAGTACAATTTCAGAAAGATCCATACACTTACACACAAGTTATTGTCCTGAAACTAGAAAAATGCTTGTTTTTTGCCCCTTTTTGGCCCCTAATTTCTAAAATATTGAGGAAATTACCCCCATCATCAATCCCAGCCTTCCCTTTGTGGTATGGTACCTTGCAGTACAATTTCAGAGAGATCCATACACTTGAACACAAGTTATTGTCTGGAAACTAGAAAAATGCTTATTTTTGGCCCCTTTTTCGCCCCCAATTCCTAAACGTTTCGGCAATTACCCCCAAACTCAATTCCAACTTTCCCTTTGTAATATGGAACCTTGTAGTACAATTTCAGAAAGATCCATACACTTACACACAAGTTATTGTCATGAAACTAGAAAAATGCTTGTTTTTTGCCCCTTTTTTGGCCCCTAATTCCTAAAATTTTAAGGCAATTACCCTCAAAATCAATCCCAGTATTCCTTTTGTGATATGGAACCTTGTGGTACAATGTCAGAGAGATCCATACACTAACACACAAGTTATGTCTGGAAGTTACAAAAATGCTTATTTTTGGCCCCTTTTTGGCCCCTAATTCCTTTACTGTTGGTACCATAACCCTTAAAATCAATCCCAACCTTCCTTTTGTGGTATTGAACCTTGTGGTAAAATTTCATAGAGATCCATTCACTTAAACTAAAGTTAGAGTGCGAAAACCAATGTGTCTTCGGACGACGCCGGACGACGACGACGACGACGACGCCAACGTCATACCAATATACGACCACAAAAATTTTTTTGCGGTCGTATAAAAAAGGAAACCCCCCCCCCCAAATTTTTTGAACCCCCTTATGATTCATCACCCCCAAACTCAATCTCAGCCTTCCCTTTGTGGTATGGTACCTTGCAGTACACATACATGTGATGGACTGTGAAACTAAGATCAGGAGTTTGGGAGATTAGGACTCAGATCAGGAGGTTTTTAATCGACATAAATTCTGTCGTAAATGTAACCGTGTGCTGTAGAAATTGTCTGTTAAAGTGTGTTTTCTTCAACTTTCCATCAGAATGTATTATGTTTATAGTACCCTTGTACTTATAGATTTTCTCTATCTTTTTAAATTTTCAACTTGTTCAATCTAACATTCTTCTTTTTTAGTATGTTCTTTAAATTTTTTAGGTCATATCTTTTATACCATTATTCATTGCAATCAGAACATTTGCTTATCTATCTGCAAGTAGATCATTTATTTTTATCTTTATGCAAGTAGATTTTTAATGTATGATAAGTAACTCATTCAAACTTTAATCATGGGTCATAGTTATTATATTAATTTCAATTTAAGCCTTGAAAGGAAGTATAGAACCCTCAAATAATTTTCAAATTATTATTTTTTTATTTGTCCTAAGACATTTAAAAGACTTAATTACCATCCTTTTATGATTATTTGTTCAATTTATATTTTATTTATATTCTTTTAAAAATTTACATTATTTAAAGGAAAGTAACTTAAAACAGGATAAATCAAGGGAAGTAACCCAAAATTCATTTTAAATAAACAAAGTTTTATTACACAACGGCAGTTAGCCTGAGGTAAAAATCGTTGATTACCAGTATGTTTGACACCCAAGGTGACAAGTGAAGCCATATAATTATGCATGTTAATTGATTTACAGGTAAAATATAACTTCAGTAATGTCAGTTACACCAGATATGTTGGGCTGAAATTTTTCATTCATGAAATATTTCATACACGGGATTTTTTGTCTTCTACGGGAGGTCGGGAGGAGACCCCTGAAAACGGGATTATTGTAATCCCGTCGGGAGGTTCACATGTATGACTGTACAATTTCAGAGAGATCCATACACTTGAACACAAGTTATTGTCTGGAAACTAGAAAAATGCTTGTTTTTTGGCCCCTTTTTGGCCCCAAATTCCTAAACATTTAGGGCAGTTACCCCCAAACTCAAACCCAGCTTTCTCTTTGTGATATGGAACCTTGCAGTACAATTTCATAAAGATCATTACACTAATACACACAAGTTATTGTCCTGAAACTAGAAAAATGCTTGTTTTTTTTCCCCTTTATGGCCCCTAATTCCTCAAATTTCTAGGGAATTACCCCCAAAATCAATCCCAGCATTCCCTTTGTGGTATGGTACCTTGCAGTACAATTTCAGAGAGATCCATACACTTGAACACAAGTTATTGTCTGGAAACTAGAAAAATGCTTACTTTTGGCCCCTTATTCCTAAACGTTGTGGGCAGTTAACCCAAAAATCAATTCCAGCTTTCCCTTTGTGATATGGAACCTTGCAGTACAATTTCATAAAGATCCATACACTTACACACAAGTTATTGTCATGAAACTAGAAAAATGCTTGTTTTTTTGCCCCTTTTTGGCCCCTTATTCCTAAAATTTGGAGGCAATTACCCCCAAAATCAATCCCAGCATTCCCTTTGTAATATGGAACCTTGTGGTACAATGTCAGAGAGATCCATACACTTACACACAAGTTATTGTCATGAAACTAGAAAAATGCTTGTTTTTTGGCCCTTTTTGGCCCCTAATTCCTAAAATTTGGAGGCAATTACCCCCAAAATCAATCCCAGCATTCCCTTTGTGATATGGAACCTTGTGGTACAATGTCAGAGAGATCCATACACTAACACACAAGTTATGTCTGGAAGTTACAAAAATGCTTATTTTTGGCCCCTTTTTGGCCCCTAATTCCATTAACTGTTGGTACCATAACCCCCAAAATCAATCCCCACCTTCCTTTTGTGGTATTGAACCTTATGGTAAAATTTCATAGAGATCCATTCACTTAAACTAAAGTTAGAGTGCGAAAACAAATGTGTCTTCGGAGGACGACGCCGGACGACGACGACGACTAAAATGTCATACCAATATACGACCACAAAATTTTTTTGCGGTTGTATAAAAATGGATTTTAAAGAATTTTTTTCTGCAAATATATATAGAGGTCAAATGGACAATAACAGAAATTCAGTGTGTTTTGATCCAAGTTACCTGATAGAACTAACATCACCGAGTCTAACACTTCTAAAAAAATCTTTCAAGTCTCGACTCATCTGTCTTCCATATCTGGCTGATTGTTTATCCTGAAAGTATTCAAATGTAAATAAATAAATGGAGAAGGTGTCCACTTGTATATGTAACGCTATAAAGGGGCAAAACTCGAGAACGGTAAAAGTGATGCCATCCAAATTTGAACTTGATCTGTGTTTTGTGGTAATAAGCATTGTGTATAAGTTTCATAACATTTGGTTGAGGCAAACTTAAGTTAGAGAACGGAATTTTGGGACTTACATACAGGAACACTTAATGCCCCCTCCGGAGACGACGGGGGCATAAAAATGATGAGGCGCAATAAAATTAAGGATTTTAATTTTGTAACACTTTAATCTTCTTATTTTGTTCAAAGTTTCCTTGAAAATAGCTCTATACATTAAATCTACAAATTTGAAAAAAAATGTTTTATTTGTAATTTGAGAGATATTTTCCACATAAAAGTAATTTAAAAGTATTATTAGATAATAAGCATGAATAAAACTGTTACCACAGCAGCAATACAGAGTAGCTAATGTCCCCACATGAGTACATTTCTAATGGCAATTTACTTTCCAAGTAGGTTATTGACCCAAACTGATTTTCAGACTTGTCCCAGGTATTCAGAAGCAGATCCAGGATTAAGTGGGGAGTCACTCCTTTGAATTAAGAATTAGAGGTCCTCATTTGGAAACAAAATTGTCTGTTACTCTTAATTTTAACTTTATTACAATTTTTTTTCCCTTTCTTTTAGTGGGTGTCCACACCTCTAATGAAAACTATTGACACTATATGCTGATTTCTTCAATAAGAAATATACACAAAATAGCAATTAATATATTGACTTTTGTCTTGCACTTCCCTGGTTTAAGTCCATACATATACAGAGCTTTAATAGGTTCCAATGACATATACTGCAAGTAGTTAATTAAAAAGTGACTATATAAGAATTCAACAGAGACTTTATAAGATCTCTTATCAGCATAAAATTGTTGAACATGTTAAAGGGACAAAAACAACAACAAATGACAATATTACAGACGTAGAACAGACACATTAGTATGTGGTGTGATTAACCCAATAGATGATAACAAATGACAATATTACAGATGTAGAACAGACACATTAGTATGTGGTGTGATTAACCCAATAGATGACAACAAATGACAATATAACAGACGTAGAACATTCACATTAGTATGTGGTGTGATTAACCCAATAGATGACAACAAATGACAATATAACAGACGTAGAACAGACACATTAGTATGTGGTGTGATTAACCCAATAGATGACAACAAATGACAATATTACAGACGTAGAACTGACACATTAGTATGTGGTGTGATTAACCCAATAGATGACAAAAAATGACATTATTACAGAGGTAGAACTGACACATTAGTATGTGGTGTGATTAACCCAATAGATGACAACAAATGACAATATTACAGACGTAGAACTGACACATTAGTATGTGATGTGATTAACCCAATAGATGACAACAAATGACAATATTACAGACGTAGAACTGACACATTAGTATGTGATGTGATTAACCCAATAGATGATAACAAATGACAATATTACAGACGTAGAACTGACACATTAGTATGTGGTGTGATTAACCCAATAGATGACATCAAATGACAATATTACAGACGTAGAACTGACACATTAGTATGTGGTGTGATTAACCCAATAGATGACATCAAATGACAATATTACAGACGTTGAACTGACACATTAGTATGTGGTGTGATTAACCCAATAGATGACAACAAATGACAATATTACAGACGTTGAACTGACACATTAGTATGTGGTGTGATTAACCCAATAGATGACAACAAATGACAATATTACAGACGTAGAACTGACACATTAGTATGTGGTGTGATTAACCCAATAGATGACAACAAAAGACAATATTACAGACGTAGAACTGACACATTAGTATGTGATGTGATTAACCCAATAATTGAAACAATATCTATGACTGACTATTATTTACTCATAATCTTGTGTAGACCTGAAAAGCCAACCAAGATGAAGCTACAAACCAAATATCAAGAAGATATCACAGTTGCTATGAATTGAGTGGTAGGATATGTGACAAACATTTACATGCAATGACATAGAAAAGACTGTATACACTCTTCCTCACCCTAAGTTAAAGTGTGTAGCACAATCTTCTGACTCAAGACTCTATTTACACTGAGCAATCATTTGGTTTGTTTGTTGTTAAACATCTTTCTTATTGTCCACTGAACAAATTGTTGGTCCTTTTGATAATTTCCTGTACAATATTCTACCTTTGTCATGTTTGTTCTAACCTCTTTTTTTGTTGGTACCTCGAATTATCGATTCCCCCTTAGCAATGCTTAGAATTCACCAAAAAATATTTTTATTCATGAAATCACCAAATTGATACAGGAAGAAATATATGTATCACAGTATTACAGTCTACAAATATCAATCTTCTGAGGTCTAATGTCAGGATCGATTGTTATGTCAGAGTAAAAACTATACCTCAATTAATGGTCTATCACTTCTAGAATAAAATGTGCAGTATACATTCAAGAGGGATTTTGGGATTCAAAGTAAACTAAAACTTTTCAGAGAGAAAGCAGTGAGTTCAAAGGGTTAAATGCTTTTTACACCTGCTACTTAAAGCCCACTCTTAAAATTTATATGGAACAAATTTTTATTACAGTATTGTACCAGTATTGCAATTGCTAAATACAAGAGAGCCTTAAATACATCTTATCGGCTATTCATTCCAATTCGGATAAGTTCTGAAATTACACAACTTTTTCATCCAGTTGAAGGTATCTGGGGCCCTCCCTGTTTAAACAATGTAGTATGCATAAAACTTATCAAAGAGACACGTTTAAACCATCGTAAACACTTCAAACAAAGCATTTTTATGATTTTAATTTGCTTTTAAAGAGGTTGATCAAAATCTATCAAGGTTTCAAAATGTTTGCTTTCTAAACTTTTAAATTCATCAGCTCGTTACTGATGACCTTTGTTTTGCAACACTTAACCCAAACAGGAAGTTGTCTAAGTGACTTTTTTTTCCCGATTGGACTAAATAGCAATAAGGTGTATCTCTGGGTTACTGATACATGCACTTGTTTCTATTGAATTCTATTTCATTGATAGAAGCAAGTACCTGTGGTTACTGGCCCAAAAGTTTTCTGAGAATCAAACACAGTCACAGCCACTTGTTTCTATCCATGGGACTATCCTTCTATTATATATGGATATTCGACCTTCCCATGGATAGAAACATAGATATAATAGCCATAGATAAAGCACTGACCCCTCATCAAAAGCAGATCATATTTGCCGAATTTTTATCACCCACTTACTATTGACATGTCACGGATGGTGTTAGTTATCCATAATTGGTAGTTGCTGTCAATCAATATCAAAAAGATAACCAATAGGAAGCGTGTTTTATGATTATTTGGGGTATATTATCGTTAAAATTTTACGAACTTATCTACTTTATTTGGGGTTTTTATTCCTGCATGTGACTATTGCACTGCAATTATATATTAAATAGTCAAAGGTTACTTTCATTCAATTTCGATGAACCATTTTACTATGCCTTCTATGTCTGATACGAATGAAACTGCATTTACCCGATAATAAATTGATGATTTTTTGTTCATTTCATGCCCAATGTCTTTAAAGTGACATCATGTATGTAGATCTGTCATTTCGGAGGTTTTCTTGTACACTAGTATATATAAATGCAGGGATAAACTTGTGTATTGAGATTCACGCCGTTTACAGGCGAAGAAATTGTGATCTGTGTCATGCATTTGAAGAATAATAAAATGCTCCGCTGGGCGCAGCTTGATACGACCGCAGAGGTCAAACCCTGAACAGTTGGGGCAAGTATGGACACAACATTCAAGCTTGATACAGCTCTGAATTTGGATTGTGATTAAATATTTGACACAGCATAGGTTTCTGACACAATGAATGTGGTCTAAAAACTTAAAAAATTTTAATTTACCTATTATGGTCCAATATCCAAAATCTAAATACATTCACGGTTAGATTCAGCATATCAAAGAGCCCCAAGAATTCAATTTTTGTTAAAATCAAACTAACCCTTTGGACCTTAATGTAGACCAATTTGAAAACAGGACCAAAAATTAAGAATCTAAATACACGGTTAGATTCAGCATATCAAAGAACCACAATATTTCAATTTTTGATGAAATCAAACCATATCATTATTATTTGCTTTTATATATAGATAATAAATAACCAACTTAAAATGGAAAATTTTAAAGAAAAAAAAAAGGAAAAAAAGGAAAAATAAAAAAGGGGAAAAAAAATCCCCCCCAATTTTTTTAACCCCCTTACGATTCATCACCCCCAAACTCAATCCCAGCCTTCCCTTTGTGGTATGGTACCTTGCAGTACAATTTCAGAGAGATCCATACACTTGAACACAAGTTATTGTCTGGAAACTGTAAAAATGCTTATTTTTTGGCCCCTTTTTGGCCCCAAATTCTTAAGTTTAGGGCAATTACCCCCAAACTTAAACCCAGCTTTCCCTTAGTGATATGGAACCTTGTAGTACAATTTCATAAAGATCCATACACTACACACAAGTTATTGTCCTGAAACTAGAAAAATGCTTGTTTTTAACCCCTTTTTGGCCCCTAATTCCTACAATTTTGAGGCAATTACCCCCAAAATCAATCCCAGCCTTCCCTTTGTGGTATGGTACCATGCAGTACAATTTCAGAAAGATCCATACACTTACACACAAGTTATTGTCCTGAAACTAGAAAAATGCTTGTTTTTAGTCCCTTTTTGGCCCCTTATTCCTAAAATTTTGAGGCAATTACCCCAAAATCAATCCCAGTCTTTCCTTTGTGGTATGGTACCTAGCAGTACAATTTAAGAGAGATCCATACACTTGAACACAAGTTATTGTCTGGAAACTAGAAAAATGCTTATGCATAACCCCCAAAATCAATCCCAACCTTCCTTTTGTGGTATTGAACCTTATGGTAAAATTTCAGAGATCCATTCACTTAAACTAAATTTATTGTGCGAAAACCAATGTGTCTTCGGACGACGACGACGCCAACGTCATACCAATATACTACCGCAAAAATTTTTTGCGGTCGTATAAAAAACTGAAGCTGATTTGCAATTGTCAGATCTATATGCATATCATGTAGCAGCACTATACTTGATAAACGTACACGCACGAACAAATTAAAATTTTACGCTATTTTTCTTAAATTCAAAAACTGTGAATGTAATTTCTGCACCAGAAATATGGCATAAATGTAGGCCTTATAACTTATAACCTTATAACCGGCTATCACTACAGCATATCTTGTACAATTAAAGTTGTATGGCGAAATACATGTAGATTTCACAAACTAGTTCTTATTTATTCATAAATGCACATTTGTAACCCGATGGATTGGTGGCATGTATTAAATATTTCATTGACTACAAAGTCAATTCCTTACGAAGATTTCTTGTTTTTCGATGTCGATCGATCCTTTTTGGGGAATAGCTTTATTTGCTCAACACGAATGACATTCATAGTACTTGAAAGTTGAAAATTTTTGTGAAGAACAGAGACAGAAAAAAGAATTATAAGCAGCTAGTTCCTGCAGATATTATTTACATCAATGGTAGATGGCACCTAGGTTTTATTTAAGTACTTCACATTTAAAACATTTTAATTTTTTAGTTTCCATTTTCGCTAATTAATTTGAGACTTGGCAGTATTGAACCATTGCTGGTATTTATTTTGCAATACATTATGGTAAGTGTTTGCATTTCTAAATATATTCAAGAGACATATAACATGTATAATACAATGTCTTATATGTCTCTGATGATATCTAATAAATAATAGTATCAAAATAGCATATCTACTACTGTATATATTTATTACCTTTTTCTTCATTTACAAAAGAAATATTTTAATGGCAGTATTAAAGTCATTCTCCTGAAACCAATAGTTTATTTCTTACTGGAAAAATTAATAATTTTTTGTTTGCAAGGATATTTCTCACATATATCTTATAATGATACTCGATAAGAACTTTGTATGTCACATCCCCATAGAAAAATTTGACTCAGTTCGACCCCTTAACAGTGCCTATCGTCATCTGACACAATTTCATCACTTGTCAATCATACAAGTCTTGTTTCCCTAGTGCCACCGATGCTAGTGCTATAACAATTTTACTCAACATACCTGTCAATATAAAAACAAGAGGTTCTCAAGAGCCTGAATCGCTGACCTGTAATTTTTTGCTTAAATCTTTCATCAATGATTAGTTTTGCTTTTCAATATATATCAATGAGTGGCTTAAAAATGCCATTTAAATGTTCTTTGTATCTGTCATATTTTCTTCAAAAGCAAAATAAGGCATTTTACCCCTATCATAGTGGCTATGTTTCTTTACGTACAAGGAAATAAAATACAAAATTTATACTAGATACTCTGAAACTCATTCAGCCCAAGTTTGGTTGAAATTGATTCAGCAGTTTCAAAGGAGATGATTTTTTAAAGTAAGCAATCTAGACGAACAAATTGTGAAAAATTGTCTTTAAAGGGCAATATCCGAAATGGGTCAATTGACAATTTGGTCATAAAAACTTATTTATAGATCTTACTTTGCTGAACATTTTTTTCTGTTAAAAGTTTATCTTTATCTATAATAATATTCAAGATAACCGAAAACTGCAAAATTTTCTTAAAATCATCAATTCAGGGGCAATTACCTAAAAATCAGATACCTGATTTGACTGATAATTTCAGGGCAGGTAGAACTTGTCCTAATTAATACTTTAACTTCTTGTCTGATTTGCTCTAAATGCATTAGTTTTTGAGATATGTCAAAAACTGCATTTTACCCTATGTTCTATTTTTAGCCATGCAGCAATATTTTTTTTGAGGAGACAGAAAATAAAACACAAACTATATTCTAGATACCCTAAGGATCATTCAGCTTTAGTTTGGTTGGAATTGGTTAAGTAGTTTCAGAGGAGAAGATCTTTGTAATAGTTTACACCGGACGGACGACAGACGACTGACGACAGATGATGACGGATGCCAAGTGATGGCAAAAGCTCACCGTTCCTTTGGAATGGTGAGCTAAATAAGGAGATGTGGTATGATTGCCAATAAGACAACTATCCACCAAAGTTCAAATGAAGTGGATGTAAGCAATGAGAGAAACCCATACTGTATGGTCGGCTAAAAAAGGCCCCGACATGAAAAATATGAAACAATTCAATTGAGAAAACTAAAGGCCTAACTTATAACATAACAGTTTCACATGATTTTCCCAGTTTTCCCTTTTAATAGTGTGTAACTTTTTTATTTCTTGGTTGATTTTTACCAAATAAAAATCAATCAAAACAATTTTTCTTTGTTTAAGCTGGAAACAGTATATTTAACGGGAAATGAATCTGATAGGCTTTTCAGAATGAAATTGATAAAATCTCGAACTTTACGAGACTTCGCGAGATTTATGTATTTTGGAAGCGTCTGATTGAACTGCTCAATAAATTAATCACATAATTCCAAACATTTAACAAATACAATGAATTGATAAGTTTTATCGTAAAGTAGATATATTTTGTCATATAAAATGACCAATATAAGTGTGATTTACTTGATGTGAAGTGTTTTATAATGGTTTGTGAAATTCGCTGTTACTGGGAATGCCATCGGCACCATTTTTTTATTAACCTGTTTGCATTTTGTACCCTTCGGTGATGAAATGAATGCGACTATGACAAATTTGAAGTGACAGATTACAAGTTCGATACACTGGCATCAATTATTACTTAGTTTGAATGACATTTTATTGATATTATCAGAAATTATTAAGATAATAGCGAGTACATATTTTACACGTCTGTTTCCATATTGTGTCATTTATTGACTATGACCCGACGATAAAATCAGCTATAATTTAACCCGAATAATTCAGTCCCACCCCGTAATCGATCTCTCCTACTTGCAAGTTAATGGAGTATTCCTTGATCAGCGGAATATGACAACAGAATTATTCGGGTTAGCTATAATTAAGTAGTGTCAAGTCCCGTCAATATATATGTTCCTGCTGTAAGATTTTCAGTGCTTCCGTACTATATCATAATTCATATCTATATGATAGAAACAAGTGCCTGCATGTGGAATCAAATATTACGTCAATTTATTCTTACCGACATGACAGAGTCTGTTTCGTCGTAAAATAAAAGTATCAACCACTTATCTATTGACTCTTAATCACATTATACTAATCAACTCTTATTTTTTGAAAGATTTTGCATTCATTTCGAAATCTTCATTTATTGACATTCCAAAGTCAGGGGAGATTATTACCCGCGGTTTTCATAAAAAAAATCATCGAATCTTACCGGATCTATTCCGGGACAGAAACATGGAATGATGGATTTCAAACCAGATATGCTACATGTGGCTCATGTGGTGATCAGGGCAGGATGATTATTGCAGGTGGAATATCTATTTTCATTCTTCTATAGTATCTATTTTTAGTCTTTTAATTATTATTATGTATTTTTTTTAATTCTCATATGAAAGCCACTGTCACACTTTTTTACTGTACAATTGTCTGTTTTGTTGTCTTTATATAATTTTGCTTAACCATTTACTTGTTTACTGTAAATGCGTGAGTGTTAATAAATATTGTTTAATTGTCTATACAACAATTTCCTGCAGTCGTCCAGCATTTTTAAAAAGTGTTTCTTGTTGGAAAGAATATTCATTTTCATATTCTGTCAGTGTCATAGGCAAAGGTGTATATTTTAATGTTCCATTCTCAATTTAATTTGAGCAGGCCAGCTTATTCATTTTTAAAATTCTCTGCACTTGAAACCATTAAATCTGTTGAAACCATTACCTTTGACCTTGCATGTTATAATCATTCATTTTCAGCATCTAGTATATGACCTTGTAATCTACAGTAAAATGTTCATGGTATGAACCTTTTAATCTTTAACATATGGAAATTTAAAACTTTGTGAATTTGGCAGTTTGAAGCTCAGTCTTTTCTGGATTTCTCCATCGGGAACTCAAAAAGCCCCAAAATGATAAGTCTAGGATGCAATAGCATGTACAAATACGTATTTGAGGAGCTAAAACAAAAATATGATCAAAAGGATATATAAAGAAATTTGCCTTATCCAAACTACAAGGTCACCTTTAAGGGAACCTTTAATTTTCTTTTAAAAATATTAATCAATTTATCAATTTAGAATTTAAGCTTAATATCAAACTTTGTCAAATATGGCTATCATCAATGTTAACTGAAAATTATTCTGAGTAATGAATTTAATTAATTTTATTGCATTTTGTGTTTCATCAAAGTTTAATTTTCCTGGATTTTGATTTGCATCTTTTTTCGTTACTGTAGAAGCTAGGTGTCAAAATAAACTGAATTGTGAAAAATGATTCAGATGTTTCCCTCTGGTAATATTTTTTTTTTTAAATTAATCTCAAAATTAAAAAATGTTGGATATTTAATTTGTTTAACTGTGTGGCCTAATAATAATGCTACCCAGGCCCGTTACCTACAAACTACAAAATACCCAGTTTGCTGTCAATTTCATGGCCATTTAATCTTGACAGCATCAAATTATATACATATGCATAACTGATTTTGTAAATGCAAGATGTATACATCTTTAAAAAAGCTTTTATTATATACAAATGTATTGTTATAAAATTTTCATTATTTTGATGAATTATACAAAGTTATATCTTTATTGTAATTACCAAAGTCTGTATAAACTATAGGTGCACATTTGAATTACATCCACATCAATGATGTAACATATATAAACACAAAATATATGACAGTTATCCCATGCTGTTTGTAAGCCAAACATGTCTTGTCAGGTCACCATCTTTTTTCCCACTGTAGTGATACATATATATGTGCATTTTGAACCTCATTTCAAAATTCTGTGTTATGTATCAATTAATCTTCCATGAGGCCCTCATGGAATGGAATGCATTCTTGATATTACAGGCAAAGAAACGATCATTATTATCATTAGTAAACACATATAAGAACAAAATCATATGAGAAAGTTTTTTTAAATTATTGTTAAGAAAATAAATGAATAAATACCCTGTCTTCATCCGTCTGTGTTTCCCTCCCACTGTCTCATAAAATTTTGGTCGAAACTTTTCTTGGAAACAGCTTATCAGAGCTTCCTTAAATTTGGTATAAAGCTTCACGAGAGCATGCTATACTTGTGATGCATTTTCAGATTGATCGCTAATCAACTACCTGTTTGCAGAATACTTATACATTTTTACTCTAAATGGCCATGAATAAAATTTTTGTTATAGTTTTACCATGAACTTACAAATCTTCCTGAAGATTTGGAATCAAGCTCCATGTGAGCATACTTTACTCTGTGATGAGTTTTTACATCCATTACTCATCAACTTTCTGTTTACTGAATACTAAAAGCAGGGGATTCAGCTTTGTTATCCAAATATTGATTAAAGTTGATTTTTCAGGAATCAATTACAGTACAAGTTGTTTCAAGACTGCGGCGCAGCTCTCATAAGGTATAAAGGAAGGACAAATATTGAGAAAAGCAATGTCACAATTGATTTAAATGAATAATGTGAAGTTGGAATATTACTGTATAACATAATACTAAGGTTGGTAAACATATATAGATTTGGTTTTTTTTTTCTTTTGGAAAAGGGAGGGAAGGGGGGGGGGGGGGGGTGTTTATAGCTTGGAACAAGCTTGCCGATGTCATTAGGTCTTAACACTGGATGTAAACCTGTTAACTAGTATTCAAATCTGAAAAAAACATTCTCTAGCATCAGGAGACTTTTTATAACCAAATCTAGGAGAGATATTAAATTCACCTTATAAAAAAGGAGATGTGGTATGATTGCCAATGAGAGAAATATCCACCAGACTAAATGATGCAGATGTAAACAACTATAGGTTACTGTACGACTTCAAAAATGAGCAATCCATATTGTATATTAAACAATAATAGGCCCTGAAATGACAGATTAATGAGAAACAGTTCAAATGAGAAATACAATGACCTTATGTACAATACAATAATAGTATGTTGAACAAACTCAATCAAAATGACAGTATACATCAGTGAATTAGAGTTGTTTCCATTTGTCTCTCTGGATGAAGCACCTCCCATTTTGATTTGATTTGATTGATTTTTGGTGTTTTAACGCCACTTTTAAGCACCGCTTTTGGGCTATTTCGTGGCGGCCAGTTTTTATTGGTGGAGTAAGCCTGAGTGCCCGGAGAAAACCACCGACCTTCGATAGGAAAACTGACAATCCTAGTCAATTAAGATTGGAGTTGAGTGCACCAAAACGAGCGGGGTTCGAACTCACAACCTCAGTGTTGACTGGCTAGTGATTACAGTAATAACTACTTAGACCACTCGGCCACCGAGGCCCCTCCTCCCATTTTGATAAAATATTTGTGATGAACAGGATAAGCTGTCTTCATAGCTATTCTATTTCTTTAATTATTGTTGTTACCTATGCAAACAATAATTTTGCATTAAAATGCACAAATCTCTATTAAAATTAAAGGGAAACTCCGCAAAAAAATGAAAAATTGATATTTTGTTCTTTAAGCATAAAAAACCACATGTTCATAAATAAAAAACTTTTATTCTCTATGTAAAGAGATCAAAATCGATTTTTGAAATTCACTATCAGTTCTCGACATATCGCCATCTTGTCGGCATGTTCGATCTAAAAAGTCACGTGATATCTATAAACCACAAAGAACAAAAAGAATCGGGGATTTACCGACCGTGCGTTTAAAACTCCCATCATCAATTGGGGATTACCGTAGACGGTTATTCAGTGTCAAAATGTCTTGTCAAGCGTACGGTTGTTCTGTCAGACAAGGTTATGACAAAAGTCTACATAGATTTCCCAATCCCACAAAAAAAAGAAAGAATTGTATCAGACATGGTTGTACAACCTTAAACTAACAGCAAATAGTTGCATCTATAGCAAGTACAAGTTGGTGTGTGAAGACCATTTTGAACAATATTGTGACGAGGGAGATTCGATGGTAATTATCCTTTTTAAATAACAAAATAACCTAGCAGTTCTGATAGCTATAGTTATCAAATCCTTATATGATAAGATCTCGTTGAATAAAAAAAATATAGATTTGGTGAGGAAGAACAGTTTCAATTATAAGAAAGACAAACGCAGTGTTCTTGTAACAATCACTGATTTACAGAAGATTCATTAGTATGCCTCTTTTATATAAAGTGCATTGATTTGTATAAAGAATAGTTCCGTATTTAGACAAGATAATTTTTTAATTAATAAAGTTATATACGATATAAAATAACATTTTTTTAATTATGATATTTAACGGCTATTGACAATGAGCAATGTTAGGAAGAGGTTTTAGCTGGAACATAATATGTTGATATAGTATAATATTCCCAGGTTATAGATATGTAAATATCGAAATATCGGACATCTCAATTTTTTTATTAAAAGTGTTTTTTTTTAACTAATCTTTAAATTATATCAAATTTATACGGAATCAATTCGGAACGGTCACTTATAAAGACACTTAAGTTAGCTTTACAGATAAATGTGTGACTCTATCTGGTATGTTCGGTGAAAAATTTATAGGTTTTTTTTCTTTTTAAATTTTATTTACGTTATCTTATTATATATATATATTGGCTTCCTCCCGAATTGATAATAGGTATGTCAGAATTATTGATAGATGTCGTGTCAGAGCGACACACTCAGTTAGGTATCCCAAGGACGTATATTAGATACACGTCCCTGGGTATTCCAGTGACATCCTGTCAACTAAAAATTCGTATTACACAATTATATAATACAGGTTCATGCATGGCCTCTTTATTGAGGTACCCGGTGTGCACAGGTAACATTTATTGAACCATATATTTGTGTCTAACGTTGTTTATCTTGTGTGTGTTTGAAATTATAATTCCAGCTTTTAATGAATGATGCTCTGATAATAATATTATCCACTATTTTTGCTGATAATAAGTTTATTATTATAAAATTATAAACCTGACATTTGAACATTTTGGTAAAATGAATATTGTTTTGTCGTGATTCTGGAAAATTCTTCACGCAAATACAAGCTTTTGTCGATTGGCAAACATGCAGATATATAAAGTAATGCAGCACTTATAGTCACTATCAATATTAATTCATTGAAGATAAGAGAGTCCCTTCTAATATGTCTAATGTCTCTATCTTTATAAGGATTAGGACGACAGGGGAAAAGGGAGCGGAGTTAGAGTGGCATAGTGAAAAAAAAA